CAGACAACACAAAACTGATATTATTTCTTTCATTGACTATACTTTGACAGATACATAACCTGAAAAGCCTTAAATGACAAATTATCAAAAGACTGCGTTCCGTACGTGGTCACGTGGTGGGACTTTGAAGTGTGGAGCATAGTAGGTACCTAAAATTTATTCGTGAAATAGTCTAGCCGAATTCCACAAAATTTTTTTAAATAATTTTTTACTGAAGTTTTTTGCTTGAAAGTTTCGCTTGTAGTATTAATTTAAAATCACTCGACGTTTTTGAATTAATGACACTTGACAGGGACCCTGCCAGGGACTAATAAAACCATAAATTAAATTTATGAAGACAATCTAAACAAATATTAACATTATATTAAAGCCTGATTTATAGATTGTCTTCCTTCCTTCTTCCCTTCCTCCCGTAAAAGATGAACAATACGAAAACCGTAATGCCGTTTATAGATTTCCGTAGGGGATTGTATTGTTCATCTTCTACGGGAGGAAGGAAGAAAGGCAATCTATAAATCAGGCTTTACGCACACACACACACACATAGGCTAAATGACTCTTGCATTTTATAAGCACTCTCCAAACCCAAGAAACATATCACCATACTCAGTCATGTCAGTAAATGTCAATATTTAACAGAAATGCTGTGACAGCATCTAATTTTAAACCGTCAATCATTGTATTTGTCGTAGAAAAATTATAGTATACATCTCGTTTATAAACTTTTCTAGGCACTCATTTAATTAAGCACTCGCTCGCAAGCTCCCTAGTGCCCAAATTAAATTCGTGACTAAAATGGCGTTTATCAAACTTGATACATAATATACTATAATAGTTAGCCTACCAATCTTGAATAAAACTTTTTGCGTTTTAATAAAATTTCTGTATAAAAAGGAGAGGAAATGACCGACATTTCCATGTATGTCCGGCCAAAAATACGATGTCCTCGTCCTTGCCGAGAGTTACCTACCATTGCCCGTGTAAAATGAAACGGTAAACGTTAGTTAACGCTGCGGCATAAGCGGCTCGCAGTCGATACTTTCGGATGGCCATATAAGGCAAAATGCGGCGCGGTCGCCAAATCAAATGAGCGGCGTCTCGCGCTGTTCGAAGGACGCATCACGTGTGCGTTGGATCCTCTTTGGATACACAGTGGGATACAAGAAAAGTGAAAAATGCAGGAAACTTAAAACAAGCATTTTTTTGGTGGGAACAAATTTTTATTCTAGTTATGAATAAATCCAGTTTTAACCCTATCCATATCCCTGATTTTTGGGTTTCCCAGAAAACATACATTGTAGCATAAAGCAATCTAAATCCTTTTTTGCACGGCAGCCAAGAGAAAGTGAACTTAGTGAAGTGACAAAATTATATTTGTCAATAAAGAAAAGTTGAAAACCGGAGAATAGTATATTCTGTAACAAGTTTGGAATACATGTATATGTATGCTGCAGCATATTCCGCTCGAGTGTTTGTCAGTTTGTCACACGAGCCGAAGGCGTGTTTGACGGTTTCACGAGAGCGGAATATGCAATTCCAAACGTGTTTCAGACTATACTTTTTCTACGTTTCCAAAAAATATCGGTCTAAAATTTGTTAGATATTAAAAACAGAGATGTCCCCACGAGTGTTTATTCTGTCATCAGATGATAGAATATTTCATTCTGTAACACTTTACGGAATATATGTCATTCCATATCTATAGATAAAAGTGATATTAGAACGGTTATATTCCATAATAAATTATTTCTACCAAAATTTGGTGCCAATAATTTAATATATTATTATTTATTCAATATATTGTCATAATATTATTGGTATTTTTATTCAAAATTGTCTTACTGTGCGCAAATATTCAATTCGTTGCAAGCGAGACAAGTGATTTCCATACTTAGCCTTTAGGCTATACAAAGGTCACCCAATAATTATTTTTCCTAGAATATTAGATAATGCTATTGTTTAATTTTAACACAACTGCAAAAGGTAATTAGGATTTTTATCATCTTCCATAAATGATTACCTATTTCTTTATCTTTTGCGATGTGATTCGTAACATCAACAATATTTTTATAAAAGTAGACCATATATTTCTCTATGGAAGTGTGTAGTTTAATCTATTATTTTTATAGATATGGGTTTTTACGTCAAGGTAATTTTTGTTTTATCTAACAAAACGTTTTTGTATAGAAACGAAGGGTGAATAGAATAATATACAGGGTACACAAAGTATCACTCCATGTATGGCTATTCCTTGAAAAACTGTTTTTATTTATGCCGTTTACGGAACCTAAATTTAATAATACATTCTTGAAGAAAATTTTCATGAATATTATTTTATTGTCTTTTAATTGTAACAATTTTTTGCAATAAATCATGAGATATGGGGTTATATAAAATTACCTACACGTAAAAGTATTCAATAAATCCTGAAAACCCACACAAACATGTTGCAATCAAAAATAATAAATTTGTAAGCACGTAATAATTAATAATCTACTTTAATTTAAATATAGTGATTAATTCACAATTATTCCTGGTAAGTAATGTATTAATAACAATACAATTCATTCCAAACAAGTTCGATAAAAGTAAAATACGAATTATTTTTACTCTGAAATTGTAGCCAAAAAAAGAAAATTGTCCTTGAATAAATAAACCTTTATGAAATCTAATTTGGTAATATTCAATACAATCTCATTAATGTACTTAACATCTGATTTTATGTCTTCTAAAATATCTGCAGTTATTAAATTATTTTACAAAACAATTAGTTTTAATAGGAAGACTTTAAATGCATAGCATAAAAAGTTCCGATTTAGGTCATTTAATAAAATTACGTGTTATTTCACAGAATAATGTTAAAAACTTAGAGTACATAAGACATGGATGGTAAAACTCACGTAGTCAATAATTTTAGATGGCGATTTTTAAAATCTTAGTTGGCAAATTGTACTATGTATTGATACGTAGTGTTTATGGAAAAGCAAAACATGTAATTTTTAAGTTAAGAAAAATTTTCTTCATTTTTATGTATTTAGGTAGATTAAATTACAAAATCATTAAAAAAATTGCATTCCATGTGTATATGCTTTAAGATCCCAAATAAGTGAAGCCTTACTATAATAAACAATAAAGTGGGCAGCACACCTACTAAAATTGTATTGTCTCTTTAAATTGGGCGTGATGAATAGGCAACACACTTACCATCAAAAAGAAAATAACTCTTAAAAGGTTTTATTATGTTGTAAAAAATTATATTGTTACCTATCATTGTGTTCAATGTTTTTATGTTTTTATCACCTTTTAAACCAAAACACTTCTAGAACAATGGATTTATTGTTTTTATAAATGAAATAAAACAAGGTGAAATAACAAGAAAATTAGTTTTGGTTATTGTATTAATAAATGCGCAAGCTGAAAATATTAAATTGGCATGCAAATCAGTAAAAAACAAAGAAATCATTGTAGTATCAAGAAAAGGTGATCAGAAAACAGTCACCCTTAACTTAATAACAGTTTTAATTCAAACATCAGGACAGTTTAATTGGTATAAAAAAATGAACGTTTCTGTGTTTTCTTGTGATATTTTGTGAGAATGAAAATACTCACGTATAAAAAAATCCAAAAAGGCAGTCAGCTTATCAACTGAGATGTTAGATGGCGTCCTGTGAATAAAACGAGGCACACATCACACAAATGCAAAATTCTAATTTGTTAAATTGTTATTTTCTTTTATTAAACATTGAAAATTAGTTTTTATCAAATATAAAGTCCGTTTTATTTATACGAAAATTACTAGAGTCCCTGTATATTTTTACAAAGAGGTACCCGACTTTCTATAGAAAACAATATACTAATTATCGCACCTAGTATGCTGTGGAGAATGTCGTGCTCTGATTGGTTTATTGTTTTCTATAGAGATCATTTTCTTTGGAAAGTAGTCGCAAATATCAAAAAACATCCTTCAAATATGGCAATTTATGCCAAAAATTAAAACTTTGGAAAGTAGTCGCAAATATCAAAAAACATCCTTCAAATATGGCAATTTATGCCAAAAATTAAAACTTTAAATTATCAATAATTTATCCAACTTGCCAAAAAAAAGTCATAATAACAGGATAATAATAATAATGTATAAATATCACATTTTAAGATGTAATGTTAAGACAAAAATATATCTACACAGGGACAAAAATGGACCAAACTTATTTTCTTAACAAATTTTTATCACATGTAGGTGCAATTGTTAAAAACAAAACATTGTCAATTCCTTATTTTTAGTGTTAAATTTGATGTTTGTAACCTCATGAAGATTCCCTTTAAATGATAACATTTTGATCATCGATCATAGCCAACAATATAACCAGACTTGAGTGCACTATAAATATACACAGGAAATATACAAATGTAATTTAAGATATCCACAATTTACAGTGAATTGTGATTTTACAGAACCTGGCAGTTTGCCAACCAACTTAAGTTAAAATTGGTCAAAATAACACAGCAGTTTTTTAAGCAGTAATTAAACAACACCTTAAATTAAGCATGTGAAATCGTTAATTAATCGCATATTAGCAAAACCAACACCATACATGAGACAAAAATATGTTAATTGGAGTAATTCATTTTTAGAGGTTAAAATAGGGTAAAAAAGAAAAAAGTTGCTACTTACAAATCCTGGTTTGTTAAACGGCATAATTCTGTCAAATTATTTCGTATTTCGTAAAATGGCACTATAAATAATCACTAGGAATCACTTAAAATGTGTATAAATCAGGAAAAATTCAACCCAATCCGCAGAATCATCTGGAACATTTCGAATTCACTTTATTTGCCAAGCAGTTGGTAACTTGAAAATAAAATATGCCATCCGACCATATCGTTTCTCTTAATAAGTTATTAAAGAAAAAACATCAAAACTCATTTGGATAACTGTAAAATTGTACAGGAAAAATTATCGAACGCAGCCTTGACGTCTGGGGGAAAACAAAATCCACTAAAATTATGACACTTCACGGCTGATCGTCCGGGGATTTTTACAAATTTCTGAAAATATAAGTTGATTATAGATTGCTTGCTATGGACATCGCAAAAATCGTCAAAAACTTTAAAATTAAAGATGAAGTAGAAGTCAAGTACAAATACATTAACGTGTTTAAGGTAAATTAACTCGATATAACCTAACATTTCTTAAATGTTGTATTTTAGAACCCAAATAAATTGCCAATCAATCAGATTCACTTGGAGAAAAATGTGGTGACATTGCGTCAAATGATATTAAAGAATATAGTAAGTTTTTAATTATTATCATATATTACACAATTTGGTTTAACCATTGAGTTTAATGGTTTAACCTTATTTTTAGGATATCACAGAGTTAAGCGACAATGAAGCATTCAAAAAGTTTGTTGAACAACAGAAAGAAATCATTCCTGCCTTGGTAAGTTATGCAATATAATTATAATAATTTATAATAATTATTATAATAATTGTAGGACAAACGATGGCTCCCAAAATGTGTCTTATATCCATTTGAACCATATGTTTTCACACTTCCCCCTGAGGAAAATAAAACATTCTTAAGTAGCAACTTGTTGTATTCACGTAGTCTGGATTATCTATTAAAATGTAACTATCACCAATTTTGGTGCACTATTCTCTATGAGCCCACAGCAGCAATATGTCTAAGAAGTTTTATTCTTAACCCCATTTCCAATTTTCAATGTTCCTATTTGGAGGGAGATGATTTGTTGCTTTTTAGAGAGATTTTAGACAAGTATTTATTGGTTTATCAAAGACTGTTAAACTTTAAGGCTACTGAGGTAAGTTATTCATACATTTTGATACATTTAGATGGTTAGGACAGTGTTAATACAGTTTTGGGATTTTATAGAGTTTTAGAACATTCAAAAGAGTTTTAGAATATTTTTGGCAATTCTAAAATAAGATACTTTTAGTATATTTTTACATATTTAGGATATTTAATTCTAGTTTTAAGTCAATTTTATTATAAAAAATATTAATGTCCTATTACTAGGGCCCAGATTATATAGCCCATTTTAACCTATTTAAATACAACGGAAATGTTTTATATTGTCGAATTCGCGAGAAAAATATTTCATGCACTAAAAAGTTTAAATTAGACCAACATATTTGATGTATGTGGCATGTGTGCATGCATATTTAAAGCTTTTTATTTTGCATATAATGAGGGCTCTACTTAAAGGGTGAAAAATAAATGTTTAATGTACAAAAACAAAAAGTTTACTTTTGTTCATTAAAAATAATAATTTAAAGTTTTACATTTAAAATATTTTAGTGAATATAATAATATAATATAATAATATAAGAATTATTCTATTGCTTATGATTTATTATATTTTAGACAGAATACATGCCTTCTGAATATGGTTTAAAGTTAATAATAGATGTTAAGTTACTAAACCTGCCAATTGTGATAACTTTAGCCTTCCTATACAAAGACATAAACCTTACTTTTGTAAATAAACTTACAAATTTATACTTTAACAATACATCACAGCTGGACTTTCAAATCAAAGAAATGGAGGAAATATTGAAACAAGCTGTTATGGTAAGCATGGTTTGATGTGGATATGTTCCTGTTTAAAACATTTCCCTTTAATCACAATTTTATTTTTTGCATTAAAACTATAAAACCATTGCAGATCATGGAAATGATAGGTGGGAATATTTGCGGATTTGACAAAGATGCTGTTGTGGTTCCTCTATCTATAGAAAAAAGGCCTGCGATATTTAGTTTGAGCTGGGTTTATTCTGTTGTCAATTATTTACTATACACTATATCCACAGTAAATGTGTTGTTCGAATTTTACAAGCCCTCTATTGAGATGGCGCTAAATCTCGATTTACCATACAGGTAAGAAGCTGTCTAAACACAGAACTTATAAATTACCCAGTAAATCAAAAACTATTTTATTTACATTGCTGAAATTTTGAAAGATTATTGTGCTTAATTATCTTAAAATATACCCAAACGAAATTTCAAAAATATAACTTTTGCAGTTTTTGAGTGACTGTTTTTTAAATATTTTTTTCTTAAATGTTAAATTTTTAGAATGCCATATACATATGTGAATGTGTACAGAGAATTATATGAAATGTTGTATGACAGGCCCGAAATAGAGGCGGAAAAAGAACTAAGTAGACGAATTTTCGATGAAATAAATCTTGGCAGGTCGCAGTTTATTGATATGTACCATGTTTTTATTTCATATTGCCTTGACAAAGCATTGGAGAGCATGTAAGATTATAAAATGTATACTTTATTGAAAAATAACTTTTAAGTGTATTTTTTTTCTTTATTATAATTATTATTATTTTATAGGGGTGATAGTAAACAACAAGAAGAATTGGTTGAAATATACCTAAAATTATTAACTACCGCTCTTGAAGATGACTACTTTATCTGTGATTATGATTTAAAGTATAATGTTTCCAATATGAATGAAGTTTTTGAAAGTTGTACACCTATGTAAGTATATGCACTGTCAATAGTTATGGGTAAAATTCTTTTTTTTAATTTTAAGTTTGATAATATGATTTTAACATTTTAAAATAGATTATGACATTCAAATGGTTTTCTTAAATATCTAAGTGGTAAATGCAATTGGTTGTGTGTTAGAAATATAACAAATAGAGATTTAACGGATACAAAAAAAACGCATAAAATTGAAGAAAAAAAATTGAAAATTATTAAATCAAAACCGAAAATACACAGGGTGGTCCTCATCTTGCGCCCCACCAGGAAAGGGCAATACCTCCTTGTTTGGTAAATAAAGAGGTTTGAAATTGAGCAATCACAGTGATAGTTTCAAATATACAAAAATGATGTGAACAAGCCTTAACATTTTGACATTTTGATGAAAATATTTTTTCAGTAACTTTAAGTTATTAGTTTAAACAGTAAGCAATAACTACTTAAATTGATTTTTTTGGGATTTACCGAAATTCGGAGTAAAATCGCTGGTGAATTACATTGCCGCGCCAAATGTCAACTACATAATATTTGAAATACTACGAGCAACACTTGTTTTAGTTTATAACACAGGATTAATTTTTCCTGAAATTTCCAATTTTTTGGGAAAACCGTTTTTTCAGGCAATTAATTTTTAAACATTCGAGAAGTTATCTTTTTATTTGAATTTGCATTAGGCTAACACTGCCATAACCAGTTTTAAGTAATTTGGGAAAAATAATTAAAATTAATTTGCGGATTTTAACATATTTCATTTATAACAACTTTTAACAATTTTAATTTGGCAAAATTTGTTTTTGTTTATTTGTTTATCTGTTCATTCCCACTTAAAAATAACACGGATTTTTAAAGGATAAATCTATAGTATACTATAACGAATTTGTCAATTATTTCAGAATTTCAATTAGACATTGTAAATACTGACTGTGAGAAAGTATTTGACGTCAACCATGAATTGCTGCTTAAATTTTATCTTGGTGTTTTCCTTATAGATATTGTAAAAAAAATATTTAGTTGTCTGTTATGTCCCAAAAAGCGAAGCTTCAAGGGAATAAATATAAACTTTTTCGTTTTTTTCTTAGTGATCCAACGAGGACCCAATTTATAAGTTCCTGTCTACAAAAACACAGTCGACACAAAAAACTAGAAAAAATAACCAAACTAAGCAGAAAAACTATAGAGGACGTCTTCAAAGAGTTTAAACCAATAGAAAAAGAGCCTGAACTTCAGTTTACACTACCACCACCTGTTGAAGTCAAACAAACAAGTCAAGGGCCGTCTGATAACAAAATAGAACAACTAATAAAGGATATAATCGACATGTTCCCACACTTGGGCGACGGTTTCGTACTAAAATGCCTGGAGGCTTACAACTTTAATTCCTCCGACGTCATTAATGCAATTTTGGAGGAGAATTTACCTCCTCACTTGTATGAAATTGCGTTTGACACTATAAGAATCCCTCCTGAACCTGAGCCAGAGAAGCCCATATTGGCTTTCAAGGGCAAAAAACCTGGATATGACGACGCGCTCAAGTTATTAAACGATAAATCCGACATGAAGGAGATAAAAACATACGTTCTTGAAGGAGTGTAAGTAGATATTAAAGTGTTTCCACACAGCATCCCTGAGTTCAGATTTTTCTGCATTTTGCTCATTTGTGTATCACCTAAGCTCATGGCGTAAAAAAGAAATCATTTCGTGAGTTTATTTCGAATCAACTGGCGCGGGCATGCACACAGATAATTATTTTAACCTCAATAATAGTTGTGCACGCAAGCGCATTTAAATGCGTTTAAAGGCGCGGTGGAATTCATGAGAAATAACATATGAGCTCATATGAACTCTTTGGCATTCTTAAATATGCAGTGGCCAAGTTTTCTAAAATGTTTTTAACGTTCAAACGGTTTAAATCTTTTAAAAGTTGTTTTTATTGCTCTAAAATAATTTTCAACATTCTAAAATTTTGTTCTATGAATTTGCCCTATTTTTTTGGCACGTGCCCTCTGTGTCTATTAGTGTATGTATTGTAATTACAATAGCTGTCATCCAATGCTGGTTAAGTAATTTAAATTACTTAACCAGCATTGGATGACAGCTATTTGCGGTTATCCCTTTCGCATCTGTAGACTTTCCTGCTAGGCTATTTGGCGTAACATATGCCTTTTGAGAGTTACTTCTCCTTTATTTAGTGTTTTTGATAAGACTCTTGAATGGGCTTTTAATATTGTAAGATTGAGTATTCACATAGAGTACAAACTCAATAGGGGGAATTGACAGGACCTGCCTACTAAATCGCACAAATTACGTATACTTTTTTCACCACTAGCGGCGCTGATTTTCATTTTGTACTGACGTCTGCTTATACCCCTCCACTGTTTCGGTACAAACCAAACAATAAACAGCTGTTTATTAATAAACAACAATTGTTTGGTTCTAGAACACTAGTGCCCTCTTATTTTGGGAGGGCATTTGTATTATACAAATTGTATACATGTAATTCATACTCATATTAAAATTTGAGATTGGGATAAAGAAAAACAGTACATTTTGAGGCATACTAAAAAAACTATTTTTAGGCAATATTCAATCGACAATTCGTATGATGACGAGTACGACGACAGATACGACGAATTGGACCCCATTAAAGTTGACGACGGCCCTCTCTCGGAAGAAAGAACAACTTTCAATCCAAACCGAGACGACCTGGCGAGCGATACGAGCTATTCCAGTGAAGAAGAATACGACGACCAAGGAAAATCCGTGGACCCGAAAAATAAAAACTTCTGCGAAGATCCCGCCCTAGTTCGTGCAAGAAGGGAGCAGCGCTTCCTCAGCAAAAATCCGCATTTGAGCCAACCCAAGAAAAAAGACGTGGTTGGTAACGCCAAGGGCCAAGGTCAGGACAAAACGGTCCTGCAAAATAGACAAAAGAAGAACACCAATAAATCTTCCAAGGCCAACCATAGCCGCAAAAGTGGGGCGCAATTTAAAAGAAATAAAGGAATGATTCCATCTTAAAAATGCCTCTGTTTTCTGTTGGAGTATTACCTACTGTTAAAATTTTGTTTTTTGTTCTTATTTAAAGAATATTTATTTTATTTTTAAATACATTTGATATCTTTTTCAAGCTTTGTTTTATTTTAAAGTGTTAAATGATGATTTAAATTACATTACAATTAAATTTTTAAAATGTATTTTTACATATTAAAGGGTGTGAACAGACTTATAAAAATTGTGGTTACTCTGCATAGGTAGGTACTCTTGTGTATTGAACCACATAATGTGTGGCACATAATAAGTATGTCATACTTATTATTAATGCTATCATAATATATTATGTCACAATATTATTATGATAATAATCACAGAGATTACTTTATGATTATAATTAGGATAGGTAGCACAGATGAGATGTGATAAGATCATACAATTTTTTCAATTAAACTTGCGTAATACAATAAAAAATACATACAAACTTTTATATTATTATTATATTAGCGCAAAATTATAATTTGACATTTTGTTGATAAAAAAAGGTAGTGTCTCCCCGACCGTCGGACGGACGTAGAAAAATGTGTGCTCGACCGTCGGACGGACGTAGAAATGTGTGTGCTCGACCGTCGGACGGACGTACAAACGTGTGAAAATGACTAGAGGCCACAGAGGCTAAATGTAGCAAAGTATTCCTCAAGGTTATGACGAATAGCTGTCATCTTGGTTATGCAGGTACACTGTACAATTGTGCCATACCAAACCAACCCAAACTTAACAACCCAACCCAACCGACCCCGCCCCATTGGACCCCTCCCGCCCCATTGAGCAATAGAGGTATAATATATCTAAGGGCAGGCTGGATTGTGACAATGGGGCGGGAGTGGCCCAATGGGGCGGGGTCGGTTGGGTTGGGTTGTTAAGTTTGGGTTAGTTTGGTATGGCACAATGCGGTGTACCTGCATAACCAAAATGACAGCTATTCATCATAACCTTGAGGAATACTTTGCTACATTTAGCCTCTAGTTGAAAATGAGGTTAAAATATGCGACGGTTGAGCACACACATTTCTACGTCCGTCCGACGGTCGAGCACACACTTTTCTACGTCCGTCCGACGGTCGGGGAGACACTACCATAAAAAAATTATCTTTGTAATATGAGGTTATGAACTTTATATTTATTTAGCAATTCATTGTTTTTAGATATGAAGATAACATTATTAGTATTTAATCAAAATGAATTCTCTTCACTTCAGAATATTGAACAAAATATTGCAAAGGAATTTTTCCCAAGCTGTTCCTAGAGATTTGACATTCCAATATTTAGAAGGCCCCCAAAAAGGCATCGCAGTATGCGGTTTAAATCGGCCCAGCGCTAAAAACGCCTTTAGCCGCAACCTACTGGATGAATTACACAAAACAATTGACAAAATATCCTTTGAAAATAAAGCAAGAGTTTTTGTGTTACGAAGCATGGTACCAGGGGCTTTTTGTTCAGGTTTTAAAATCCATTATATTATTTGTATGGACTAATTTTTTTTTATGTAGGCGCCGACTTAAAGGAGAGAGCGACAATGACTCCACAGGAAGTGTCAAGCTTTGTATCAAATCTACGATACATGATGACAAGACTCCACAACTTGCAGATACCAATTATTGCTGCAATTGATGGCTTAGCATTGGGAGGTGGCTTAGAAATAGCACTAGCATGTGACATAAGAATAGCATCAGAAACCTCAAAATTGGGCCTTGTTGAAACCAAACTAGCCATCCTACCAGGTGCGGGAGGCACCCAAAGACTACCAAGAATAATAAATCCAAGTCTGGCCAAAGAACTAATCTTTACAGCTAGAATATTCGACGGAAAATATGCAAAAGAAATAGGTACACTTTTTAAGTGTCAAACTTGACAACTGTCAATATAAAAGCCAAGCCATATATGTGGAAAGGTAATCTTGTCTTTTTTTTAGGTATTGTAAATCATGTAGTGCCTCAAAATGAGACAGAAGATGCGGCATATCAAAAAGCAATTAGTATTTCGGAAGAAATACTCCCCAACGGCCCTGTAGCAGTAAAAATGGCGAAATTGGCTATAAATAAAGGTATAGAAGTCGATCTTCATTCTGGTTTGTCAATTGAAGAGTCTTGCTATCAACATGTCATTCCAACAAAGGACCGAACTGAAGGTTTAAATGCATTTAAGGAGAAAAGAAGACCTGAATATGTTGGACAATAAAATAATTTTGTACTAAAAATAAAGTACCTATTTTTTTATGTATGTTAAACAATAGTTTTTATTCATTTCTCAACTTAACTGGTGGGCGAAATTTTACTTCGCAAAGTTGGCTTTAACTTTAAAGTTAAAATAGGAAAAAAAGTGAGGTTAAAGTTGGTTGACAGCCTGTCAAACAGAGATAAAGAAGGTTGCTGTCAAATTTTAGATAAAATATCAAATAAAATTGGCTATGAATTCCTTGTAGTAGTATAATAAAATATTGTGTGCGACTATTGGTCAAAAGAGAAGATTCCACTCAAAGAACACTCGATTGTTAACTCACGAGAGAAATCCGGCCGGTCAAAGAACTAGAGACAGGTAAAACGATACAGGGGGTGTATCGATACAGTATCGATACAAAAAAAATATTATCGATAATATCGATATTTTTATATTGCCTCGAGCTGAATAAAAAAAAATCGGTTTCTTTCTTTGTAGGTTTAAATTTAAAAGAAATTGGTTTTAATAAAAAAATAAACTTTATTAAAAAAACAAAAATCAGTTTAGAAGGCCAATTGCGCCTTTTAAAATAACACAGATCAGAATAAATACGTAATAAATAACAAAAACTATAATAATGTAATAGATAGTAATATATAGAGAGTAATATATAGAGAGTTTAACCATAGACAGAGAAAGTTATCTACGTCTTTGGGTTTAACTTTTTTCCGTTCGCATATTTTCTATTTTGCTTAATTCGTGATTTTTAAATTAACGATATAAACTAACGATACGCAAAGGATATATCGATTCAGTGTTTGCAGAATATGTATCGATATTATATCGATATGCGTATCGTTATACCTGCCTCTACAAAGAACGGTCGAGAAATCTCTTTCTCTCACTAGTCTCACAATGTACTATATTTCCTTATAGTTGTTGGTTAATTAAATATTTAATTTTACTGTCGCCATGAAGAATTTGGGGGTATATAAATAAAAAAAGGACATTTTCGGCGAAGACAATTAATTTATGAATGCGACGTTGTCATTCAGCTGTGTCCTGTAACTTATGTCAAAATAGAAAGGCTAAGTTTGTTTAAATTAAGGAATCTTATTTATTATTTGATGGCATGTAAAGATTGGGTGGGATAATTAAATTAATTGATTTATGACTGAATTACATAAATTAATTTATGAACGCGATGTTGCCATTCATTATACTGCACTGCAGTGTCCTGTAATTTATGTCAAAATCAATTACATAAGGCTTAAAGGTTAAGTTTGTTTATATTAAGAAATCTCATTTATTATTAGATGGCATGTAAAGGTTGTGTGGGATAATTTCCAAGAATCATTCAATATTATGTAATTATTTTAGCTATACAGAAAATGTATATCTCTAGGAATGTGGTTTTTTCGACAATCTCATAGTATTTTTACTCTATGTAGCCTTTTAATACTAGCTGGTTTCATGTTACAATTTAAAGTTTTGTATAATAACCATCAGAAACAATTACGGATATTAGAAATGAAACAAACAGTAAGTTACAACACACAGGGTGGTTACAACTATTAATAATGATATTTTAGATATCTAATTTTGAAGACTCGCTAGATAATGTGGAGAGAGTTGCAAGGCAAACAGATTCTTTGTATAATAAACTTCAAGATGAAGTTGACAATGTTAAGTTAAAATTTAGGTAATTCTATTGAAATGTATACAGGGCGGTGGACCATTCTGTATAAAGCACTACTGATAAAAGCTTTAATGTCAATTTCTATTTTAAAGGAAACTTATATTTGTACTAATAGCTTTAATACTAAAAACAAATAGGTTCTTTTATATAAAATTGGCACATTTCTTGTTATAAGTATTAGATTTTTTAACAATTTAATGAGATGTAATAATGTATGTTTTAGGTAATTTAAAACATTTTTGTTGCAATTACTGTTTCTTAAATATTTAGAAAAAATTATCAATTTGGGTGATTAACTTATTAATATCACAGAACAGTAATGCAATTGAAATTGTGATTGACAAATTTGTTTTAAATCACATATTACCTACATCACATTTAATTTAACTATTCGAATTATTGTCCATACACAAAGTGATAAAAGTGCCATTTGGCTATGATTTTATAGTACTCAAGTACTTAATAGATAGACTTTGAAATATAATGGTAATTGTAAACTTTTCAAGAAAACTAAATGTAATTTATTTTTTATTTTGAGAATTTATTGCGACAATAAACAAACGTTAAAAAATGGCATATTTTTAAAAAATTACCACACATTGTCAAGCCCTAAGCACTGTGGGTTATTTTTGTAATTCCCCTTGTTTTCGAACACTGAATGTGGAGAACATAACCAGGGGTCATTGGTATTTTTTTGCCAGTTTTCCAGTTTTTGTTTTAAATCATCAAAAACTGTCTTGTAACTTTGTTTCTTCCATAGGTTATTTATTTCCATGGAATCATACTTTAAATCGTATAATTCCCATTCTTGCCTTCTATAATATTGCTGTAAACTTTTAAACCAATATAAATTATCTTTTGATCTCGTCCTATTTAACATTCCCTATAATATAAAAAAACTAGTAAGTAAAATATATTTTTTTTAATATATATTACCTACCTGAAATGTAGGAGACACATAAAAATCTTGATCTATGGGAAATGGGCTGTAAAAATTAAGATTATGTATCAATTTATGTCTTTGTGTCCTTATCATTCTCATTGGGTAATACATTGTAACTTCATGTAGGCTATGGCTAGCAAATATGGCTTCATTTGTCTTATTTAAAGGCTCTAAAAAAATTTAATTACATTTCTGATTTGACGAAGATATTTTAACCCACCCTGTACAAGCAAAGGTAGCAAACTTCTCCCTGTAAGATGGTCATTTTTTATACCAAACCACTCCAATAGTGTAGGTACAACATCTAAAAGACTTGCCAAAGAATTCGTTAATTCGTTTCTTCTCTCCTTATGTTCAGGTGAGGAAATGAACATTGGTTCAGCAATACCAGAATCGTACAAGTTGGTCCTACCGTTTGGAAACGGTATACCATTATCCGACGTGTACATAATCAAAGTATCATCTAAATGCCCCGCTTTTTTTAATTCCTCAATTATCAAACCCACACCTAAAATATTTCACAAACTGCGCATTAAATTTCGTTATATTAACAATAATATACCCTGATCTAGTCTAGAAATGGTTGTGTACTGCGCAGCAACATCTCTTCGCGCTTCCTCTGTGTTGGGTATGAAATAGGGGAGTTCAATTTCGTCAAATTGGTAGTACATGGGTTGCCAGTCCGGTATTTTACCCATGCCCACGTCACCGTTACCGAAATGTTGACAGAACTCGCCGAACTCTGGATTTGTATGACCGCATCGATGCGGGTCGTGAAAGGCGATATATAAAAAGAACGGCCTAAAATAAATGTAAAAATATTTTCTTAAAATGTCTACTGTTTAGGTACCCATTTGTGTTGTTTAGGAATTCCCTGGTTAATTCTTTAATTTTCGTTATGTTTCTGCCGACTTGTAGTATAGAATTGTTTTCCTCAGTTTGTTCGTAATCAAATAAATATGTATCCTTGGGACCGACATGCTTTTTTCCGATTATACCGGTATTTATGTTGTTTTTGCGTAAAATATTCGGAAGAGATTTTACGGTATTAAACGAGTTAAAATGGTGTTCCCCGTTGTGTAAACCGTACATTCCATTTTGATGTGAAGGCGTGCCAGTGAGCAGTGCAGAACGGCTTAAATTTTTTTATTTTTTTTACAGGTAATTAATTATAATTATTATTACCTTGGCGAACAACTGCTCACAGACGTAAAAGCCTTATTAAAAATCAAACTTCTTAAAGCCAATTTATCCAAATTAGGCGTTTGGCATATTTTATTTCGGTAAACTCCCATTTCAAACCCCCCATCGTCCGCTGAAATTTAAAATTAAAATATTACCGCCATTCGTCACTACTTGCGCCATCTATGTGGCGATTTGGAAACATCAACGTAAATATTGTCGACGATGCAATAATTTTTAAATTACCTACGTGTCTCGCCGGTTTCGATAACAAATAGATTAAACTTTACCTAGGATTAGTACTGCATTTCGTGTTTTCTTAGTTTCGATTTTATTGAGCTGCAAAAAGAGCAAAGCAAACAAAAACACGTCAGCTTTCTTCATTTTGTTGTACTTTCACTTGTTTTGGGAGCGAAATTTGAAAATGTCCAAGAAGATTTTGTGCCTTTTTGATGTTGATGGTACGTTAACTGCACCCAGGAAAATTATTGTAAAGGAATTGGATAATTTTTTGCAAAATGTTGTGAAACTCAATTGTAGTCTGGGCCTTGTTGGTGGTTCAGATTTTAAGAAAATCGCTGAACAAATGAATGGAGACGACGTAGTACACAAATTCGATTACGTTTTTAGTGAAAATGGCTTAGTTCACTATAAAAAAGGAGTGCTGCAAGATACACTAAACATACAAAAACACATGGGAGAAGAAAAAATACAACAATTCATCAACTTTGTATTACAATACTTATCAACCATCACACTGCCAATTAAAAGAGGCACCTTTGTGGAATTCCGCACTGGTATGCTGAACATTTCTCCCATAGGTAGATCTTGCTCACAAGAAGAAAGGGATGCATTTGAAATCTATGACAATAAACATAAAATTAGATCCAATATGATAGAAGCATTAAAAAGGGAATTTCCTAATATAGGGTTAACCTACAGCATCGGTGGACAAATAAGTTTTGATGTGTTCCCAAATGGGTGGGATAAAACATACTGTTTAAAGCATTTGGAGCATGAGGGTTTTGATGAAATACATTTCTTTGGGGATAAAACAATGAAAGGGGGAAATGATCATGAAATATTTCATGATTCCAGAACTATAGGCCACACAGTAAAGAACCCTGAAGATACAGTAAAACAACTAAAAGACTTATTTAAGTTATAATTGTTATTTACCTAAATACAAATATATTTTATTGTTTATTAAATTATTTGTTTTTCTATTTAAAAACTTTAGTTTAGTACCTCAGAATACAAGGGGACATTCACATAACATTATTCTCATAGAAAAAGAATATTTTAAAAAAAATGAAAAAAAACCTGTCACATAGGCACCTTGGCTTTTATTTTGAAAGTTGTAAAGTTGACATTTAAAAAGTATGGTAAACTGTGTTGTATTTTTCGTCGAATATTGTAAAGAATGAATTTGAATTATCCTTGCTTTGAAATTATCAATAAACCGACCAAACAGATCCAATCCACTATTTAAAAAAAATGTCACTTTTAAATATCCAGTGCCAAAACCTTTGTTACTTGATAACTTCTTCCTTTAATTATACATTTGTATCCTATAATTATAAATTTATGTGTAATTTACACATATGTGGTAATTTAATAAAAAGAATAATTTAAACAAATAAAATATTAATTAATTAGAATAGGGATTTTCAAAATATCTAATAAGACTTAATGAAGTTGGCAGTCTTGTTGGCTAACTTCTCGGCCGGTAAAATTGTTTTTTTTTGTCAATTGACATTTAAGATTGACATTTAAGATTATTTATTGTCGTTAATACATTTAATAAGTAATCCATTCCCGAAGAACTGAAAAACCTCATGTTAGTATAACCCCAATAATTTATGGTTGTGTAAGGTGATTTATTCCATTAAAAGAACGTGCAAGTTGTAGGTCAGTATTTTGCCAGATGATTGTATTTATATGTTGAATGCTTAAACACGTGTGTGTGCGAATTGCGAATTCTATTTTTACGTGAGTTGCTTTGTTTGTTTTCCAAAGTTATTTTCGTCTCAATTTGAGTTCTTTGGCGAACTTTGTCAATAAAAACATAGTAAAAGATGGTTAATTATTCATTAGGACCTTGAATGCTGCCGTTTTTTACAAATTGAAGTTTAGTAGGGTTGAAATATCGATGCAGTAGAATTTTAAGGGCTAAAAATAGTATATTGTGTAAGGTTTTCCAAAATTTAAGGTTAAAAATATAATATAATATATAAAAGTTGCATTATGATTTTGGATGGATCACCTTCATGTGAGTTATATTTAGATTTATTCTCACACCATTATGAGAAGTTCAGGATTGTTTTTTGTTGTCTTTTATTAGTCGCAAATTCAAGAGGTATAATGAACACAAAATGAATTTATTAACATTGGTAACTTGTAGATTTTCAATTGTGTTCAATGAAATTTATGCATGATAACATTTTTTCGATTTTGCTGTTAAAATAATCCATAATGGTTAAGAAATTGGTGTTGTTATTTGACCTCAAGTTGCTTAAGCTCATAATTCTTATCACATTACACAATAGTTGTTGTTTTTTTGCAAGTATTTGATAAGAATTATGTAAATATTTATCCAGATTAAAATCAAACCTTAAAATAGCCACAGAAAAATTTCCAACAACTATTTTCCATTGTTGTAGTGTTGCTGGAAAGAAGCTATGCACAATCTAAGACCTGAAGGCTTAAACGGAGGCCACAATCCAGAAAAAATATGCATCCTAGATGCTGGTGCGCAATATGGTAAAGTAATCGACAGAAAAGTAAGAGAACTATGTGTGGAATCTCATGTACTACCCCTGGACACCCCTGCATTTAACATCAAAGAAGGAGGATACAAGGCTATCATTATATCTGGGGGCCCTAGTTCTGTATATGCAGAAGATGCCCCAAGATATGATGCCGACATATTCCGGATAGGTTTGCCTGTGTTGGGAATATGTTATGGCATGCAAATGATGAATAAGGAATTTGGTGGTACGGTTATAAGAAAAGATACTAGAGAAGATGGCCAGTACACCATTGAAGTCAATCCTAAATGTCTCTTATTTAAGTAAGTTAATATATAAAACAATTTTTAGGGTTTTAATGTGTGGTATTTAAGTTAAACATTACATATGTCCAATAAGAATTTTGATTTACTTTATGGTTCTTAAGATTCAAAAGAAATGTTTAAATTTAGATAAATTAAAAGCAAAAAGGGATATTAACATGTAAGAAGACCAAGGTAAATTATTTCATTGCATTTATAATGTTTATTGAGATTAAATATAACATTTTATTATTGCCATACATTACACACACAGATATATTTTCTTTTTTTTTTTTAAATAATCTATATAATTTTGGAACTGTTTTGCTTTGATACTGTTATAAGCAGGGTTGTTATGTTTAAAACAATATTTTTATTTAAAATCAATTTAAAACATTTTTTTAATTGATTATTAAACAGATGAAATAATAAACAAACAAAAAATATGCCTTTATGGTTAAAAAACGATGTTTTATTTTATTTAGAATCTGAAGTTTAAATTGACATTTTTTTAAACTTGACCACTTGACAACTATTATACAATGTCTGAGATATCAATTGGTTGCCCAGTGCAGTTATCTCATTTTGGTAAACATTGACTTATCCAGTTTTTCTCAAATTGTCCAAATTTAATTTAATTGTTTTAGTTTTATTCAGACTTCTTTTATAAATCAAGGTAAAAAGCATGATCAGTTTAAATAAACACAAAATAATATATACTTACTCTAACTAGAGATGCGACTTGAAAAAAAACAGTTTCTTTTTTTTTCTTTTTTTTCAAATGTTTTTTTTCATATTTTAAGTTTTTTTTAAGATTAGTCCTTGCCTAATTTTTTATATTTCCAGTCCATTTCATGGACTAAAATTAGACACTTAATGACATTTAGTAAATGTAAATACAATCTCACGCTATGCACGCGCCACCACCACCGAATTGACCAATAAGGGCCGTCCTTGTTTTGACTTGGTCCTAAAAAAAATAACTACCTATAATATTTTTGATTCAGCGCTTGATTTTTCAAAAAGCTACCAAAAGCACTTTATTCATGATTTTTCAAATTCATGTAGATTATTGGAATTTTATTTTCTTCAAAAAAACAATAGCAAATTCTTGTAGAACATTTATTCATTGGTGGTTAAGTCAGAACATTCTGTGGACCAAAAAAGAAAGCCAAAAAAATTTCGAATTTTTCTTAGGATTGAACTTGCACGTTTTTCATCTAAAAATCTCAAATCTAGAAACTTCAAGCTTCAAATTGCTTTTTTTACGGCTCCAATACGACCATTTACTATACGAAAAATCGCAAAAAATTTGGAATTTTTTTTTATCCTTTAATTTTTTCTATTAGTGTAGAAGTTTTACATTGCTATTGGTTTCTTATGTGGAAACTACCAAATAATAAGAAATCAGATTTTTTAGTCTCGGTCAAAATTTTCAATAATGAAAAATGTAATATATTCTACATTTCACTTTATTATTAATATACATTTGACTCAAAATTTCATTTTGAAAAATTGCTTCATTTTTTAAGATTGATGTTATTTATTGACAGAATATGCTTTATTGTAGCAGATTTGAAAAAAAAAAACAATCACGATTTTTGATTTTTTAATTAAAAATCAAGTTTTACCTAACCCTGCTTATAACTAATTTTTAAGACAGTGTGAAATAATATAGGAACAACAACAATGTTTCAATGATTTTCCAATGTTTATTTCTTATTTTCAGGGGTTTAGATAAAGCGCAGCAGGTCCTGTTAACTCACGGCGATTCGATAGACAAAGTTGCGGAAAATTTCAAGTCAATAGCGCAAAGTTCCTCGTTTTGCGCGGGCATTTTCTACGAAAAATTACACTTATACGGCGTTCAATTTCACCCGGAAGTCGACTTGACCCCCAACGGAAAGTTGATGCTGAAAAATTTCCTATTCGACATCGCCGGACTCACCGGAAACTTTACTATGCAAGGTACAGTAAAAAAAATGTCACTAATTATTAAACTGATGTGTTTTTCCTCTGAACATGAGTCTAAAGTTAGAATTGATGGTTACTGAGCAAACTTCTAAGAAAAAAACATATTTTGGTAGCATAAAAAAAAAAGTTTTTTCAGTTGTTAGATTTTATGTATGTATTTAAAATTAATGCACTATATAATTTAATTAATATAGTTATATTAAATAAAGTTGAAAAAAGGAAAAAAATACATTTTATATTTTAACGTTATCTTTGATATAGTTTGCCTGAAGATGTTTTTTTTTTAATAGTAGGGAAATATACATTATCTACATCAAATATACATATCAAAATAGACAAATTACTATAATATAGGCTACTTTTTTATTTTTTAATTATAATAATTAAATTATAATTATAGTGCATTACTTTTAAAAACCTATAATAATACCTTTTCTTTTTCAAATACAATAAATATGTATGGTTGATACTTTTATTTAAAAAACGGTTTTGTCAAAAAAACCGGTTGAAGGTAGCCTTTTCTAGAGATGCGACTTGAAAAAAACGGTCCGTTTTTTTCAGGTTTTTTTTTCATATTTTAGTTTTTTTTAAAGATTAGTCCATTTGCCTAAATTTTTATGTTTCCAGTCCAGTTTGTGGACTAAAAGTAGCCAATAAATGACATTTAGTAAATGTAAATACAGTCTCGCGCTTCGCAAGACCCACCACCAGACACCACCACCACCGAATTGACCAATAAGGGCCGCGCTTGTTTTGATTTGGTCCTAAAAAAAGTAACTACCTATAATATTTTTGATTCAGCGCTTGAGTTTTCAAAAAGCTACCAAAAGCACTTTTTGCATGATTATTCAAATTCATGTAGAGTTTGGAAATTTATTTTTTCAAAAAAACAATAGCAAATTCTTGTAGAACATTTATTCATTGGTGGTTAAGTCGGAACTTTCCGTGGACCAAAAAAGAAAGCCAAAAAAATTTCGAATTTTTTTATTACGGTATTCGTTAGGATTAAGCGTTGCACGTAACGAAGATACAGCTATCCAAAAAATCGCTAAAAATTTGGATTTTTTTATCCTTTTTTCTATTAGTGGAAACTACCAAATAATAAGAAATCAGATTTTTTAGTCTGGGTCAAAATTTTCAATAATAATCTACCTACCTAATATAATAATATTATTAGGTATATTATATTATATTCTACATTTCACTTTATTATTAATATACATTTTACTCAAAATTTCATTTTGAAAAATTACTCCATTTTTTAAAACTGATATTATTTAATTACAGAATATGCTTTTTTCACATCTGAAAAAAATCTCTAGCCTTTTCTAATTCAGACATTATTATGGTTCCTTTTCAATGGGAACTCAAATCTGCCTAAATATTTTTGCTAGCTTTCAAAACTGTCAAAATACCCATGCTTAGCCTAGAAAAACGGACACCCTGTATATGCCAAGATTTAATACAATATTTAGGTCGATCTATTAAGAATATTTTAATATGAGTTATCCACGTGAACTATTCAATATTTGTTACAGCAAAAAATTAAACTATTTTTATTATATTATGCACTGATAAAGGATAGAAGGATTAAAAAATCAGGTAGCAGAGTGTTAAACATTTTTGTGTAATCCGTCAGGTCATTATTGTATATATAGTTTTAAAAAAAAATATTTACTAAATAAATGGACAACCATTAAAACCACATTTTAAAATTATTTAAATTGTACTCGAAATTGTATATATAACTTTATAGTCTAGCTGTTATAGAAGATGTTATATTATGTGCCGAATACCGTAGATAATTTTATTGAATCGCACTGAAGAATAAAATGACGTGATCCGAGACACGATTATCATTTTTTTAAATCTGTAGAAATTTTTAATGGGGGGAATTATAGACCTAAAAACCTGTTTTAGGAAGGGAAGCCGAGTGTGTAAAATACCTTCAAGAGGCCGTAGGTCAGAAAAAGGTCCTTCTACTGTGCAGTGGCGGCGTTGACAGTACCGTGTGCGCAGCCCTGCTGCGCAAAGCCTTGCATCCCGATCAAGTGGTCATGATTCACATAGACAATGGGTTTATGAGAAAAAACGAAAGCCAAATGGTAATTACTTAAGTAGAGTCAAATTTGTATACGATTATGTTTCACATAATATGTAATGTTGAATAAAAATAAGTAAAATGTTGCGTTTTAAGGTGTTTGGCGCGTTGCAAAAGGCCGGCATCTCGGTTCAAATGTACAACATGGCGTCGACGTTTTACGAGGGTACGACAGTGGTGCCGATCGACAAAAGCGACAGCAACTCGCGGACTAAAATAACGAAAATGCTGTGCATGACTGGCGATCCCGAGGAAAAGCGAAAGATCATCGGAGACGTGTTCGTGCGGATAACGAACGAAGTGGCCGCCGAACTCAATTTGAATCCCGAAGAGGTAAGCATTGAAATCCGTCGAAATTAATAATTTCAACCGTTTTGCACTTTTTTCTCAGGTGATTTTGGGTCAAGGCACGCTAAGACCGGATCTCATCGAGTCTGCTTCTCATCACGCGAGCAGCAAAGCCGACACAATTAAAACACATCACAACGATTCGGATTTGATCAGAAAGCTTAGAGACGAGGGCAGAGTCGTCGAGCCTTTGAAAGACTTTCACAAGGACGAGGTAAGAAATAATTAAGTTCATGAGAAACTTTAACTATCCCTCCAGATGACCGCGTAACGACATTCCACCTGTTAATAAAATAATAAAAACTGTAGTCTTTTTAAATATGGACTTTATAAACTCTAAATTTCCGCTTCTAAATTTTGGAGCGAAAATTTTGTCTATTAAGTCCATATTTAATGTGATGTTTCAATCAGAGACTATTCAGTTTTTTGAACACATGTGTTTGACATATATATATTCTAAAATTTGTTTGCAACATAATATATTTCTTTATGAGTCTAAACAAGTGTTGTATAATAATAAAAACTATTTTAGAATGCTAAAAACACGTTCTTAAATCTTTGTATGACATCTAAAATAGTTTTTTGACATCTAAAGTTGGTTTTTGACATTATGTCATGCTTTTGCTTCCTTAAATTTAATATTCTTAATTGTACAATTCTACAATGTGGTTTTGGAATAAAAAGATGGTTTTGGCATTTGGAAATTCTAAAGTGTGTTTTCTACATTATAAAATATAAAAAATTAAATAATTTGACATTTTTAAAGTCTTAGCATTTGCCCTAAAATTATTCTTTAAATCAATAGTGATGATTTAATATTCTATAATGTGATTTTGGCATTAATTAATGTGTTTTTACATTTTTAGTATTTATAGTAATTTGACCTTGCTAATTGTACTTTTGACATTCTCCAATTTAAAATTCTAAAATGTGTTTTCGACATTCCTTAATACATTTACAAGTGTGTCTTTTGACATCCTAAAATATTCTTTGACCACCTCAAATTGGTCTTGACAAAATTGTGTTTTGGAAGTCCTCAATTTAAGTTTTACATGTTTTTGACATAGTGCTAGTGCTTTTGGTATTATAAAACATTTGTTTTTGTAATTTTAAAATATTCTTCTTCAAATACTAATTATTTTGTTCTAAAATGTGCTTTTGATATTTCTAAACAATTTTCAGTAGGTTGGACATTCTTAAATAAAGTTTTTTCGATCTCAAATACGTCTTGACAATCTAAATTGTGTTTTGGTACATCTAAATTTAAGTTTTACATTTTTTTTTGGCATATAATATCCAAAATGTGCCTTTGATATTTTAAAACATTTTTCAGTAAGTTGGCTCTCTTAAAATTCAACAAAGTAAATAGATGAAGCTACAAACTTTTGTAAACTTGTGAAAGCCAAAATAATTTAATTTAAAGTGTTTACACAGCAAATTTTGTTTTTAAGCGGATGCTTAACCACGTCTCTCCGTCACTTTTGTAATGACATTTTTAAACATGTCTATAAATATTCTTAATATTATTTTAAAGTTGTATAATTTTTTTATGTAGCTATTTTAAGTTAAACATTTTGCATCTTTATGATTGTTTTTAAGTGATTAAACGTTAAAAATATTTTGTTGTTGACCGCAAGCATTAAAAACGACTAAATAAATTACTTGCTTTTTACTCTAAAAAAAAGTCTAAAGATTAACGAAACTTTAACTATTTTATCAGTAAACAGCATTGTTACTTAATCAAATAGTGGAAATTTGACTAATTCATTTTAAAAGATTGATTTTCTTAAATATAAGTTTTTTAATTATCTTTATATCTAAGTTTAATGATATGGCGATGATATTTTATCAAATTGTGACTGCGCATTTTTATTCTTAAGCTAAAACACTTGCATTTTAGGTGAGGCAGCTGGGTAGAGACCTGAACTTGCCCGAGCACCTGGTGATGAGGCATCCGTTCCCAGGCCCCGGTCTCGCAGTGCGCGTTCTCTGCGCAGAAGAACCGTACATGGAGCGCGACTTTTCCGAGACGCAAGTCCTCGTGAAAATCATCGTGGAGTTCAATCAGATGTTGATGAAGAAACACGCCTTACTTAACCGAGTGGAGGGAGTTACAAGTGATGATGAAAGGTAAGAAATTCTATTACAAGGTATTTTTATTAAAAATTGTGTCAGTTTTCAAGATTTCCTGATTTTTTTTATACATAAATAAAATAAATAAAATAAATAAAATAAATAAAATAAATAAAATAAATAAAATAAATAAAATAAATAAAATAAATAAAATAAATAAAATAAATAAAATAAATAAAATAAATAAAATAAATAAAATAAATAAAATAAATAAAATAAATAAAATAAATAAAATAAATAAAATAAATAAAATAAATAAAATAAATAAAATAAATAAAATAAATAAAATAAATAAAATAAATAAAATAAATAAAATAAATAAAATAAATAAAATAAATAAAATAAATAAAATAAATAAAATAAATAAAATAAATAAAATGAATAAAATGAATAAAATGAATAAAATGAATAAAATAAATAAAATAAATAAAATGAATAAAATGAATAAAATGAATAAAATGAATAAAATAAATAAAATAAATAAAATAAATAAAATAAATAAAATAAATAAAATGTATTTTCTGAGTGATAGATATGCTGGATGTGGTTCTTAAATTTTAAATTTTGTTTTAGTCTTTCTAATCTGTGACATTTAAAAGGGTGTTTTTACAAATTTTAATCTGTTTTTCATTCTTTATTTTGTTATTTTATTTTTTTTTATCTTGACATTCTTAACTTTCTTTGGGCATGTGGTCATATTCTTTATGGAGAGTATCTACTTAACTTCATGATTTATATTTTTACATTGCTAATAAAAAAAAATAGTAATGCAGGAAAACATTAATTGTTTAAGTATGGTTCCAAGTTCCAAGTAACATTTTAAAATGTATTTTTAGTATTATATAATTAATTTTTGAAATTATCTTTTTTAATAATTTAGTTTTTAATGGTGATTACTGCCTCACCTTGTTGGGTCACCTATAAAATTATTGGCACGCCTCGTTTTTATTTATAACTTAATAATACGTTTTAATAATATTAAGGTTTTATAAGTAGCTCAGGCGCGAATTTTAAAGGTCGTACGATAATTAATTACCGAGAAATTAATTGTAATATTTTTAGGTTTATAATCTGTACAAATTATTTAAGTGAAAGTTTGTTTGTAAGGGTAATTTTTTAAGCTGATTTTTATAATTTAATTAGGATTTGTGTATCTTCTATTTTTTTTTGCATGATCATTGCACATTTAAAATTTTTATATGTTGTGAAAACTATCTTCACAACATATAAAAATTTTGAATGTGTGCTCCTGATAAAAGATGTCCAAAGAACAGTGTTGTCGAACCTACCGAAATTTCGGTATTTCTACCGAAATGGCAACGAAAATACCGAAATACCGAATACTTTGAATTTTTACCGATTTTTGGCAATAATTTGTTTCCACCAATTTTTGGCAATAATATCACATTTGATACTGGCAACAATGGTCACAGCTTTAGTTCAAAAAATTAAATATATAATGTAAGACTTTTTAAAACAATTTCTGAATTTATTAAGCCTGTCACTCCTATTATGATTACAACAATGAAGGTTTTGGGTGAAACTGCAACCAGCATAATCAACTCTATAACACTTATTTACTTAAACTGATTTAGGGTTATTTCTTATATAACAGACAGTAGCAATAAAGCGATATTTCAAACCATATACATATATTAGCAAACAAAGAATTAACAATAAAAATGAAAAGATAATAAACAAGGAAAATTAAGTTACTTAAGTTAAATTAAAAGTAGGTAAATAAACTTAATCCAGAGATTTAATTAAAGAGAACTACTAGTTTACAAAACAGACTAGAAATGAATGAAATAAACTTTTTGAGTAAATCTATTCTAAACAAATTGGTTTGAAATACAATAATTACTATAGATACCTTACACTGAATCAGTAAAACTGCAGTTACATTTAGCCTTTTTTATTATGGTTTGTATTTTCTTTTAAATAAAATTTTTGATTTACCGATTTTTAATTTATTTGTTAAATACAAAACACGGCAACGGTGGAATTTAGTCTTAATAATTTATACCGATTTTGCGCAGTAATCTACCGATTTTAAACGCTACTTTCTCCCGATTTAGCATTTTGACGTTCGACAACATTGCCAAAGAACTATTTCCAGAAAAAAAATCATCTTGGCTGAGAAAACAATTCTTGAACTTTCGTGTGACTAAATAACTCGGTCTTTGATTTTCGTTAGCTATGCAAGTTCCGTTGCACGCTGAAATTTGACTCTTAACGCGCCAAAAGAGAAGTATAACTCGAAGAATATCTTTTTCAGGGAAATTTTACGTAGAATATCGAGCAAACAGAAGCTGGCGGCCACGCTGCTGCCGATCCGCAGCGTGGGCGTGCAGGGCGACTGCCGGTCGTACTCGTACGTGGCGGGCATCAGCAGCGACCAGGAGCCCGACTGGGACGACATGATGTTCCTGGCGGCGCTGATACCGCGCATATGCCGCAACGTAAACCGCGTCTGCTACGTGTTCGGCGGCATCGTCAAGGAGCCGCTGCCCGACGTCACGCCCACCTTCCTCACCGGCAACGTGCTCGGCACGCTGAGGCAGTGCGATCACGTCGCCATGCGGGTAAGTTTATCCACTCTCACAATACACTGACACTAGGGGTGTCGATCCCGAGCCATTTTTTCAATCCCGGGACTTTCGTGACTAGGGTTGCAACATTTCATGAAAAGTTGAAATTTTTGAAAAGTTCGGTTTTATTTTTCGGAAAAGTTGGAAAAGATGGAAAAGTTGAGTTTTTTGTAATGTAAACGTATAAAACATAAATAATACTTGTCAATGTATTAAAATAATTTATTTCTTATGTATTTATACATACGTAACAAAATAAAAAAAAAATATCAAACAAAATAAAATGAACAGACAACATAATAACAACAAAAATAAACTAGGTTTGAGTTAAAAAAATCATATTTTTTAAGTAAAAATTAATAGAAATGTATACACACCATAAAAAACACATACGAAATAAAAAATAATTACAAAAAAATTTGAAGCAAAAATAATTAAATTTATTGTTGTTAAAAATTATGGAAATTTACAAGTAAAAATTTAAAAAGAAAAAGAAAATAAAACTTTCTTCTTTTCCACTTTTATATTTTCACTTGCAAATTTCCATAATTAAAAAAAAATAATATTTTTTTCATACTGTGTATAAATTTAAAATACGTTATGATAAAACAATCTTTATATAATAGAAAATGCTGTTAGCAGACACCATTTTTGATAAAGTTTGACAGAATGTTATTTCAAAAAACAATGCTTTTAGCACGTTTTACTAAAAACACTTCAAATCTAGCGATTTATATCGAATTTTGACCAAATTTTCTACCAAAAAAAATTTATGGTAGTGGAAACTGGTTAGAAGTCAACTCATTGTTCATTGGCTCCCACCTAATAACTTTTCCAATTTTTCCAACTATTCATAGGGGGTGCCGAACTTTTCCAACTTTTCCAACTTTTCGACCGAACTTTTCCTTGTTTGCAACACTAGATCAGTCCCGAAAAAATTAAAATCTTTAATTTTAAAACCAATTTGAAATAAATGAAGAAACGAACTAACGAACATTTAAATTTTAACAGTTTTACAAAATATAATTTAAAATAATAAATAAACAACATCTTTCAGACTACGCACTAGTTGGAGGAATGGTTATTTAAGAATTCGTTGGCACATTATAGATTGTACCCACGTTTACCCCCATTAGCAAATAATTGCATTTCTTTCTCACCCCGTCTTTGCTATTTTCTATTCTATCTATAGCTAGAAATTTGTCTAATTCATATTTATGTAATGTTTGCGGCCTATCCATTTTGTCGTTAGTATCCTCCACACATGAAACGTGAGACTTTTGGAACAATATTTTGCATTTTGAATGTATGAAGAAAACACGGTCTAATTTTTAGCGGTGTTACAACTATTTGCTACTATTGTGTTATAAAAGAAACGAATATTTATAAACATTATATTTTAGGGCTTAATTTCCATTCATATTATATCACCTCTTGTGCGACATTATTCGGTAATTAAGTAATTATATTATATACACTGCCCGTCAAAATTAACGCATAACAAGTAAAAAAAAAATCCAACTCTAAAACGCCTTTACCAATCTTTATAAAATTTTGTATAAACATACTTCAACTTATATCTCAGTTAACGTGTTTGAGGGTTTTTCGAGAAAATATTTTTAAAGCTCTTATTTAATAATTAAAAAAACGTTCTAAAAATATCTTTAAGGGAATTTTTTTTTAAGTAAATAAAAAGATGCTGTTAAAGACCGTATTTTTGTTAGTATACCCTGAAATTTTTGTACAAATCAAACGAACAGTAACGAATATAAAGCGCTTCAAAGTCACTTTTTTATTATTTAAAAGTGGTCATTTTTGACGACTTTGAAGCGCTGTATTTTCGTTACTGTTCGTTTGATTTGTACAACATTTTCAGGGTATACTAACAAAAATACGGTCTTTTACAACATATTTTTTATTTACTTAAAAATAAATTTTCCTCTAAAAGTTTTTTATCGAGCTTTTTTTATTATTAAATAAAAGGGCTTTAAGGATATTTTCTCGAAAAACCTTTGAACACGTAAACTGAGATATAAGTTGAAGTATTTTTATACAATTACAAATATTGGTAAAGGCGTTTTAGAGTTGGATTTTTTTTTTTACTTGTTATGCGTTAATTTTGACGCGCAGTGTATATATATAGGATATAGTATAATTAGGCTTTGACTAGCTTTCTTTGCAAGTCAACAATATAAGTAGTTGCCTATGAAAAGAAACATATCCATCAATGAGTTCATCCTGTTGTAGTATTTGAAAAATGGTATTGTAGCAAAGCTTGTAAATGTAAATTTGTATTTAAAGATGATGTGGCCGTTTCTGATACACAAAATAATTTGTCAATTAGCTGGTAAGATTTCGTTTATTGGGCTGGATCCCATGTGTGCAGATAATTTATCTAGGCTCTTCTGTGCTGCTGTCTTAATACTGTGTTTGTTTAACAAAGTGCTTTTTTACCAAAAGAACCTTCACATTGACGCTTAAGAGAAGACTTAATAATACTTCTAATTTACTCTACAAATTTTGTGCAAACGGATAGTGTTTTAAATTATTTTTATGATTTTCGGGCATAACTCAGATACGAATGTCAGTTGAACTTTTAAAACATTATTTTAGATAAGTGGTGCTTCATATTCCTTAAAAAAAACAATAGTATGCCTCACATAAAACAAAGTTATTCGAAAAGTATTGTTAATACAAAATTTCGCGTGTATCGCATCTATTTCGTAAAAACGAAAATTACGTACTCCTAGCCCTAAGCGATGAAACGCCCTAGTAACAAAGTTTCAGTTGCTTAAACAAAACCAACACACGTAAATTTAACGCATGTTGGCAATCTACGGTTAAAGTTTAACCGTTAAACGAACCCTGACATTCCGTTTCAGGTGTTGGAGAGCAGCGGCCACCTTAGTTCAATAAGTCAAATGCCTGTGATTCTTATTCCGTTAGATTTTGACCGGGACCAGGCGCTGAGGATCCCCTCGTGTCAAAGGTCGATCGTTTTGCGGCCTTTTTGCACGCAAGATTTCATGACCGGCGTGCCTGCCGTCCCAGGCAAACAGCTACCTATTGATGTAAGTACCTAACCTAACATCATGCAACAATCGCATATTCATGATCTCAAGTTGTTTGATGTGTTGCATATAGAGATTTGATGGGAAAAATTGGAAATAGAAAAAAATTTGAATCTTGAAAATACATTAATATAATCATTAAAATCTGATATCTAAATCAATCAATCAAATTTTCCGGTACTAAATCTCTTGTTGCATGAACATGGCATATCTTAATGTGGTTTGTTTGATTAAGGTTATACAAAAGATGGTGTCGGAAGTGGTTCAGGTGCCTGGAATTTCTCGTGTTTTGTACGATTTAACCTCAAAACCGCCGGGGACAACGGAGTGGGAATGAGTAAGGAACACCGTATTTATAGCAACAAGTGTCTGAAATTGAATAAATTATTGATTGTGTAATTTGAATATTGATAGATCTGGACAGACTTTTTTAAATGTTTCTGTTTTAAATCGTTATTTGTCATATTATATAATTAAATTACCAAGTTACGGCACATTTGGATATATCCCAATGCGTTATACAAATTGGTGGACATATTTTAGCATTGCATTGAGTTGTATTTAAATGTCACTTCACAGTTTTTAAAAAATGCACCACGCATGGCTCAACTATTGTTGTATGCGATATTTATAAATAAAAACATTGTTAAAACATTTATCAAGGCATATGTTGGTCTTTATACTTTTTTTTTTTCTAATCTTAAATTATTTGTACTATTTCTTTTCGAAACTATCATTTTCAATTAATTATACTGCATAACTTATTAAAATATATTGTTTACTTTCAATAAAACAGTTATATTACAAATTGTTGTTGTTTTTTAAAACCTATTTAATATTTGAAAAAAAATTAATGACAAAACATTTTTTGTCATTAATTTTTCTCAAAAAATCCTTTAAAATAAATATTTTTAATTTCTGTAATTTTAAACCATTTATTAACAACGACACAACAATAACATGGCTGTATAAAACAGAAAAATGAATCAGTTTGCAAAGAATATAAAAACCTAACTAGGACAACGTTTAAAACAATGTAAAATCTTTTATTTTAAACCAATCCATTGTAACGGGTGTGACACTAAAACTGCGTTTTTTCATGAAAGATACGTTAATATAGAAAAATTGAATAAAAAAATTAGGTATTTAACTCAAATAAAATGTCAATAAAAACTTGTATAGAAAACCTTTTGTAACGTCATGAATAGCGTAACGGGCGCGACCTTAAAAAATCGGCAAATGCGACCAAGTTGGCTTCTAAAGTTGATACTGTAAAATTTTGGATGATAGAATTTTCTCAAAATGTAACGGGTGCGACATTTGAACATTTTATCGAGTATTGAAACTCTTCCGTGTTTATTCTTAATGTTAACTTCTTGGCAGCACAATGTACGAATATTTTAAGGGTATAACTTACGTCGTAATTAAACTATTTGACTTCAGATATAGTTGTTATTTTGTTAAATAACATCTGATTTTTTGTCAATGTGGGGAAATACCCAAGGGTCACTTTTTAATTTATTGTAAAAACCATATTTATTATTATATAAACAGGGTGTTAACAAAAGGTTGTCAAAAAATTTACCAGGTGGTGGAAGTTCTTAAAATAATAATAAAAAATGTATATAAACATAGTGAAGGAATAAATCATAAGTGAGCTAAAGCCCCTTTCTTAATTGAAAATTGAATTGAAAACCAGATATATCCACTTTTAAAATAATGTGTTCACGATGTTTAAATCTTCGTGAGGTCTAGCGATGCTTATACTACTTTGGGATCAAAACCCTATGTCTGGTATCTGAAATGTTATGACCATTTTTGAATAGTAATGACAACGAAACCACATCACTTAAGTATTACTTAAGGTTGTAGTAGTAAAGACATAGTGAAGGTATAGCAGTAAAACAAAATTAGTTTAAATATAAATATTTATTTAACTTAACTATAATACTAATAAAATATTCCTAACAAGAAAAAAGGTATATAAGAAATTTATTTAGTACATAATAAAATTTTAATCAATCACAATTTAACACGATTTGGTTATGTACTGACTAGTTACTGTATTAAAATTCATATAAACATCCTCTGATTGCATAACAGTTCTGTAATTTAAGAAATTTTTGAGGTACTGCTTTTATTTGCACTATAAAAATATAATAAAAAGCATATAAATTCGATACGGTTTGGAATGCAATAAATCACCTGATAAAATATATTTAGGTACTTTGGTACTAAATAAAGTACTATTGATTATTTTAGGCTAAATTGCTGAGATAAAAAAGAAACAAGGCAGTGTTTAATTTTAAAACCTTTACAATTTGTTTAGTTGTTTATTTATACAGTTAAATTAACACTATTTTAATTAAATAAAAAATCTTTTAAAAGTTTAAAGTAAAAGGTTAATAAACTAATCGTTTAAACACTGCAGTGTTGTCAAAATACTTACTTATTCAACCTAAGTATCATAACTGAATAAAATAACTGATAAATAACAGTTTTGAGCTTACATAGTACTATAACTAATTCCCTAAAACATTAGACTTATTTTTGCAAAGTAATATTGCTACAACATTTAAGTCGCTTGGTTTCAAAACCCAAAAAAACGTAAAACGGTATTCACTAAATATTAAAGGGGTAACACCACTGAAACAACCAGGGTGTTAAAGTTCAATTTTCTGGGAAAATATACACATTTAAACAAATTTTAAAAAATATTTTCTTTATTACAGAAAAACACAAATAAAACTAATCTTTAAATATCAACAGCCTTTTTGCAAAAGGAAGTCCATTGAAACTATTCATTTGCATAATAATAAATGATTTATAAAGTTAAATTACAAAATTATAATTTTATAAATCGATGTGTCAAATAAAACGAGCTCTGATATGTTTTTTGCGGCCCGGTAAAAAAGGAATAATTATTATAATCATAATATTATATGATTATTAGGGTCGGAAATTTACCTTTTTCTCGATATAATTGTACGTAAAAAAATTGGAAATTTTCAGAATTTCTTGAATTTATTTCGGGGTTTATTTTTTTTACCCCGAAAAAAAAAATGCAAAAGTTAATTTTTATTAAAATTTTGAATAGTTTTTTTTGGCGGCTCAATTTTTCCGGAAATTTTAAAACCCTAGTAACAACCTAAAAAGCGCTTTTTTGACAATTTTTCTTTTGTTGGAAGAAAAGATAATAATACTTTAAGAAGTTATTAGCTAAGTGTATATTTTAGTATTATACAAAACATTATTGTCAAGAAATATCAAAAAATGACTGGAGCCATTCTTAGGAAAGAAGAATTTATAACAAAAAAAATATATTCATTCAAAATTAAAACAAAATTGGCGTTAAATTCAAAAGTCGCACCTTGACATTTGAATACAACTAACTGAGGTTATCTATCTGTCAGTTTCATCCTATTTTCTGAAAATAATACAATACGTGTATTTTTGTCTATAAAGTTCTTAATATGTATTTTTTGTGTTCTAAATTAATACCGTTATACACAAAAATACATATATTGCATTATTTTCAGAAAATCAGACGAAACCGACAGATAGATAACCTCAAATATTTGTATTCAAATGTCAAGGTGGGAGCATAGTAGATGTATTGACGTAGGGTGACCAGACGTCCTCCTCAATGATAGTGTCCTCCTTTTGAATTATAAAAACACCCACTTTTAAATAACATTTTTACATGTATTTTAAACATATTTTTGTGGTACCTATTGCTCTTAGTGGGTAGACAACAGATGATTTTTTTTAAACTGGGCTAGAAACAATAAAAACGTCGAACATAAATTTCTTGCATTTTTTAATTATTTTGATAAAAATCATATACCAACCATGTGAAAATTTATAAAAAAGGGGACAAATGCTACAATGACAATAATTATTCTATTAGGTATAGTAAAGCTAAATATATGCATTGCAATGAATTGCAATCTTTGCGAAAAAAATAACTTCTAGTCGAAAGTATACCTAAAAAACTAAGTAAATGCATGTTTTAAAAAAATAAAAAAAAGTTTTTATGTTTATGTTTTTTAATAAATTTATATGTTTTTAAAACTACTATAATTTTATTATATAAATGTTTTTCTTTGGCGCTATTAAATTCTGGTCACCCTAATTGACGCTACACTAACATAGTTTTGTTTGCTAACTAAAACCTAGACATTTTCAACAACATCTGTTGGGTTAAGAAATGATAAAACAGGTTTTCTTGACGCCGGTATAATTGATAAAAAGTCGGTTTTTTTTAAGTATACAGTGGTGGTACCTCTTAAACCACATTTTGTCAGATTTTGACGCACGTAAATAATGAATTTGTGGCCCTTTGAACCCAGGCGACTTGACTCTACAAACAACTCAACACAGTAGGCTTATGTTGCCGTTATCGGCGCCCAATAGCAGAAGCCTGTTGAGCGGCAAGAGCGCCATGGACGTGAGTAGGCCTTTGAAGGCGTCGGCGCGCAGTCTGGTGCTGGAAAAGGACGCCTCGGCGTCGGTCGACGTGTGCACGCCGATGCGGTTGCCCGTCGTGCCCGAGATCAGTTCGTTGTGGTAAGTGTTGAGACAGTGCACCGGCTCGGTGGCTCCCCTAGGAAGGCAAACGCTGTTAATCAACAAGGCCAAGCGTAAAAAATACTACTACTAGATAGAGAAATAAATAAGTAGACATAAATAATAATAAAAATGTAATAAACTCGGTCTGTTTTCTCTCTAAACACATTTTATCAAAATTTGATTGTAACAAACTCTAATTAATTAGTTAGTGTAAAAGATTATGCCAATAATGTTATAATTCCACGTTAATAAACAGTAGGGTGGAGCGAAAAAAAAACTTTTTTTCCTTAGCCTGGGGGTGGAATTTGTAGCCTATAAAAAAGAAAATTTTTGAAAAAAAAAAAATTTTACCCAACGTCTTGAGTTGGCCCACTGATTTTTTAAATTAAGTTAAAATTCTTTTGAATAAAAAAAAATTTCAAAAGTGTTCCGGAAACTGCGGAGTGTCCTCTTTCTTGCTAATTAACAGTTATGAACTTAAACAATTTTTGTGGTCATTATTGTTGTTTTTAAAAAAATTCCAAAATAGTAACATGCTTTTCTGAGGCAATAGAGCGAATTTCAAGTTGAACACGATGAAATTTGTTTATTTTTAGATAAATTTGAAGATTACAAGCCAAAATAAGAATTTTAACTTAAATTTAATTTAAAAAATCAGTGGGCCACCTCAAGACGTTGGGTAAAAATTTTTTTTTTCAAAAATTTTCTTTTTTTATAGGCTACAAATTCCACCCCCAGGCTAAGGGAAAAAAAATTCGCTCCACCCTAATAAACAGCCACGCCGCTATAAACAGTCAACAATACACGAGCGTTCCCAAGCAGCATTTTTGGTTCCAAAAACCATTACCAAAGTGGTGATAACTTTAAATGAGTTAAGTATACTAAACAGCTACTTTCATTTTTACTTAAAAGTAATTCTAACTTTTAAATAGCAATATTTTGTAACAGAAACTTCATTCTTTCCTTAAATGGTTACTATAAAGTAATAAACATTTAAGCAACTTTAAAAAAGGTGTTATAAGTAAAAAAACTTTCAAGTAAATTTAATTTGTACCAGTTACTTTCGGTTGCTCCCTAAAGATTACATTATAATTATTTTTACTTTGTAGTCCCTTTGCAAGTTAAAATCTCGAAACTGGAACATGAGTTCAAAACTACAAAGTTAATAACTTAAAGTTATTATTTTAGTATTTGGAACGTTTATGGTACTACCGTAAAGTAAATTAAGGTGAAAAAAAAATTTAAAGTAGCGAAAACTACTTCAAAGAGAAATGCTTCTTATCGGCCATTTTTTACTGTGGTAATTACGTGGTAATGTAAATAATAAATTATTTTAATTGTTGGTAAATGGTTGTTTACTTTTTAATAAATAGTAATTTTGTTGGTAATAATAAAATAAAAAATTAATAATAAATATTAAGATTTTTTTATTTATAAACATTATTAAATGAATAATTTGTTTATACTTAAATATTGATGAAGCGCATTTATTTTACAAAAACTAAATTCATCAGTTCAACAGTAAAATTTAAAGGGTTTATAAATTTACCTGCCAAATTATACATTATATTGTTATTTTGGAAGTTATAAACTACCAGTACATATTTAATATTCGACGACATTGAAAAGCCAAGTCCGTAGTGGTTCCATTTAAAAAATGAGGGATAGTATAATCTAATATAAGTTTGACAGTTAATATGAAAGTAAAAATAAATAAATAAAAGTAATTATAATGCTCTAGCAACGATATTGAAACGTTCTAGTAACGTAGCAGCTACGTTCCAAATAGTTCCAAATTAGTAGCAGGGTTTATAGCTAGTTATATATTTGTTACCTTTTTGAAACTCAATAATTGTCCCCCACTTTAGTCGTAACTTAGTAATGAAAGAGTAATATAAAGAGACCGGCGACTGTCGCAAAACACTTTTAAGTTTCTTCAATAGTCCCATATACGTAACAAATACTTAAATTGTTGCTTGGGTTAGATCACAATCCACACAACAAGGTCTGTTCTATCTCGTACTAAAAATACAAAAAATCACTGCAACACTGCACAGTTTAACGGCGGCCATTTTTATGTTTACAATTTTTGTGCTTTGGGTTTGTGCTCTGTTTATACAGATTAATAATCGTTTTAAACGTTGTGTTTCTCATAGTAAGCCTTAAAAGAGACCTTAAAGTGCTAAGAACAACCATTTTACTCCTCTATTGTAAAAAATAAACTTTATTCTATCAGGGCTGTCATAAAACTGTCAAATGTCAATTTTAAGGTTAAATTATAACCTACAAATTAACCTTTAAATTGTCATTTGAAAGCCCTGATAGAATAAGGTATATTTATTATAAAAGAGAAGTAAAATGGTTGTCCTTAGCACTTAAAGGCCCTATTTGATGCTTACAAGTGCCTATGTAAGAAACCCAACGTTTAAAATAATTATTAAACAGCACAAACCCAAAGCACAAGAATTGTAAACAACAAAAATGGCCGCCGTTAAACTCTGTGCAGTGTTGCAGTGATTTTTAGTATTTTTAGCATGAGATAGAACATACCTTGTTGTGTGGATCGTGGGTTAGATTATGCCTGGGCACGTATAAATAGACCTTAACACTGACGTCATAATCATATTATGTCGTTGATGACGTGCACCAATGCAGGTTTGGCCGCGACTATATTTCACTTTTAAGCTTGCGGCGAGACTTTTTAAGATTTAACTTTTAAAGAAACAAACAAAACTACATGCATTACTTAATCATGCAACAAAAATTACAAACCTCAACTGAAAGCGGAACTTTCCATCGTTGACATTCCACACGCTTATGGTCTGATCGAGACTGCTCGAGACTAGAGTGGTGTTGTCCACCGCGACCAACTGCAGCACCTCGCTCTCGTGCGCGCGCCAGTTGGAGATCACCAATCCAGTTCTGGTATCCAGAACGGTGATGTTTCCAGAAGACTGGCCAGCAGCGAACCAGAGGCCGTTCGGACCAATTGCTATGCATCTAATTAGGCCTGAAGGATTTGCACTTATCTGAAGAAAAAAAATAACTTGGCCTTAGGGTATTTCCACGAAACCTTACCCCACATTGACAAAAAAGCAGATGTGTTATTTAACAAAATAACAACTATATCCAACTAAGTCTAGTTTAATTGCGACGTAATTTATACCCTTAAAATATTTGTACATTGTGATGCCAAGAAGATAACATTAAGAATAAACACGGAAGAGTTTCAATACTCGATAAAATGTCGCACCCGTTACATTTTGAGAAAATTTTAGAAAATAAAGTATACATTATTTGTGCATTTAAAATACGTGCTTGTTTAAGGTTACTATTCAAGTTTTACACAAAAAATTATTACTATATGCTTTCATCCAAAATTTTATAGTATCAACTTTAGAAGCCAACTTGGTCGCATTTGCCAATTTTCCAAGGTCGCGCCGGTTACGCTATTCATGACGTTATAAAAGGTTTTCTATACAAGTTTTTATTGACATTTTGTTTGAGTTAAATACCTAATTGTTTATACATTTTCTTTAAATTAACTATCTTGATATATGTATATGAACAAACGCAGTTTTAGTGTTACAATGGAAATACCCCTTATAAATAAAAGTAACATTTAATACTAATTAATAAATATCAGAAATTAAAAAAATGCTTTTTATAAAAATTTATCAAAATTTTTTCAAAGTATATAGTTTAGAATACAGGGTAGGTTGTCTCCGAATCCCATTCAAAAATTTAAAGTGATGATTTTACGGCGGGAAAAATGTATAAAGGTTTCTAAGAACATGGGTCAAAATGTTATATAAGGGAGTTCCGCCGGTTTAAAGGAACTCAACAGCATAACGCAGAACCAATAAATTTCAAAGCGATTTTTCTTAGAAACGGCCGCTCCAAGAAAAGGAATCTTGGGTCCAAAAATCAAATTTTACAGGAGAGGCAATTGAAGTAACATGCACCAATCTACTATAAACAATCATAATCTTAAAAAACATTTTTTGGACCAAAGGTTCGTTTTCTTAGAGCGCGTCACATATCTATATGTAGCAGCAATTTGAAGGTACATTTTAAGTTTCAATTCGAAGAACCGCCAAAAGAGATACAATTTTGAGAATAATGAAACGCTAAAATTTAAAAATCAATTTAAATTTTTATAAAACTCCCAAATTGCAGTTTGAAACTAGCTTGAAACTTGGACATAGTTTCTTAAAAAATATTACATCAGGGTTTTCGACTAAACTAAAGGGGAAAGGACTAGAGAATTCTGTTCATTAAGAGACATGTTATCAACAAATTATTTTATGTTTCCAGTAGTGGCAATGCTACCTCTTGACACTCTTGACTTTCAGTAGATTTAAAATTTTGCATGGATAATCTTATAATATAAGATTTTTTATGTGTTTGACCATTTTGGTTGCATTAACGACATGTATTTTTTTAAAGAGCTTGCATTTTTTGCCCTATTTTGTAATAATTCCAAATATAAAAATTTTCTCTAAGCATTGTACGGTATCTATAAATGAACAACAAAAACGTTAGAATGATTTTAACTTTGTTTATTGTTTTTATTTTGTTGAGACAAAGGGTTTTTTTGCAAAATGGAAACTTTCCCTAAAATGAAAACTTTCCAATTCTCATCTCTAACTAATAATTTTAACACCCTGTATCTCAAAGGGGGAGCAAAATTTGAGCATAATGTATTTTACAAATTTTCTTTTAACTATTATATTATTATTATTATTATACAGGATACTTTAAAACTAGTCTAACAAAAAGTACATTGCTCTAGAGTAGAGATGCAACTTGAAAAAAAACGGTCCGTTTTTTTGTTTTTTTATTGTTTTTTTTCAAATGTTTTTTTTTTCTTCACATTTTAGGTTTTTTTTCAAGATTAGTCCCATTTGCCTAATTTTTTATGTTTCCATGGACTAAAGTTAGCCACTAAATCACAATTAGTAGATGTAAATACAGTCTCGCGCTATGCACGCGCCACCACCACCGAATTGACCAATAAGGGCCGCGCTTGTTTTGATTTGGTCCTAAAAAAGTAACTACATATAATATTTTTGATTCAGCGCTTGATTTTTCAAAAAGCTACCAAAAGCCCTTTTTTCATGATTTTTCAAATTTATGTAGAGTATGGAAATGTTTTTCCAAAAAAACAATAGCAAATTCTTGTATTCATTGGTGGTCAGAACATTCCGTGGACCAAAAAAGAAAGCAAAAAAAATCGATTTTTTTTATTACGGTATTCGTTAGAATTGAGCGTTGCACGTTTATCATCTAAAAATCTCAAAACTAGAAACTTCAAGCTTCAAATTGTTTTTTTACGGCTCCAATACGACCATTTTTAACAAAGATACAGCTATCCGAAAAATCGCAAAAACAATTTTTTATCCTTTAATTTTTTGTATTAGTGTAGAAGTTTTACATTGCTATTGGTTTTTAATGTGGAAACTACCAAATAATAAGAAATCAGATTTTTTAGTCTTGGTCAAAATTTTCAAAAATGAAAAATGTAGGTAATATATTCTACATTTTACTCAAAATTTTATTTTGAAAAAAAACAGTTTTTTTCTAGGTTTATTTTAATTAAAATATCTTAAGAAAACGGCACTATAGAACAACGTATTAAGAATATTTTTTTGTGTAAAAATTACTGTAAAATATAATAAAAAAAAATGGTTAGCATTTTTGTACATATTAGAACTTTATTTTTACGTATTCTACCCTTTTAAAGTTTGTTGCATTAGTTGTAGATCACCCTGTATTTTGAATATATAAACTGGATCATCCTGTGTATAACTAAACTTATCTAGGTACTTACTTTTAATTCTTGTATATAACTGCACAGCCGCATATCGATAACCTTGACAGTGCCGTCCGTGGTTGCCGCATAAACCAGACTAGATGGCGCTGGCATGCTTTTCAGCACGTTGACGGGCGAATATTTTTGACTTTCGAGGTTTCCGACGTTGGCACCCATGAAAGGGTCCCATATGTGAACCACGCTGTCGCAAGACGCGGCCAGGCGCATGCTCTCGCAAAAAGTAATCGCCAAAATTGACTTTTTGTGAGCGGTGTACGTCCACTGGCAGGACGATACGGCCGTGCCGTCGCCCTGGCTCCTCAGCGACCACAGCTTGACCGTTTTGTCCCTCGATCCGGACATGAAACTGTTCTCGTTGTCCAAGACGTACAGGGATTTAACGCTGTTCGTGTGACCGGCGAAAGTTTGCAGCTTAATTTGCTTAAAGTTGAACATCGTGTCTTTTTCCGCTCTACCTATCTCGTGCTCCCAGTAGGCTAACCAGTTACCCCGCAAGTGTCTAGAATTATTCTCCATTCTGTTACTTACGAGGTTTAATAGCTCAGTATTCAAACTGTCGAAATTTTCGGTCTGTATGTCAATTCTGTTACCCACGAGTGATATATTGCTGCCAATACTGCTGGATTGCGGAATATTGCTGGATTTATAACTTTCGAAGACTCTATTGACTATATTAACCCCTTTTTGTTCATAATCCTGGCACAAGCTCTTAATGTTCTCGTGGTTTTTCAATGAAATTTCCAACGAGGCAGCACCTACGTGCTTCAAAAACGGCATGTAACATGTGAACGCTAACTCGGGAGTGAACACAGCTTTCAACTCGTCGAGTGCCAAATTCGTATTGTCTTCGCATGTCTGGAAAGATACAGGGGGCGATAAACTGTCGGTGTCCGCATCCTTAACTCGAGCGTGCGAAATTTGGACCGGCGTACCACCCACAACCCACTCAGTGGTGCTGCCGTCACTTTTGAGTTCGACGAAATGCAATTCTTCCATCGACTTTAGGAGGGGATCTTTTTCAGTCTGCAAAACAAGTTGTTAAAAGAGATATCCTAATTAAAAATAAAGTACTCACTTTTTCTTCATTTTGTTTGTACTGGTCACTAAAATGTACTTTGTCAAATATCATAAAGAACCTCTGCAACGCTGGTACTGCTAGTAATGTTTTTGTCATGTCAGATCCCATTCTGATAGAAAGTACATACAAAGCGTCCAAATACTTTCGAGTTAAAATATTTCTCGCCAAAGATCCGCTAGGGAATGTGTATTTTGTTGAACCCAACAGCCTTACTGTAGGGTGTACAATATTCTTTAAGATAACATCCTAAAAATATATGTATTTTAGAAGAAAGCTATACCTACAAGTGTTTTAATATCATTTGTGGAAATATCAAGAAATTCATTCATTAAAAAATATTCAAGGTGTAGCGAGAGTTTTCAGCAGGGGGGGCAAAAGAATCCGGACTTATAATCTCAAGGAAACAAGTAATCATAAAAAACAAGAGCTAAGCTTCCTACAACATATTTTTCAAATAATGATTTTCGACGGATAATTAAATTGGGAGCACTTTTCGAGCAGGCACAGAAGTGACGTCACAGCTTAACACCGTTCCGAGGAAGATATGAAACGCTTTTAACCGCACGTAAGTATCAGGAGAGCATGAAGATGTAAGTGACGTTGACGTGTGCGATGTGTGCAACAAAAAATAAAAGGTTTTAAAGTCGCAGAGGTCATTACATCAGTACCAGAAAGGCATAAAAGTATTTCACTTTACGTGTTGCCGAAGTTTTTAAGCTCAAAAGTAGTTTTTTATACTTAAGGGGTTATATATAATTTTTATTAAAACGAACTACGTATCAAATGGTATATGTTTTGAGGTGTTTAAAAAAAAAATCATGGAAAAACTTAATTTGTGAACATGAAATATCGAAAACGGCTCAACCGAATTTTATGACAAAAATTACCATATCAGTATATAGATTGCCCCCTTCGTGAAAATTTCTGTTTTTTTCGACCGGAAAACCCAATTTTTGTACCCTCGAAACTTTTGTGCCTATTTGCGTATTTTTTTGCAAAACCCTTCGTTCAATTTTCCAAATTTTCGCATAAATTTTTTTTCCAAACACATCGGAACATATATTAATTTGTAGTTTGTTTCAATAAAATTATTATTAATTACCCAAAAAGAAATTCAATAAAAACCATTATGCTTCCTGAGCACAAACCTAAATAACCCCCCTACAGCGTATAATGTTAATTATTATTTAGGTACAGTTGTATTCAATAAAAAAGCGTACAAGAATTAGAATGAGAGAAAACTGTCAAAATAATATTATTGCTTAAAACCGGCTTATCACTGACATAAGTCATTAAAATAATTACTATAGGTTATAAAGAGCATTGACGTCGTAGGTTAATTAAATAATATAACAAAAATTATTACCTTTTAGAAATGAAAAAAACAAACATTTAAAAAAATTTAATATTTAGTCATGCATCCCTGTTTTTCTATTACTTGAGCCAATCTATTTGGGATGAACTGAATTAAATTTAATACAATATTTGGATTAATATCTTCCCAGCGGTATAGTAGGTATAGTAGGGTGTTTCAAAAAAATCGACTTTTTCTTTTTCTTCAAATGGTCAGCAAATTCTTTCAGAGGATGTCAAAACAAAGACCTCGTTAAAATTTGAGATTTTAATTTGAAGATTTAGAGGTCGCGGATCGCAATTTTCTATTTCCCATTTAAATAACATAGGAATTTTTTTTTTTAACTTTGGAATTTTATACGTCTATATCGAATCAACTTATGGCAAGGAACATCTTAGATTTTTATAGTAAATTTAATGCTCTATAAAAAATGTCTCTTATAATTTTTCTATAAACTGATTTCTTCCAGAGTTATTCGAGGCCAAAGTTTGATTTCCATCGAATTTTCTCGTTTTTTCAACTTTTAGCATCATGTAGTAAAAAAATCATATATTTATATCTGAAACATAGGAAGTGTTGTAAAAAAAAACAAAAAAACAAAAAAAACGTCACTTTTTTCCAAAGCCTACTACAAAGTTTTAATGAAAATATGAGATGTGTATAATATGCAAAGTAATTTATTTATAAATGCATTTTTCTCGAAAATGGTGCATCTGAGCAATTCAAATCAAGAGTACCTATTTTTCGTAAAAAACTATAAATTCTCATAATTTCATAAAAAAAATTAAATTATTAACCCAGAAAAAAGTTGGGGCTATTTTTGTAACTTTGCCCCCTCCAAATGTTACGCCTATGATTAAATTTTAACAGTTTTGATCATAGATCTAGATTCAGCATGTCAAAATTACCAAAGTACCTACCGAAAATTCATTTGTTCATGTTCAACCCTCTAGGAATAGTTTTAAAAAAATTATCCTCTTGAGCTCCTATTCAGGGGGCCGTAGCTCCTTTAGGAAGCATTTTTTGATACATGTTTATTAAACAAAAAAAGTGTTATTTTTATACGAATAATGCACTGTTTAAGTTTGGCCCCCTGATTTCGGGACACCCGTATAATGATAATTGTACCATAAATGTTAAAAAAACGCGAAAATTCGATGGAAATCAAACTTTGGCCTCGAATAACTCTGGAAGGAATCAATTTATAGAAAAATGATAGAAGACCTTTTTTGTAGAGCGTTAAATTTACTATAAAAATCTAAGATGATCCTTGACATAAGTTGATTTGATTCAGACGTATAAAATTTCAAAGTTAAAAAAAAAAATTCCCATGTTATTTAAATGGGAAATAGAAAATTGCGATCCGCGACCTCTAAATCTTCAAATTAAAAGCTCAAATTTTGACGAGGTCTTTGTGTTGACATCCTCTGAAAGAATTTGCCGACCATTTGAAGAAAAAGAAAAAGTCGATTTTTTTGAGGTATAGTATAGTTGTATAGTTTCCCATAAATCCTCAGATATCCCAAAAAAGCAGCATCCTCTTCAGGGGTGGACATTTTGGGACGACCTGAACCAACTTTTTGGTTTAGTAAATCTTCCTGTTCCCAGCGTTGCTTAATTTTTAATATAGATTTTTTATTTCTATTATACCACAGTACGAATTGACCATTCTTTTTCGATTCTTGATACTATTTGAGCCTTTTTAAATGACGAGGTATTTTTATTTTCTACTGTCAGTTATAGTGACTTAAGTCAGTGGAAAGCCGGTTTTACGCAATAATGTTGACAGTTTTCTCTCATTCTAATTCTTGTACGCTTTTTTAATGAATACAACTGTACTTATTTTAATTTTTCTGAATGTGTTTTTTTCGCAAATAATGATAAACATTATAAATTCCTTGCATAACAACGGGAATAATAAGCTCATTATTCATAATAAACTCATTATTCACAGTAAATATTCAATATTTACTGATTTAAACCAATCGGGTTTTAAATTGGGAGAAGGCGACTAAAACATTTAAAATTGGTAAAAGGTAAGGTTAACCATTTGATAGATGTCAGATTTTATTTATTTATTTTTAAAAATATATTAATTATCTACTCATTGCAGTAGGTACCTAAAGAAAGTATGGTATTACACTCGATATTATGTGCATTATCTCTGGTATAATAATATACTATTTTTTAAACCTAATTTTCAAATTAAATTTAAATAAAGCAGTAACGAATATCCAATAAGTGGTAACATAATAGGAGTCATATAGGATATCCTATAAGGTGTATGTATCTTGGGAGTCATCCTTGTAAACCTTATGTTCTGTGTTGTAAACTAAACAGATTAAAAGCGGTCAAAGCGTTAGTGATTTGCAAAGATACTAGAACATGTGCGATAGACACAATATCGATCAAAAATTGTTTAATACAGTGTGACATGTGACCTTGGGGAAGAGGAGTCGAGACTTTGCGACAAGACCTATCTAGAGTGTATATGTGAAATCCTCAAAAATGTTTGACGTATTTTATGGACGGTCCCTAAATTTAAAAAATGGTAGAACAAATTCGCACAGTGACTTAAATTTCAAATGGTAGGACAAATTCGCATAGTAGTTCAAAATTAAAAAATAGTGCGCAAATTGCCCTCAGTGGGATACATTTAAGAAAATAGAACAAATTTGCAAAAAAATTTCAATTTTTTTAAAATTATGCTAATCAAACCTTTATTAATTTTATTTCATATTTTTATTCGATCATTTTGGCGTTTTTCCTACTTACATAAATTATAATAAACTTCTACTAACGCGCGTATATAAGTAGACGCACATAAATTGTTTACCTGTAGTTGATCCATTAGGGTAGAGTCCGATAAATATGGGATTATGTGTTTTAATAAAGCCAAGCAAGATATTAAACCTCCCTCTAAGTTTGGAGTCAATTTTCTTTTGCATAGAGCTATTAATTCGCTCATATGAGGAATGTATTGGAATAAAATCAGCTGTTCACCATATAAACCTTAAAACCAAATATTATAAAGTTTATATACAATTGAGGGCCTTAGAATAAAAGGCATTTATACCCCTTATATTCTAATTAAAATTTAGGGCATTAAACTTACATGCAATGCTTGTTAGACACTCCAAAACCTTATTGGCGCTAAGATCTCCAATAACTTTGCTCGCCGCTATTGAAATATCGCCATTAGTCTCATGTTGAACAAACGCAAGATTTTCTTTGCCCACGTAACACAACGTCAACATTTTCAATAAATTCCTGGACAGATATCGAGCTGTTAAAACAGGACCCAGTCGGTGCGAAAGCCAAGTCAAACTATCTGAAGACATGTCGGATATTTTGGCTTCTTGTCGTTGCTTTTTCGGCTTTTGGATCGTGTTCGAGCTACTCGACGTCGAATAAAACTTGTTTTGATCGCTGGGCGAGTCGGCTTCTTGAGATTTTTTATCGAAGAGGGAATCGGTCTCGCTTTTTTTGCTGCCCACTTCGCAGCTTATGTTCATTAAATCCGTGTTACGGTACGAGGACGGTATGGGGATTGTTGGTGATACTACTCCACTTCTTTCCGGCAATTCTTCCGAGAAAGTTATGTTTAACTCCTCTAAATTACGGAGTTGGTCGATGTTTTCCGTTAGAGTCGCATCTAAAGCTTCCTCTGCAGTCGAGTGGTTGAAGGGCAAGTCCGATGCCACGTTCAACTCTAAATGTTCTATGAGCGACTTCATTTGGTCTTCGGGCGCTTTTTCTTCGTCGAACTCGAAGACTTCTTGATCCGGCTGCGCCACAGCTTCCTTTTTGGGTGTTACACTCTGTTTTTCCGACGACACGCTCGAGTCGTCGCTCGCGGACATTTCCACGTGCTCGTGGTCCATGGTCTTGAGATGGGACATTTTTTTCATAACCTTTTCCGAGTGAGTGTGCAGGATAAAATCGACCTTCTCGTAATCCTTATAACCGCCCACTGCCTCCACAAGAGGAGTCACAAAGTTATCCAGAAAGCATTTTAAACCTAGCCTCACCATAAGCCTGAGTAGAAAACTGTGGTGGTATAGTTTGGCGATTTTTCTGTTGTAGGGTAAGTGACTTTCAATCGGCTCGCATTCGTACAACTTCAATATACACTCCAGCAAGGCCTCCCTAGTTTTCTGCGGCCCGAGCACTTTAGATATGGGGTCGAACAAAAACCACGCTGCTAGCACAGACGTTGGTGGATCTTCTATTAATTCCATCACATGCGGCATCAATATGTTAACTATTTCTATGTCGGTGTTTGTATTTAACTCTTCCAGTAGATTTTCCAACTGTCTTGCACAAGTATTAACCTTACATTCGCCGATATTTTGAGCAAATAGTATCTTGGTACGTTCTAAGCTTTCATACTCGGCGCACATTTCCCCGTTGCAATCGAAGTGGTAGAGAATGTTGAGCTCCAACGCGACATTCTTAAACTCTTTCAGCGTAGATATAATTCTGTACACTTCCGGGAACAACTTCGGGAATGGTACCACGCAGTTTAATAAAGGCTCCAACAGTAGATGAGCGTTCGGTGGAGGTAAACCAAGGTTCGTGACAGAAGGGTAACTCCAGTTAACGAGATCGCTCTGTTCGGGTTGTAACAGTAAGTAAGCTATGTAACTTATGCATGAGGGAACTTCAGACTTGCAACTTCGTAGCACCGTAACGCAAGATTTGAGCCTCTGAGTAAACTTAACGTTGGCTTTATTCGCGCCCAGGGATCTTAGCTGTTTCGACATAAAGATTTCGACTATTAGGCATCCTAGTATTTGGAATTCTCTTATTCTACGCGAAGAAATGATGTCGGCATAGTTGCAGGTTATTTGATTTTCGCTTCTTTGAGTTTGATTACTCTGGCGCCCTCTATTGTTATACAGGTAAACATTTTGATTGTCAAGTGGGAACGTGTGTGATTTGGTGGCTTTTTTGTTGGTGAAACGTTCCTCGAAATTGTCGGTGAATATAAAATTGGTGAAGGCGTTTTGTATTGTGGCATCTTCTGGAATTTTGACCTCCAAGGTGTCGTCGGAGAGTTCCGATAGCTTTTTGGCAGTTTCAATGTGGAATGTTTTTGACACGAACGTATGTTTTTTCTCCAGCAACTCCAAGGCTTGCTCAGGCTTGTACTCTTTCGGAAGGTATATGATGCCAGTGCTAAGTGACGTGGAAGGAACCATGAGTTGGTTGGGTTTAACTTTGGGGTTTACATGGGATGTAAAACTGGGATTCTTCGGGCCTACGCTGGCGCTTCTTTGGTTGATTTGGGGGCTTTTGCTCAGTTTTTGGCCGGTGGGTTCTTCGTGCAGCGAAGACCGGCTGCGGGATAAAATTTTCGAAATGCCCAGGGGTGACCACATGGCCGAACCCATGGACGGATCCAAGAAGTCTTCTTCTTCTATCGCTGTTTCCTGGGTGGTATCTGATTTATTGATCGAGCTACTTCGATCTCTCCCTAAAACATTAAATGCAAACTTATGCAGTAGAAAAGAAAAAATAATATTTTTCTTACGTTGTTTGGTGGGTTTGTTGACGAATATTTTCGGCGGTAATTTGGACCAAAATAAGGACGGTACGGCCCTGGGAGGGTGTGGGTGAGTAAACAATTGTACCAATCCTGATTTTGTTAAGAAGTTGTGATCATCTGCCAAGTGTAAGCAGACGTTCTTTGCTTTTATTGCTGGGGAACCAGCCAATCTACAGAGAAAATTAATAGTATGACATAGTAAGGTCCATGGAGCCTACACAAGGAGTATGATCTCAAGAATAGGATTTACAAGACATTTTTCCCCAAAGGAGAACTTCTATCAGGGGCGCTATTAACTGGCCAGCAAGGTGGCCAGACTTGGCTTCTAACAATTTTTTCCTATGGGGATATGTAAAATCTACCTTGTACCGTCACAAAAAAATGAATTATTTGGGCGAATTAGAGGCAAGAATGCATACAGCGTTTGAGACAATTACTCCAGATATGCTAGCTAATGTTCACTCCGAATTTTATGACAGACAGGATATTGTTTAATACAATTTGGGGGAACGTTTGAAAATAGGCTTTAAATAAATTATTCAAAGCTTGTGTTCAAATAATAATTTATTAATAAATGAATTAATTTTTTTATTTTTATTTATTTTAAGAGTGATTTTTTTTTACTTTAAGAGAATTGATTTATTTATTTTAATTTATTTTTAATAGAATTAGGTATTTTATTTTTCTATTTTACTTTTGAGAGAGAAATAATGATTTTACACCTTTAATCAATAACTTGGGTAAAAAGTGATTAGGTTAATTTTTAAGTTTCTGAATCATTTTTAAAAGTAAATTAACTTAATAATGCGTAATTCGTATTAATATTCCAGAGCAAACTTCGACTATCACCCAACGCCGGTGAAGGGTCTACTGCTGAATCTTATGTTCTGTGTGCTGAATTACAAAAACCGTATCTCGGGCTAAGAGTCTCGGCGTCTCCCACTTTAAAAAAATATTCTCCCACTCTTAAAAACCGAATGCGGCCTGTCTACATGTAAAATGAAAGTACGGTATATTGTTTCAACTCTACACAAAAAATCATATCTTACTTGTATCCAAAAGTGAGATCGATCCAATGGTGCAGTCTCTCGGACACATGTGCACTTTCCAAGGCCTCTCTATGCTTCTCAATGAACTCCTCTGGGCTTGCGCACCACGCAGGCACATCCAAGTCTTCTAGATCGTCGTGAATGCTCCTGAACACCGAGGGATCGGTAAAAAACTCCGGTATACACTCGTCCGGAGTCCAATCCTGCATCCTCTGTATGGAACTGGGGTATTCCGCCGGCACCCATATCGTTCTGACGTTTTTACACAACACCGATTTCGGTGTACGCCGCGCCATATAAACGTAGAACGTTATTGAGGATAGAACATCGGAGACGTGGTGGGGAACTTGAGATTGCGCGTTGTCATAAGTAAGATCAAGTTGGCGGTCACCCTTGTTTAACCGATACTTCGATTTTTTCAAGTCGCGCCAGTTTTTGCCGCACCGTGCGGTAAAGTCGGTCACCCACGGAAAAACGTGGTGACAGTTCGGGTCGCCCAATTTTCTACCGGACAGATTGTTTAGGGCCGTAATGTAAGTGAAATTTGAGATGTTGCCTTCAACCCAAAGTTGACACAACTTTTCCAAATTCTCGTTTGTGGGTTGTACTTTGTCGTAAGTTTTAACACCGCACGATTCGCATTTAAAGTTTTCGTATTTGTGGCCGTATTTGCGACATTCTAGCTGCACGACACTCTTTTTGCTCTCGTTTTTCTGCACGTCCTGTATATAAATATTTGACTGTACATTGGGAAAAACGTATATCCATATATCCTCCGTCAAGTATACATCGCTTAAGTTAATTTCCCCTAACGTTAAACTTCTATCATGCAAAGATTTCAACAAGTTTAATAACTGATAAACAATAAATAACGGTTTAGTAAAGCATTTATCCAAAATCGCGGGGCTAAACGTCACACAATCGCTCAAATTGTGTTCTATGAACGGTACATGTAACAGAAAAATTGAGTTTAACGTTTCCACAGCGCACACAGATGGTAGCACATTCAAGTGCGCATCAAAATGACACTCCTGTACCTTCTGCGCAGCATCGCACGCGTTTATAATCTGACAACCGTAAACCCTATTGATAATCTCTTTCAGAACTTCATTATAACTCATCAGAGTTACCTGCGTTTCCTTAATCAAACTATCAGAGCTCACCGAGTATTTTTTATAGGCTTCTTTCCACAAATTTTTGTGGTTTGCCTGTGAAATGTACTGCAACAACTTCGGTAACAGCAAGGGACGGTCTTCACTTGTAACCGGTCTGATTCTCGGTAAAGGTATCACTTTTGAATCTCTTTTTTTGAAAACTGTAACATATATTTTCACCCACGACAGTCCTATTTCGTCTTCTGCTGAGGGCCATGCTTCAAAACGCGACTTTTCTATAAATTCTGTTAATTTTGAGTGTTTTATGAGAGACCTAAAACAATTTAAAGAATGTTACCTATAAGTATTATTATTAGACATTATCTATATAGATGCTATAGCATATAAGCAGTGGCAGCTCGAGGTAAGTTAAAGTACAAAGTAGAAGTGGTGTAAAATTAACAACAAAAATAGTCTGAATTTTTTGTGGCGCCACAGAAACAATTAATTTTTGTATTTATAATAAAAAATTAAAATACAATTCTAAATAAAAATAATAGAAATTTATGTACCAAGTGTATTTAGTAGAAGTTTACGCGACGGTGCACTCACAATATAAATATTTAAAAAAAACGAAAATTCAATTTGATTTTTACAACATTTTCATTTTATCATAGTACTAAATATTGTAAAGTAGATAATTACACAATATTTTAATTCAAAATTTTGTAATTTTTTAATAAAGGTTTAATAAGTTTATCAAAAACATTTGTGACTTTAAGCCCGCGGCACGGGTATAAAGTACACTATTATGTAGTTGGTAACTATGCTTATAAGCAATAAATCACAATAATGAACTAGTATACCTATAGGTATAGCATAAATAAATCTATTTTACAAAAATGTAATATAAAAATATAAATGTTTTATAATATACAAATAATAATAACTAAGGGTTGTCTAAGAATTTACCAAGTAAATAAGTGCGAGAAATTATTCCTACTTAAGTGAGCTAAAGCCCCTGTAAAACTCCTTTACATCATACAGGGTGTTTCTAAATCAATAGCTGATACTGAATGAACTCAATCCTTAAATGATTTAAAAAAAAAGAAGTTTATAATATTGGTCCACAACTTTATTTTGGAGAATAGGGTGTTCTAAATTTCACTGTGCATCTGGTTAAGTCTGGAAGACTTTTTTTTACAAAAACACTGTATTATTTAATCTTTTGGTGCAAACCCTGTTTGGTAAAATGTTAGGTACCTAACATTTTACCAATACATATTCAAATTTTACTCTTAAAGAAATGGGTTGGATGCAAAGGGGGATAAATAAAAAATTTAAGAAAATTAAGTTTGGTTTTGTTTATGATTAGAACCAACTGTATTGTAGATTTAGTTATTTATAATATCAGAGAGACTATAGTTGATAACAATTTAAATTAAATTATAAAATCGAAATAAAAAAAAAATTTAAAATTTTATTTTTTTAATAAGACTGACCCTTAGGTTCTTAAATAACTTACTTGATCCACAATTTGTGCACTAAAGCTACGTATCTGTCATCTTTGATGGTTTTTTTCAGGTACTTTTTGGGTATTCCTAGTTCCTCAAATGTATTTTCCATGTTAAGTCCTCAGAGTAGTTATGTCAAATGCATTCGTTCAAAATCGACTCATATTTAATGCTGTTATGTTCCAACATTACTTAAACAGTTCGATACTCTATATTTTCTTAATATTTGTCTTTTTTATTGAGAAAAACTGTAAACATAACCTTAAAACGAAAGAAACGTCAAAACTGACTGTCAATAAATTTAGTAGAAGAAGAAGAGATATTTGCATACATAGTTTTTCCATTGAGTAAAGATGGTTTTTCTATGGTTTTTTCTGTGATAGTTCAAATGCACCACTATAAATGGAACCAAACTTTTATAATCACAGATCAAACAAATAAGAAGTTCTTGGCAAGATTTCTAAAGAACAGGTGTTCTTTGGTTATTACGGAAGAATTATTCGTAATTTACAAATCGTAAACAAGAAGTAGTAAGTACAAAAACAATATTTAACTTTTCAACAGATGATACCTACAGTAAAATTTTGCATAAAATTTTTATAACAAAAATAATTTTTTGTCGTTTTTTGTTCATTTGTTTTCTGTCCAACAAATGAATTTTCAAGACTGCTTTACTGATTCATTTTTACTTATAAAAGTACCTATAAAAAATTAATAAAACGGCGATGAAAAATGTATTTTTGGCTATAAATTGAAAAGTACAAGCTTTGAACATGTCAATAGAAACGATTGTTTTTGCAAATTAAATATAAATATTATGTATTTTTTTTATAAACCCAGACAAGCCATCTGGCAAACCTTATTTTAATTAATTGTTCAATTGTTTATAAAATACTTTACACAATACATAAAAAATTATTGACTATGCATCTGGGGACAAGATTTTTCTTTAGGCATTAGGGGCCCTAATTTAGAGATTTCATTTAGCTGCAAAACATCTTTTGAGACAAAATTGGGTCTGTACAATTGGAGTCTGCAGACCATAGAAAAAGGATAGACTCCCTTGCTTGTAGCCTACAAGTTGCAGGTAGGTAATATATTTTTTTAAGTACAATGTTGACTTAATAAGACTTTTGTTTTATACTAATTAAATTTAAATAGCAAAAGTAAGCATTTTTTATTTATTCTTAAAAATAAATAAAAATGCTTATAAGCTTGTATATGAATTGTACATATATGAGTAAAACTTGATTGTTTTAATTTTTTGCAGTAAATAATATATTCATAGCATACCATGGAAGAGGATGAGGTACATTTATTTGATGAATTTGTTACTGTTGATAGTATTTACCTCATAGACTCTAAGGATGTAGAAAAGAAAAAACCAAAACCAAAAAATGAAATAATTGATAATACAGAATGTAGACAAATTTGTTGGTTCAAGTGAGTATTGTAGATTTTAAAATGCATATAGGTATAAAATTATATAAATGTTCATTAGTCAAACAAAAATGAGCAAAAATGTTAGGGTTTGTGTTAATAGTGTAAGAGATATCAGGACATTCTAGTAACAATCTGTAAGGCTAAAAATGTATTTAATTAATTTAATTTATAAAATTAAACATTTCATGATTTGCAATTTTTAAAACTTTTCTTTATACCTAATTAAAAAACTTTTATGATTTTTTTCTCAAAGAAAATACGCTTTTGGAACAACAAAATATTGTTAAGTTTGAAAACCTCCTGACCCAGTCTGAAAATAAGTCTAAAACTAAACCAAATCAAACCAATGAACCACAAAATTCCACAGCCATATGCTGTTATCCTCAGAAAAAACAAGTGATATAAGAAGACCTGTTATTAAATAAAAAAAAAACATGGCAAATAAAAGTAATATTTTGTATTATTTTTTACTGCTTATCTAATCAACATTTTATCAAAAAAAAGCTTTAAAATCCAATATATATTATACCATATGGTATTCACTTAAAAAATATTCATTTCTTTAAGCCTAGCAGCTTAAGCAGTAAAAACTATGTATCCTCCTAAGACCTGACGTTTTATTGGACACGTAATTTTAGGACTGCAGTTGAAGAAAATAAAGCAACTGATACAGTTGATGGTGATGATGGCAACGACAATTTAAATTTAAATAAAAATGCTGAAAAGAACAATGAAAATTCAAAAAGCAAAGTAAAAAACCATAAAGTTAGAAGATCTTTAAGAAGTAGAATTGAAATTTTCCCAATGTGAGTTATTTTTATTTAAATTTTATTTATTTTAAAAAATTTCTCATTAGCTACTATTTTTAATCAATGAACATAAGATGTAACAAATTTCGATTTTCACTCATTTATGATAGGCAACTACACGCGCTTTAACACCTGTATTGACACCTGCTATTAGCTATTTTCGTTCTACCAGGTTTAGTGTTGTGTGAAAAAAATATTAAGACTGAACATCACTAGACCATATAGGTATAATTTAAAATACAATTAAAACGTAATTTTGGACATCAGGTTTTACTCTTACCACAGCATTTGCTGTGCTTTTACTTTAAATATGATATAATATAAACAAATTCTATTAACGTTACAGTTTGTTATTTAAAACAATTAAATTAAGCTATTTATCAAACATGTCCCATGCTATTTTTAGCAGATAAAACCTAAGTTTGCCACAAAAATATTTAAACATCCATAATTTTAGATCCAAAATCAACAATAGTGATGAAGAAAGTGACCAATCTGATTCTGGAGATGAAATTGAAAATTTTTCAAGCAATATCAAGGAAGAAGAAAGGGATAGTCACTTTTCCAAAGAAGATTCCTCACATAATGAAAATGAAAAAAAAGATGAGGATGAAGCCATGTTTGAAATGAAAATCGAAGTGGAACATCATGGAGTTCAATATGATGATGCAAATGAATTAGGGTGAGTTATTTTTTTTTAAATATTATACAAGGCAACCTAAAATACAAGCGCAACAAGGAAATAAATAAAAATAATTACAAATTGCTGTGTCAGCAACTTTTTACAGACACTGTATTTATATTAGTATAACTATAAACAGAAAAATAAAAGTGGAAATGTAGAAAGTACAAGCCTGCCTAATAAAATTAAAAGGAAATTATTTGTACACCAAGTTTTGTTTCATTAGTTTTTTTTTTAATAATTTTCATATTATAACAGTCTATATTGAAGGGCTTCATAATAATACTAGTTTTTAAACTAGTAAAATAGTGAAATCATTACTAAAGTTCGTTTTTTTATTCGAAATTTGACACATTTGATTATTGGTATAGTATGTTACTATAATTTGGTATTTTTGATATTTAAAATTGGTATTCCTGTTCAAGTCCTTAATTTTAAATATTTTTAAATTATATATAGAAGATTTAAACAAACATAAATAAATTTATTGCATTAGGTATAATTGCTAATTTATTAAAAATAAATACATACTAAACATACTTATTTTGTTAAATTAAAATAAAAAAGACTAAAATTGTATTGATTAAACATTAGGTATAATTTAAACCAATTCAATAAATAGGTACAATATAAACTGAAAATTGCAACTATACTTTTTTTATTCTGAAATATAGAAGATTTTGATTCTATATTTTATGAGCATAGAAGATTTTGCTAACATATAGAAGGCCTGGCAACCCTAACTGTCACTGTCAGTATTTTGGTTTTTGTTCATGACTTTTGAGACACCCTGTACAATATTATTATTACCTTTTTTAATGTTTTTGTACTAAATTACTAATGTTTATTTCCCTGATTTTAAGTAAGCTCATTGTTGTAATTAATATTCTGCATAAAAATAACATTTTTGTAATATTTGAGCTGTTTTTTCTTTTAGGAAATGTCCACATTGCCCCAGAACTTTTAAAAAGATTGGAAATTTAAAAAAACATGTTCAAAACCAACATGGCGAAAAAATATATTCATCTATAGGAGATATAATGAGGCAAAAATACAAATGTTCACATTGTAACAAATATTTCTTGAAAAAAAAGTATTTAAGGCGGCACATTAAAATACAACACAGCAGTTTTAAATACAGTTGTCCACATTGCCCAAAAGTATGTACAAGAAGTGAGAATTTAAAAAAGCACGTTGAAAGCCAACATGGCGATCCCTTACAAAGAAAAAAATACAACTGTTTGCAATGCGACAAAATATTTTCAAAAATGGGAAATATGCAGAGGCACATTAAAGCAACACACGAGGGTTTAAAATTCCTTTGCCGACATTGCCCAAAAATGTACACCGACAAGGCAGACTTGACACACCACGTTCAAGTTACACATGCCGAACAAAAACCAGAATACAAATGTCCAAAGTGTAACAAAATTTTTTTAAAACGAAACAGTATAAGACGGCATATTAAAATAAAACACAACGGTTTTAAATTCAATTGTTCGCATTGCTCAAAAGCGTTCACGAGTAGTACTTCTTTAAAACAACACGTTCAAAATCAACATGGCGCTTCCTCTCAAAAAACAAAAAATACAAATATCCACATCGCCCCAAAATCTTCAGCAAGCGGTTATAATTTAAGACGCCACGTTCAAAAAAAATTCTGTCCACATTGCGACAAAATATTATTGCCTATAGAAACCCACGAATGTTTTAAATAGTTGTTCAGATTGCCTGTAAAATAAAAAATTCACCTGACTTTTAAAGTCTAAAGGGCCATTCCACGCGTAACGGATAGGACAGTTGCTGTGTTTTTATTTACAAAATATTATTGTTCTATTATATTTCCAATGTCAAATTTTTATAAATAGTTCTAAACTAAAGCTGGTTAACAATGTTTTTATTTGACAAAATTAGGTATCGTTTAATTCCTTAAAAACTAATAATTTAAAGCGTAACGGACGGGACTTTGTAATAGTCCCGCCCGTTACGCTTTAAATTATTAATTTTTAAGGAATTAAACAGTCAATCACGATACCTAATTTTGCCAAATAAAAACCCTGTTAAACAGCTTTTGTTTAGAAACATTTATAAAAATTTGACATTGGTAATATAATAGAACAATATTATATTGTAAATAAAAACACGGCAACTGTCCTATCCGTTAAGCGTGGAATGGCCCTAAAGCGTTTTTTCTAAAAAAAACTCGCATTCCATAGAAAAAGTTCAAAAAAGCCTAACGGCCAATTTTCAAGGTAGGAGAATAAATTTTGTTTCAACATTTTCAGGATTTAGTTTAGTATTTGAAAAAAAAAAATTTTCTGTGGATTTATTGTAAAGGTTTATTTCCCGGGGTTTTTTTTTGTTTATTTTCGTTTACCAAATGTACAAATTGCTTAAAAAAATTTATGAAATCTGTTAAATATAACATATTATGTATAATGATAATGAGTTTAAATTGTATTTTACCAACTTTAATCATAATTAATGCATTAAAAAACAGGAACCAAGAGTTTTACTTGCTTTTGCCCTTTTATTTGTTAACTAACATTTTTACTCTTTAAAAATATAAGTTTTACCCATAAATAAGTTAAAACTTATATATAAGTATATATTTTCATATTATAATTTAATCATTTATTTTAAGTAAAAAATGGTAAAACCATGAAATCGTAGTCTATGATTAATATGTTAAATAACTCAGTATAACTTTCTGGTTGGTGACTGCTGCATCAAATTTTTCGCTAAAACTTAATGTTTGTTAAATTGTGACTGAGAAGAGCCTAGTCAGTTTTTTAGATTTATTCAAAAAGAATGTGCTTGTCAATAAATGCTTGATTTGATGTTTGGGATTTCTAACAGAAACTCAGATCATAAGAAGAAACTGTCAGAAAATACAGCTGTCAACAATGTTAACTTCAAATAGCTGCTAGATGCCTTTTTAATTTTGTTTGTTTTATTTTTAAGGTTATTTTAGAAGAATTATCTGTAAATAAGAAACAAAGGGTAAGTACAAAAACAACATTTATTACAACCGTTTATAAAATACTTTACACTGTATATACAAAATTATTGACTGTTTGAAGAAAAACTTCTATTAAAGGGGTTAACACAGGTAAAAGGCCTTAGTGCTTCATCTGGGGGCACGATTTTTTGTTTAGGCGTTTCGGCCGCGCTTTCGTTTAACAGCAGAACATCTTGTAGGGATCTAAGAGACGAAATTGCGTCATCATCTGTGGCATCCGAGTCGGATAATGTTATAATTTGTGAGTTATCCTTTGACGTGGGGTCGTATTTTTTCAGGGTTCCATTGTAGATTATTAGATCATCGACTAGAATCTAAAAATTATAATGAAGAATTGAACTTCTTTGTTGGTAGTTTAAAACAATAAATTGTACGGGTAATAGAGATCAATTATTTACCCCCAATTCAATGGTGTAAGTCAACTTAAACGAGGTATATTTGACGAAGGAAATGTGGATATACATTTGTTTCAATGTACTGTAAATTTTTTTATACCGTTTTTTCACGCATTGCTAAATGCATTCAAACGCCTTGAAACAGAGTGGGGATATAAAATAATATATACGGGGCAAAATTTGCCAAGTGTACCAGGTGAAAAAATTTTTGTCACCGATTTTGTTTAAACTTTACTTATTTGTTGTTCTTATAACGAAGAATCATAACATAAAATTTTTTTGCTCTAGGATTGTTCATTCAAGAGTTATGGATTATTGAAATTTATCGATTTATTACTTTTTGGTGAAATCGCTTTTTATTTAAAAATTCATAACTTCTGTTCATCTCTTTATTAAATATTTTAATTTAACCACCTTAAATGATTTTTTTCTGTACTTTTCAATGGGCTATACCGTTTTTGCAACAAAAAATAATTTGCAATTTTTTTTTGAAATTTTGCAATATTTTGCATTTTTTTAAACAATGTGTATTTTTTAATTTTTTAAAAATAGCATAAAATCGAAGTTTATTATGTTACCTTTGAGTAAAAAAAAAAATTAGAGTGGGCCCGACATGTAGAAGGGAAGTTTTTCATATTTGAATGCGTGCGGGTCTAACCATCGAATAGCTACTACACTGCCGTATGCGTTTATACCCAGTAGATGCGAGTAAACGAATACAAAATGATAATTTAAAATGTAAAATTATGTTTGAGTAGTCAATAATATATTTTAAGTATTTACACTGCCGCACGATATAGTTTTTTAACTGTATTTTTTTGCACAAATTGTTTAAGCATGGGTCTACATAGATTTCGCAAGGAGGATCGATGATATTAAATAAAAAATTTATTGTTATAACCGTAACGGCTTGCCTATAAGCTGGATAGGTCAATGGCGTTAATAATATATAATGTCTATAAACGGTTTTTGCTGTCATGACGAGCTCTAAACATTCGCCGTACGGACATTACTTACTTTTTAAACCGTAACGGTCAGTCAGAATATTTGTGTTGCAAATCGGCAGATTAAAATATGATTTTTTTAATTTAATTAATTACAGATTAAAATATGATTTGTAGATTTCGTAATTCGGAGGATTTTTGGCGGATATTACTAGAATAATTTTAATTTTTATTTTTGTGGCTAAAGTAAAATACAGAAAGAATACAGTGTTGGTGTTGTTTTTCTTCAATTTTTCGCCCTACCATACTAATTTTACATTTTAAATTATCATTTTGTATTCGTTTACTCGCATCTAGCTATTTAGCTATTCGATGGCTAGACCCGCACGCATTCAAATATGAAAAACTTCCCTTCTACATGTCGGGCCCACTCTAAATTTTTTTTTTATTCAAAGGTAACATAATAAACTTCGATTTTATGCTATTTAAAAAAAAATTAAAAAATACACATTGTTTAAAAAAATGCAAAATATTGCAAAAGTTCAAAAAAAAATTGCAAATTTTTTTTTGTTGCAAAAACGGTATATCCCATTGAAAAGTACGGAAAAAATCATTTAAGGTGGTAAAATTAAAATATTTTATAAAGAGATGAACAGAAGTTATGAATTTTTAAATAAAAAGCGATTTCATCAAAAAGTAATAAATCGATGAATTTCAATAATCCATAACTCTTAAATGAACAATCCTAGAGCAAAAAAATTTTATGCCATGATTCTTCGTTATAAGAACAACAAATAAGTAAAGTTTAAACAAAATCGGTGACAAAATTTTTTTCACCTGGTACACTTGGCAAATTTTGCCCCATACATGTAATGCAGAAATATAATATACAGGAAGAGAACAAGGTTTGGGAAAGAAGTTAGTTAATTTTTTTTCAACCAAGTTTGGTGTAAAGACTTGATTATAGTTATTTTTGGCCAACTTCGTTTGTCATGAAGATTGGTTTTTGTGTGTATATTTGAACATTTGTTATATGTTCTAAGGAAAAAGGTTAAAAAGTTATTTAAAAAATCATCCGTGCAGTAAAAGTGTGTAAAGTTTTAAACAACCTTAATTTTGAGTAGGTACTAAATACTGTTCTTCAAACGAGAATAAACTTCATTTTTTTTCTTTAGTTATATTCTTCCTTACCTATCGGCCATTCCATGCGTAACGGATGGGGCAGTTGCAAGTTTTTATTTACAAAATAATATTGTTCTATTATATTACTAATATCAAATTTTTATAAATAGTTCTAAACAAAAGCTTTTTAACAAGGTTTTTATTTGGCAAAATTAGGTATCGTGGTTGACCGTTTCATTCCTTAAAAATTATTTTTTTTATTCAAAAACACTACTAGTACTTTTTAAGGAATTAAACATACAACCACGATATAAATATTTATAAAAATTTGACATTAGTAATATAATAGAACAATACTATTTTGTAAATAAAAACTTGCAACTGGCCCATCCGCTACGCGTGGAATGGCCGGTATTTAATTAATAGAGATTTATAAATATTTCCCTAAATAAAAATGAATAACTGGCACGACTTGACAAAATATCAGTTAAACAAGGGTGACCGCCAACTTGATCCTTAATAAATGGCAAGTTTTAATAAAACATCATAGTGGGTTCCCCCAATTTAATTTGTGTTACTATAGTAAATAACTACTTACTGCAAATTCTTTTACGCCTCTTGCAGGGTTTTTAGAGTAATTCCACATCTTAACATGCAAAATAGAAATTGGAATGTCCATAACAATAAATATTTTGTTTAATATTTTTGGGATTATAGGAGCTAGCCAAGAATGCGCACCACTTTTATCGTCATTTATATTGTCTATAAGTTTTTCTGGTGTTCTTATATCGTCTGCTACTTCGGGTAAAGTATTTATGCTTTCAGGACAAGCACAAATATCTAAAAAATATACAAAATGAATGTTTTTATGTAGGTATAATTTTAATTCAAATTTAAATCTAAGCCTAAGATAAGTTGAGGACTATTCACATGTGCAGTTACTATGATGACACTACCCATATTATATTGTTCCAAACTGGTTAAAGTATATTTACTTTGTTCCTCAAGTTCGATTTTTTTGTTATTCCCATCGTAAATTTCGATTCCGTTCAGCCCGCAGTAATATTTGTCCTCCCATGTCGAATGTATTAAAAATTGAATCACAAAACCGGTTATACAGCTAGGTTCGATGGGTAGCAACATATTACAAGGGGTCTCGAAAAACTTAATTTCTTGCCCAAAATTATACTCAGTATTTCCGGGTGCTCTCCTCAACAAAAACTCATTGTTTTGGATCAAATTGTTTATCACATCATTTCCGTCCAGTCTTATTTTCAGTGTTCTAACACCGGCATACGTCATTTCCAAATTTTCGTTGTAATTCCACACTCTTATACCAGAAATGTATTTAATTTTATCGAATTTTATTGTCAGTACAACTTCGTCGTCCATATAAAATGGTATTATCCACATATCTTTCCTTTTTGTCGTTATATTTTCGCCGTTGATAACATTTTTCAATTTCAGGCATTTACCCATATTACAAGTCATGTTTTTATCGTCAATTTCGACTAAACTGTCCGAACTTTCTAGAATTTCCAAACCTGTAAAAAAAAATATTTTTTTATAAAAATAATCAATTATTAATGAAGGATGTTTTACTTTCTTCAATATATTTTTGACAAGTTATTTGACTTAATAATAAATAATAATAATAAACTTTATTTCCAACAAGAATACACCCAATTACAGGAAATGTAAAAAGAAGAAAAGTTAAGATAAAGATATAACAACATAAAAAAAAAGAAGTTAAATAGCAAGTATGATTACAAAGAAAAATATATATATACAAATACATAGTATATTAATCACAAACATGTTATTAAAGACTTTAAGGAATCAAAATTAATATCACAGTTGTAGCAAAAACTATTAAATAAAGAGCACATGTTGTACACAGGTGCGCGACGTAGCATATTAGTACGGGGAGTATCAATTCTAAATAAAACATTATTTCTGGAGTTGAATCTGTGTACGTTAAATTTTAAACAATTTAGTAAATATGGACAGTCAATTTTATCATGACAAAGATTGTACAAAAATGAAATTGCTGCCACAACTCTACGCTTTTCCAACGAAATCATGTTGTGCCTGTCAAGCAGGATAGAATAATCTATTCCTCTTTCAGGGTATACGCGATCCTCTTTAAAGGTAAGGTACTTTAAAAACTTACGCTGGTTAGATTTCAGGACTCGAATGTAGGTTTCATAAATTGGAAACCAACGAATTAAAAAGAAAGATTATACCAGAAATGTATTATTAAAGGCGCATTCATGCTCACTAAAATAAGAAATAAGAAATAAGAATAAGAAATAAGAAATAAGATAAAAAGTTAAAACTGTGTAAAGTAATGGTTGCGTTCATGCTCATGAAAATAAGGAATAAGAAATAAGAAATAAGAATAAAGATAACAATTTTTAACTTTGGTTCTTATTCTTGCGTATAAAACTGCGCAAAGAACCAAAATGGGTCTGTGAATTATTTTGATGGGTTTTATTTGTTATACAATGCATGGAGCCATGGTGTTGGAAATCGCGTAGAGTGTCGCTGTCGATTGTTTACGTTTATAGCCAATATAATCCACTATAATAAAATATAATTTTGTGACAACATTTTTTATTTCTTAGGTTATCAGCATGAACGATCAATCGCGGTCTTATTTCTTATTTCTTATTCCTTATTTCTTATTTCTTATTCTTATTTCTTATTTCTTATTTTAAGTGAGCATGAATACGCCTTAAATGTATAATATAGCATAATATAGCATTTGTTATCCTTAAAGTCCCTACAATTTCTCAAAATAAAACCAAGAGTTTTAAAGGAACCGGAAACCACATTATTACTTCGCCTTAATTGATTATAAGCAATGCTGTAACTAAATTCCATGATTTTTCTCTTTCTGGTATATGAAACCACGACGTATTAAATACTAGCTGTTATCCACGAGGAATTAGTACTTTACATTAGCTATGATAAATGGTCAGTTAAAGGTCAAGGGTCAAATGTCAAAGGTAAAAAGTAGCCCTCCCTAAAAAGTCCAAAACCTGTTTTTTCCTGGGTATCAAACTATCTCCGTATCAAATTTCATCAAAAGCGGTTTGACAGTTCTTTTAGTTTTAAGTTGATTTTACATTCTTAAATATATTTTGAAATTTTAAAAGTTGTGATGTTGTGATATTTCAAATATTGCTTTAAAATTCGCTGGGGCAGAAATTTTTAGCGAGTTCGGAAGTTCAGAAAATTTTGGCGCTGTTTTTAATGGAAAGCTTGTTACCAGTCACTATATAGTAACGGAGTAAATGTGTTTTATACATTCTAAATGGGTTTTTGACATTTTCTTTTTAACATTTAGTTTTACCATTGACTAAAGAGTTTCTTTATCAACGGTTTTACGTTTGTGTTTTTTTTTTTAATATTTAGGGTATCCCGAAAATGGCACACTAACGGTATGCCCCGATGTAGGGAAAGTTATTTTAAGAATAAAAACATTTTTCCCACGAGCACTTTTTTAAGGTATTGAGCATTAAATTTATTTTTTTTAATGTTTTTTTTTTTTATTAAATTAAACTATAGAAAACAGTTTTATAAGAAAAATAAAATAATAAAATTTGATTGTAATAATAAAGTTTTGATTTGTTTTTATTGTTACAAACTTTCCGAATATAAAACAATGTTAACTACAAACATTCTACCTATCTAGAAGCGAATTTGAAACTTGACAACATTACGAATACATGTGAGGGGTAGGTATCCCCACCTCGTGCCCATCACAGTACTAAAATTATTTTATTTTCATAACAAACGGTTTTAGAGCGCCTTTTTTAGGACAACTTGTATTTTTGACATTCGAAAACTTGATTTGACTTTCTGAAATATATTTTTTACATCCAAAATGTTTCATTTGCATTTTGCATCTGAGATTGTGACTATAAAAAACTTAAAACTGTGTCCACTGTAAATTCCTCACCTGTCAATCCTATAAAATTCTTGTTGCCCCAATTGTTCAGCAAAACGATCTCCATGACGCTGGCGCCCAATAGGATTTGTTCTTGAGGCTCGGCCGTGTTGATTTGTTTGACACCTGTTACAGGCCGAATTTGGATTTCCCTCGTCGGCGGCCTGCTAATCTCGGTTTGGCTTGGACTGGACGGTTTTGAAGTTAGGCAGGCGTACGACGTGTCATTTTTCGATATCCTTTCCAGTATTTCTTCTTCGATTGTGAACAAAATTGTCTAAAAAAAGTTCAGCTTTTAACATTCTAAAACGTGCTTTAATATTCTTAAATATGCTTTTGACATTCTGAATGTCTTTTTAATGTTTTAAAAAGTGTTTTGACATTCTAAAATGAGTTTTTACATTCTAAAATGAGGTCTTGATATTAAATTGAACAATGTTTGAGCCGAGACTGGTTTCTATATACAGAGAAAGCATATTAGAAAAAAAACCTTCAATTAAAAAAAATGTTTTTAGAATTTTAAAATGTGTAATAACCAAGCTAGCTAGGTATACGGAGAAGCTTCTCTAGTAACTTGCTAGGTGGCAAGCCAAACAACGTGATCAGCAATGGGTAGTGTAATGGTATCTATGCACACTTTACCATTTAATTGACAATAAAACGACAAAACACGAAATTGAAATGATAGATGAGCTATTTTGCGTAACATTAGGCCTTGTGATCGAGAGTTGCTTCTCCTCTTTATAGTCTTCTTGGTTATGCCAGGTCCCGGCTCTGGTAATGACGTCATTATGTACATTTTAAAATGGTTTTAACGTTCTTAATTGTGTTTTTGTCAATATTAAAGGTAATTTGATATTTTAAAACTTTATAAAAAGTTTTTTAACACTTCACAGTGTTTTTAACATTCTAAAAGGGTAATTTTAAATATGTAATAACTAACGAATGACGTAATAACTACAAAAAAAATGTGCTTTTGGCATTTTAAAACGTGATTATCGTTTTAAAGCGTAAAAAACGAAACATTGGGGAAAAACTGTTTTTTCCATTAATTTCCCCGTACTTTGGAAAAATTGACTTTTTAGGGAAAAATGATTTTTTTAGAAAATTTAAAAATACTCACTTTTTTTCTTATTTATGGATAAATAATTTATTATTACTGAACAAGGCCGCTCATAACTTCTTTTTAATCCAATTTTTCCGAAACTTGCAGAAAAAAGGTTTTTTTCGAGCCTTTATAAAACACTACTACCATTATAAACGGAAAAATTGGTAAATTTGCAGAAAAATTGACTTTTGTATTTTTTCTGTATTATCCATAGGTAGTAGGAGAATAAATGCAAAAGTCAATTTTTCTGAAAAATCGGAAAATTGAAAGAAAAAAAAACAATTCGTACTATGGATAATAGGGATCCCAATTTTTACCCTTTTTTGCCAGCTCAATTTTTTCGAAAACGTGACTTGTCAACGTTTTAGAATATGTTTTGAAATTTCTTATAAGTGCAAAAAAATATGTTAATTTTTCACAATAAAAACTTAAAGAAGGTAGATTATAAATATTTGATTTTTATTTTGGTGCTATTTAATCACCCTGTATTACTATCTTAAATATGTTTTGGATTATAAAATATGTTTTAAATGTGTTTGTATTACACTGTAAAAAGTTTAAATCACTCTGTATAACTTACATCTCCAAACGCATCCACCCCTCCCATCATCCCTCCACAAGCTTTGGCAATTTCGCCCCTAAAAACTACGGCATTATCTAAATAAATTATCACATCTTTTACACCCCTGTAAGAGTGTATCCTGGATTTATTATAATTCTAAAAATCATAAAATAATCAATTAACAACCAAAAACATTTAAAATAAATATTACCCATATTCTTAACATTGCTATGGTGGTAATTTCTACAAATTCTATGATGATAATATGACTTGACCCTTTATCGAAAGGCGCAAGCCATATGTGCATGTCATCTTGGGTCCTATTGACTCCGTCCAATAAATTCGAAATTACCCTGGGGTCATTTTTGCACTCCGGTAGAACGTTTACGTCCGGGGGAATAGCTGTAATCTAAAATTTACCGCATTAAAATTGTTTTTGTTAATATCATTTGTTAATATTACATTTTTTACTCTGGCGATTTTTCCTGTAACATCAAATATTTCAACACCATTCAGGCCAACGTAATATTTATCTCCCCACGTTGACCGAATGTCGATTATCATACTTTTTCCATATGGTAATTCTGGTATTACAAAAACATTATCCTGAAAACAGCATTAATAAAAAAATAGTAATTTAAAAAAAAAATACATTTTAAAATTTGTTTCATCTATTTTGATTTTTTTAATGTATACAGGGTGAGTCATAAGTGGTGAACTTTCCGAAAGGTGCATGTAGGGGGGCCTTAATATATGTAGGGAAAAATGTTTAAAAAAATCTATCTGCTTTGGTACTCGAGTTATGGTCAAGAACTCAAAAGAGAATTTTGGCAACGTGTAAACACTAACAATGTTACAGGAAATTATTAGATTTCATTTTAATTGAAGTAACTAAGGAACTTATTTGAATTGTTACGTGCTTATATTGTTATCATTACTGTCATAATAAAAGACAGCAATGAGACAGTTGTTGTGATTATAATACTTAAATAATAATTATTAAAACCAAAATCAAACAAAATAAAAATTTATGAAAAAAATAACATAAAGAAGCATGAACAAACATTACAAAAATTGCTCAAATTTATGCCCCTGATTTTCCAAACACAATTCCAGTCTTCTTCTTGTACTAACTTGTACATGGGTCAACATTTTTGGGGTCACAGTTGTTAAAGCATTTCGAATACGCAGTATAAGTTCCTCCTCATTATGTACCGGTGTTTGGTACACCAATGCTTTAACATGACTCCATAAGAAGTCAAGCGGGGTCAAATCTGGCGACCTAGGAGGCCAAGAAACTGGGCCGTTACGACCTATCCCCCTGTTAGGTTACTGTTCATTTAGCCAATTTCTAACAGGAGCGGCAAAATGAGGTGGGGCACCATCCAGTTGTATCCACATGTTGCGCAATGTGGCCAAGGGTTAATTTCGTTCTCCAAAATATTTAAAAATTGATCCCTATTCAACCGCCGCGGTAATATGATAGACCCAATAACCCAATTTTTAATTATCCCAACCCAAACATTTACACTGAAGCGATTTTGATGATTAAATTCCCATTTTCTATGTGGATTTTCTTGGTTATAATAATGACAGTTTTTACTATTAAAATACCCATCCCTACTAAAATTTGCCATAAAATACGAGTTAAAAAATCATCATCCTCATTAATTTTTCCCAATAACCAAAATACAAAAATTTAAACGCAAACCGAAATCGTTGTTGTTAAGAGCCTGAACTTTAGTGTAGTGGTATGGATGGAACTTCTCCTTCTTTAATCGCCTGGTTATAGATGTCTGGGACATGCCTAGCTCCTGAGCAATCCCTCTGGTACTTCTTGTTGGATCTTCTTGAATCAGCTGGATGATTAACTCATCGGCTTCGGGTACAATCTCTAGAGGCCGACCTGCCGTGGGAATTAGAGATCCAGTCTCTTTAGCTCTGACCATCATCCATCTAAAAACTCCCGGCGATGGGTGGGTTATGTCAGCGAATCTTGCTGCGTATACCCGGGCTGCTTCATTGCAATTTTCTTCACAGAATCCAAGTACCAGCATCATATTCACATATTCTTGATTGGTGTACATTTTATTAAATAGACTCGACAAAATAATAACCAAAAAAATAAAATATAAACGTCAAACTTAATTTTCGCATTGTTGATTACAAATAGACTCGACAAAATAATAACCAGAAAACACCAAAAAATTTAAACGTCAATGTCAATTTTCGTATTGTTGATTACAAAGTTGCCAGATCATTTCAATTGTTAAAAAATCATTCTAAAACATTAAAATTGAAAGAAAATACACTTTTTCGGGCAATTTTTTTGCCAGGAAATATTTAAGAACCCTAAACTCTTCAGTAAAAATCATATAAGGTGGAAAAATATTAAATAATAAAAAAGTTAAATTTAAAACTTAAGACCTGAATTCCTCGGTCACTTTTTCATTTGGAATTTTTTTAACATTTTTCCCTACCTATATTAAGGCCCCCCTACATGCACCTTTCGGGAAGTTCACCACTTATGACTCACCCTGTATACAGTGTGTTACACATTTGTGATAATTCAAAGTTTATGGGGAACAAAAAATATATCGATTTGAAATTTTAAAAGTGTTTATAATCCATTTAAGTCTATTTTTCTAAAATATTTTGGTAAAAAAAAACAATTTTTGTTATTACCCGGATTAACCCATGTAAAATTTTCCGTAGAGTTCGATTTCGGCCCCAGATTGGCCCTATATCCCACGGTTTGGGCACTATCGGCACTTAACTGTTTTTAAACTTAAAACAGCTGTAGCGCCGAAACGGGAGCACTTAGAGCATTTTTGGGCTCAGTTTCGTGATCCACGCATGCCAATTGATCTCGGGAACGTGTTTTTAAACCATTTTATTTTTCACAAAAATATGGCAAAAAAACTTGACCAAATCGATCAATTTTCAAAAATTGGTCATGGTCTCTGATTTTAATAAAGTATGTCGTACCCTATGTCAAATTTTCCCCGGAATTTGAAAATCGATACCGCTGACTCGATAAATTACCGGCTTGCCCGCAATCCTAAAAAAACTGCTTTGAAAAATCAAAAAATGGCCGTAGCGCCTTTATGGAACGGTTTTTTATAAAACTGGTAGCAGTTTTGGAATCTACGACCTTGATTTAGTATATCTAGACACCCAACAGCCCCCTCAAAAAATCCTGAAAAATTGACAATATGCCTTTTTGGACGTTTTGACAGACGAAAATTTTGGTAAAAAAAAACAATTTTTGTTATTACCCGGATTAAGTTAACAAAAAGACTCTTACCCATGTAAAATTTTCCGTAGAGTTCGATTTCGGCCCCAGATTGGCCCTATATCCCACGGTTTGGGCCCTATCGGCACTTAACTGTTTTTAAACTTAAAACAGCTGTAGCGCCGAAACGGGAGCACTTAGAGCATTTTTGGGCTCAGTTTCGTGATCCACGCATGCCAATTGATCTCGGGAACGTTTTTTTAAACCATTTTATTTTTCACAAAAATATGGCAAAAAAACTTGACCAAATCGATCAATTTTCAAAAATTGGTCATGGTCTCTGATTTTAATAAAGTATGTCGTACCCTATGTCAAATTTTCCCCGGAATTTGAAAATCAATACCGCTGACTCGATAAATTACCGGCTTGCCCGCAATCTTAAAAAAACTGCTTTGAAAAATCAAAAAATGGCCGTAGCGCCTTTATGGAACGGTTTTTGATAAAAACTGGTAGCAGTTTTGGAATCTACGACCTTGATTTAGTATATCCAGACACCCAACAGCCCCCTCAAAAAATCCTGAAAAATTGACAATATGGCTTTTTGGACGTTTTAACAGACGAAAATTTTGGTAAAAAAAAACAATTTTTGTTATTACCCGGATTAAGTTAACAAAAAGACTCTTACCCATGTAAAAATTTCCGTAGAGTTCGATTTCGGCCCCAGATTGGCCCTATATCCCACGGTTTGGGCACTATCGACACTTAACTGTTTTTAAACTTAAAACAGCTGTAGCGCCGAAACGGGAGCACTTAGAGCATTTTTGGGCTCAGTTTCGTGATCCACGCATGCCAATTGATTTCGGGAACGTGTTTTTAAACCGTTTTATTTTTCACAAAAATATGGCAAAAAAACTTGACCAAATCGATCAATTTTCAAAAATTGGTCATGGTCTCTGATTTTAATAAAGTATGTCGTACCCTATGTCAAATTTTCCCCGGAATTTGAAAATCGATACCGCTGACTCGATAAATTACCGGCTTGCCCGCAATCCTAAAAAAACTGCTTTGAAAAATCAAAAAATGGCCGTAGCGCCTTTATGGAACGGTTTTTTATAAAACTGGTAGCAGTTTTGGAATCTACGACCTTGATTTAGTATATCTAGACACCCAACAGCCCCCTCAAAAAATCCTGAAAAATTGACAATATGCCTTTTTGGACGTTTTGACAGACGAAAATTTTGGTAAAAAAAAACAATTTTTGTTATTACCCGGATTAAGTTAACAAAAAGACTCTTACCCATGTAAAATTTTCCGTAGAGTTCGATTTCGGCCCCAGATTGGCCCTATATCCCACGGTTTGGGCCCTATCGGCACTTAACTGTTTTTAAACTTAAAACAGCTGTAGCGCCGAAACGGGAGCACTTAGAGCATTTTTGGGCTCAGTTTCGTGATCCACGCATGCCAATTGATCTCGGGAACGTTTTTTTAAACCATTTTATTTTTCACAAAAATATGGCAAAAAAACTTGTCCAAATCGATCAATTTTTAAAAATTGGTCATGGTCTCTGATTTTAATAAAGTATGTCGTACCCTATGTCAAATTTTCCCCGGAATTTGAAAATCAATACCGCTGACTCGATAAATTACCGGCTTGCCCGCAATCTTAAAAAAACTGCTTTGAAAAATCAATAAATGGCCGTAGCGCCTTTATGGAACGGTTTTTGATAAAAACTGGTAGCAGTTTTGGAATCTACGACCTTGATTTAGTATATCCAGACACCCAACAGCCCCCTCAAAAAATCCTGAAAAATTGACAATATGGCTTTTTGGACGTTTTAACAGATGAAAATTTTGGTAAAAAAAAACAATTTTTGTTATTACCCGGATTAAGTTAACAAAAAGACTCTTACCCATGTAAAATTTTTCGTAGAGTTCGATTTCGGCCCCAGATTGGCCCTATATCCCACGGTTTGGGCCCTATCGGCACTTAACTGTTTTTAAACTTAAAACAGCTGTAGCGCCGAAACGGGAGCACTTAGAGCATTTTTGGGCTCAGTTTCGTGATCCACGCATGCGAATTGATCTCGGGAACGTGTTTTTAAACCATTTTATTTTTCACAAAAATATGGCAAAAAAACTTGACCAAATCGATCAATTTTCAAAAATTGGTCATGGTCTCTGATTTTAATAAAGTATGTCGTACCCTATGTCAAATTTTCCCCGGAATTTGAAAATCGATACCGCTGACTCGATAAATTACCGGCTTGCCCGCAATCCTAAAAAAACTGCTTTGAAAAATCAAAAAATGGCCGTAGCCCCTTTATGGAACAGTTTTTGATAAAACTGGTAGCAGTTTTGGAATCTACGACCTTGATTTAGTATATCTAGACACCCAACAGCCCCCTCAAAAAATCCTGAAAAATTGACAATATGCCTTTTTGGACGTTTTGACAGACGAAAATTTTGGTGGTAAAAAAAAACAATTTTTGTTATTACCCGGATTAAGTTAACAAAAAGACTCATACCCATGTAAAATTTTCTAAATAACTTTGACGTATCCATTACCAAAAAGGTACTAATTGAAAAATCGTTACCTGAAAATTATCTGGTATTCCTATTGTACTCTTACTTCTCTGTCTTCTTTGCTTGTACTTGAAATTTCTTTCCTGCGATCTTTCGGTCTGCGTCGCCTCAGTAAAACTGTTTCTCCTCACGCTCGTAATTTTTTCGTTTTCGTTTAATAATTCCTGTATTATGTCTTCGCGCATTTGATTCTCTTTGGCAACTTTATCGTTATAAACCTGCATTGTTTTTTCGAAAAACGGGTTTTTTAAAAGCTGATCTGTTTCATAATGAAATACGCTACAAAAAATAATTTAAAAAAATCATTTTCTCCCTTCTCTTTATTTCAAGGTTGTTATTTATAAAAACCTTAGATTAAAGTTAAGAAACACTTACTGGTCTTTATAGTTGGTCATTTCACTTTTGGCCCTTTCCACCTCAGTGAGATTGTAAGTTTCATCACCTGAATCGCCTGTAATAAACAGAAATATTTTAAAGTGTCTACGATAAGTACGAAAAACTTACTTATAAGCTCCAAAATATAAACGCACACAGGACAGCCACACTTGTGTACAAAAACTAGAGTCCCTCTATATTTGCTAAATATACAGAGACTCCTGAATAAACAACAAATAAAACAAACATGGCTTAAAAAACTCAAATTTATTGTAACTTTTTCTCAAATTCACTTACCAAGCTTTTGGTTAAGCTCGATGAGACCCTTAAAGTTGGCGCTGTCCAGTCGGCCTCGGTTGTGCTGATTAAACTCGGTGAGGCCTTTCCAGGAGTTTTCCAGATTTTTCGGGTGGCTCGACAGGATCGTTGCATCGAAGGGGTCGTCCAGATTCGTTAAATAATAATCGTTGGAATTTAGAGAAACGTGTCGAGGCAAATCTTTGTTGAAAATGTTGCTGGTCAGGGATGATCTTCTGCCAAATTGGGCGGACTGACTTGGTCGACTAGAAATTATACAAATTTTGCATGTCAAAATGTGCTTTGACAATAATAAATTTGTGAAGACTGGAAATGTGGTTTTCGCGGAGCTAATTCCAAACTATAGTCCTGGACATCCCATAGGCATGCAATCTTAAATGCGCATGACAAATTTTAAAATGCGGATGCCCAGGATGTCCGAACTAAAAAGTTTATTATTTTCTCTTAAATCGTTTCCCATTTTGAATATGGTTCTGACATTCTAAATTTGCTTTGACAAATTAGTCAAATTTGTCTTGACATTTTAAAATGTTTTTGATATTTTTACTGTTCAATATTAGTTATAAAATATTTTTTTAATATTTATTTACCAGATTTTCTCCCGCTCAACATCCAAAATCCGACTGGGAATCGTAGTTCCAGAATAAATATGTGGCGTAACACTTATTTGTGACCCCATACTGCTTTCCTTGGTGTTCTGTGATAGAGAACTAAAACAACATACACAGGTTTTATAGTCCAGAAAGCAGTGCATTTTTTTAGAACTTATTTTTCATTTTTGTAAAAGTAGTTAGACCAGTTTACTTTTATTACTTATTATTATTATAATTATTTATTGGTTTATTATTATTAATACATAATTGAATATTTAGGTAGGGTTTTGAAATTTCCGAAAAAATTGAGCAGGCGGGAAAAACATGTTTTTTCGGAAAAAAACAAAAATTGGGAAATTTTCAGAAAAAATTACTTTTGCATTTTTTTTCATTTTATTGAAAGGGTATAAAAATTATTTGATAATAATTTTTCCGAAAAGTTCCCAATTTTTCTTAAAAAAAAAAGTGGGGTGGCTGGGGGTGAATCTGTGAAAAAATAAAAATTTCAAAATCAACTGAAAATTGCGTCATATAAAATAAAAATCGACGTGTCCGAGCATTTTTCTATAAAATTCATATTTTTTAAGTTCTAGGGGCTTTTATATATCTCCATTATTCGAGCTAAACTAGCAAAACCCCTTTAAAGATTAGTTTTGGGGGTTGCATAGATTCGATTTTTCCACATTTCATCCCAGTTCAAATTGTAAGGTCAAAATTTGTCGCACAGTGTAATCAGTCTTAATTCAGTAAGAATATTAATATTCTACCGGGCCGCAAAAAACATATGCGGTGCTGTATTAACATATTATACATTATTTGGTAAATGGATATTTTCAATGGACAATATATTGTCATTTTGCGATTTCCTAAAGAAGCCAAACTTATTTGCAACTATATTACATGATCAAATTACTTAATAAATTTGTATAATAATAAGTTTTAAACGGGAAAGTATCCGGAAAAAACTTTTTTTCCGATTTTTTCCTCATCTTGGAAAAATTGCCCTAAACATATATGTTTAGTATAATTGTTTTTTTCTGTGCTAAAGGATATTTTTTTATTAAAATAATGTTACGTAGACATTTTTATAGAAGTAATTTTATAAAAATGTCTATTTTCCAATTTTTTTTTTTAAATTCCCAAAAAGGGCAATTTTTCCAAGATGAGGAAAAAATCGGAAAAAAAGTTTTTTCCGGATATTTTCCCGTTTAAAACTTATTATTATACAAATTTATTAAGTAATTTGATCATGTAATATAGTTGCAAATAAGTTTGGCTTCTTTAGGAAATCGCAAAATGAATGGCAAAATAGAAATTAGCCAAAAATTGCTCTTTTTCAGTCTTGAAATTTTTTCACATGATAATTTTCATAAGAATTAATTAATTTAGAACCATATGGTTCTTTATATCTAAGAAAAAATCACATTTAAAGTTAGGTAATTCATTTAACAGATGGAGTAAATAAAAACGACAATTAAGTACTATGCACGTGATTGTCAAAAACTAGAGAAAGTTAGACTTTCAAGTCTTATATTTATGTAGACCCTTGTTATAAAAAAAATCCACAAGGAAATGCTTGGGATGTTTGCTGATTGGAAAAATCAGACTGCCTCGTGGACTATTATATAATTTAGGTATAAATAAAAAATATTAAAACTGTGTCAAAGTTATACAATCTTCATCATCTTCGAAGATAGACGGAATTTTTGTAAGGGGATAAATCCATAAGTATAGTGCTAACCAGCAATCTTTGGATTTTTCAATATAATTTTCTTATTCAATCAAAATTCTTTCTTCAATTCCGTCATAAAAACCTTTTACCCTCAGTGTATCGGGTAATAATATAATTACTCAGTAAAAATATTAAATAAATAAAAAATATAATCCCTACTTTGTTATATCTTCCAGCCACTTGGGTATAGATCCATGCGTCGGTATATTTGTAGAACTAATTGTTAAATCTTCGTTTTCTTTAATATTATTTGAATTCGAGGCGATTTTTCCTTCCATGGTAGGTATACTTAACAATTTACGACGGTACTGGTGATTTTAATTAACGGAACTTAATTTTGCATTAAAAGTTACTTATAAATAAATTTGAAATTAAGTTTTTTCTACAGCATTTTTACAATTTTGTCACAAGACGTTTGTTTTTATTGTAGAAGCACTTTGGTAACTATTGGAAACAAGAAATTATAATTGTTTTGCACAATCTACACATGTGCGGATTGTGATTGTTTTGCTTTGTTTGTAAAATGTTAACCAAGTAGGTATTAATATTAGTATTAATTTATTTAAAAATAGTACAATGTAATAAGAAAATGCAATATTTTAATTTAAAAAAGTTTAAAATCTCAGGTATTACAGAATTCTACTAAAAGTAGGATCGATAAAGTAGATTTCTTTAAGGTGTACATTTTACAATTTTGACGTTTAAAGGTTGATTTCCTGGCTATTGACAGTTTGTTGCCAACCGACTAAAGGAAATTGTGATTTTCCCCGGAAAATTAAATCATATGTGTTGGAAGTTTGACGTGTAATTGCAATGTAAACAGTTTCATTCTCGTTTTTTTAAATAAAACTGGTAAAAATGTCGCTGCCAGGCGGTGGGATATTCGTCGTTAAAGGCGAAATATCAATTTTGATGACTGCTATGAGAAGAGGGGCCCGCTGGTCAGCGCACTCCTATCAAGATGAGGATATGGACGGCCTATTGAAGAACCTGCAGGATCTTAAAGATGTGCTCAACAAACTGGATGATCTTAAACTGGTCGAGCCAAATCTGTACTTGTCTCCCTTCTTGGAGATTATTCGTAGTGAAGACACCACAGGGCCCGTAACCAGCCTTGCACTATCAGCCATTAACAAATTTTTGTCCTATGGCTTGATCGATCGTACACAAATTTCTATAGCTCAAACAGTTCACAGTATAGCAGATGCCATAACCAGGGCAAGATTTGTGGGTACAGACCAATCTTCAGATGGGGTGGTGTTAATGAGAATACTGCAAGTTCTGAGAACCTTAACTTTAGCCCCTGAAGGGGTACATTTAACAAATGAAAGTCTGTGCGAGATTATGTTATCATGTTTTAGAATATGCTTTGAAACTAGACTCAATGGTAATTTTTTATGCTAATTATGATTTTTGAGTTTTAATTCTATTTATTTTTTTAGAATTATTAAGGAGGACTGCAGAACATTACTTAAGGGATATGGTGCAATTAGTTTTTATGAGATTACCCCAATTTTCAGAAGACTTAAGGGCTGTGGGAATTAAACAGTTAAAAATGAGACCTGGGGCTATTGACCAAACCAGAAATAAAAGAAAAAAGTCGTCATTTCGGAAAAAAGATAATAAAAATGCTGAAATAGGTATGTGAAAATATTGTATATGAAAAAAAATCAGAAATTTCAGATTCAAAATATATTTTTTTAAACATTTTATAAAATAATGATTTAGTTACATATTTGTTTTTACAATCCAAAATTTTATTGTAGTTTAATCAATTTTTGATTTTTAATTGAGCAGGTATTTTCAAATTCAATTTAAAAATTAAAAAATAATTAAGAAATAAAACCTTTAAGTTATTTGTTGTAAATTTTGAGTTAAAATTTGTAGAGGTTCTTTTGTAAGATCCTATTTAAAATACTTAATAACTTTTTCAAACAATAAACCAAAACTTTAATTTTGAAAACTTCATAAAAATTTAAAATATTGTTTGATTTTAAAAGACTTTATTAGCATTTAGGCTAAACAATCTTGTTATATATTAAATGCATGCAGCTTAAAGAAAATTAGGGAATTAAAAACTGCCCTTTCAAATAATAATAAAAAATCTTTATTGGGGTTCCCAAAAGGCTATTGCTCTTACATTTACATTAAAATATTAATTTTAACTTGCAGTTTTTAGTTACCCAGTTTTAAATGATTTAATTTATTTAAAACGAGGTTATTGAAAACTGAAAACTAAAATTAATGTTTTGTGTAATTGAAAACTGCCCTTGACTTGACTTAACCATTTAATTTTGAGATCTCATAGTCCAGTTTCTTGTTTAACAAAACATAGGAACTGCTATTATCTGGGAGGATCCACACTCAAAATTTTTGAGTGATCTACTGTTTTCTGCGGTTTTATATTAGATTTTATTTTAGAAGATGATGGTGAGGATGTTTTCTCTTTTTGGTTTATATAGTATTTCGTGTATGTGTTTAATATTTTAATTTAAAATTTTGTATAATTCTTTTGTGTTTTCTTTATTAAAACGGCAATAGAAAAATATGTGGAAAATATTATCTCTTTTTCCACAGATACAGTTGGGATTATCCTTTATTTTAATTTTATGTAGTTGTCTTGGAATTTTGCAATCTTGTGATTCTTTTTTGTATTCATCTTGGTATTGACTTATAATATTTTCTGCTATTATAGAATACAATAATATTATAATAAGTTAGCCAAAACTGGAAAAAACTTTTAAAGAATAATTGACTCTCTAAAATAGGATAAACAAACTTTAATCTAAGTCTAAGGCATTTAAATTATTGTGATGCGTGCATTCAACGATAATAATAATAATAGTTTATTGTTCAACAGATATAAATTCCAATTACACAACAAATTATATACAAAAAATATAATAAAATTATGTTGGAAAATTTGTGGTTAAGTGACTAACTATAAATTCAATGCTATGAAAGTTTATATCACAATTATTGCAATACATATTAAAATTATTGCACATAAACGTAATCAGCGACTTATAAGTTATAACAGCGAAAGCATAATATTAGATCTAGCGTTGGGATAATGGGTAAAACCCAAGCAAATAAGTGGAATGACAACTTATTACATGGCACCCTGTATAAGTACATTCACAGGTTTTTAATAATAAATACTTTTAATAAATTAACAATTTTTTCATTAAGGTTTAAAATTTGTTTTAACTTTTAATTTTAAAATTAAAACCTTGTGTAATTTAAAAAGAGGGAAATCTTAAATTATCTAAAACTGTAATGTCTCAAATTTTATTTTATTGTTTGCAATTAAATTTAAATAAAAAAAGTGTTATAATATATTCTCTAGAATGTTTTTAAATACATATACATAGGTAATTTCTTTATCATTTTCTCTGTATGAAGTCAGAATAAATTCCATGTAAATAAGGCTATATTTGACCTTTAAGAAACAAACTATTTTAAAACCACAGAAACATTGTATTGGAATTTTATTTTGTAGGTACATATTTTATACGGTCCGTCAACTTTAGGACGCAATTCCTTACAATATATAATAATTTTAATAAAAAATATCAGATTAAACCTTAAAATATGTATGTATTAAAGAAAGAACAAAATACTAATTTATATTTTATCATTGTGTACAATTTTTTCGATAAAACGCAAAACGAAAAAAAGTTAATAATAACGTGTATATTGTATATTAACAAAGGTTTTTTTTTAAGAACAAGAAGTAGCTCCAAAATTAAAACCAGAAAATCCTGCATTAAAGTCCAACCCTTTAGCAACAACCCCAATTACACCAGGAGGAAATATTGTCGATATGCAAGGCTCAATTTCACAGGAAACCACTGAAAAAGATCCAACTACTATAAATACAAATTCAGAACAATCAAATTTAGAAAACTTGTCTCCCGTGGATCAACAAATTGAGGATGAAGAAAGGTTAAATTCGTTAAAAACGGTAAACATTAATTTATTTAATTATTTTCCATTTCATTTAAATGTTTTTTTTTTAGTCAACCGAAGAAATAGTCGAAGATCAATTAAAATCACCAACCAATGAAAAACAAGACCCTGACTCTCTAGATGCTAAACAAATTGAGGATACTCCGGATGGTTATGCAACCAGCGAAGCAAACCAAGAATACGTCAACCAAAGAGGAATCAGATTCACACCTCAACTTCAAGATGAAGTAACACTTCTTCCTTATGGATTGGCTTGTGTTAGGGAACTTTTAAGGTAGTGAGGAATATACATTGTGATTTTTTTATTCTGGTAACACGTTTATTTTTTATTTGTAGGTTTTTGATTAGTCTCTGTAACCCACTAGACAAACAAAACAGTGATATAATGATTCATGTTGGTTTGACTCTCTTGACTTGCGCATTTGAAGTGGGATCTGATAGTATAGGAAAGTATTCCACTCTATTGGCCCTTGTCAAAGATGATTTGTGCAGGAATTTATTTTCGGTAAGTGGTATTTTTGTAAAAATCTGTAAATATTGCATTTTTTTTTCTATATTTAAGATTAACATTTTACATTTTATTTTTGACAGTGTTTTATACCTTCTAAATTAGTTTTTTGCATTCTAAATTATAATTTTGACGTTCTTTATCTTCAGGGTATTTCCACGAAACCTTACCCCACCTTGACAAAAAATCAGACAGGTTATTTAACAAAATAACAACTATATCTAAAGTCAAATAGTTTAATTGCGATGTAGTTTATAACCTTAAAATATTCGTACATTGTGATTCTAAGAAGCTAACATTAAGAATAAACACGGAAGAGTTCCAATACTCGATAAAATGTTCAAATGTCGCACCCGTTACATTTTGAGAAAATTTTAGAAAATAAAGTATACAATATTTGTGCATTTAAAATAGGTGCTTGTTTAAGGTGACTATTCACGTTTTACACAAAAAATTATTAAAATATGCTTTCATCCAAAATGTTACAGAATCAACATTAGAAGCCAACTTGGTCGCATTTGCCGATTTTCTAAGGTCGCGCCCGTTACGCCATTTATGACGTTATAAAAGGTTTTCTATACAAGTTTTTATTGACATTTTGTTTGAGTTAAATGCCTAATTTTTTATACTATTTTTTTATATTAACCTATATTGAACAAACACTTTATTATCATGAAAAAACGCAGTTTTAGTGTCGCACCAGTTACAATGGAAGCCCCCTTCAGTAACTTTGGAATTCCTAAAAGTTATTTTTGACTTTCTAAAATGTTTTACATATTTTTAGATTTTAAAATATTTCTAACTTAGTTTGCCATTGTAATGGTTTTTACAAAAATTAGTTGACATTTTTAAATATCTTTGAAATTATAAAATTTGGTTTTAACATTTAACATCTTAAGTAAATTTATGAGTGTTTGTGAAATATGCAAACAATTTCCGATTTTTTTCCTTCATTAAGTTTGACAAAGAAATTTTCCAATAATGTTTAACTAGCGTTTGTGTAAGGGACTGTCCTCTTTCTAAATAATTTTGCATTCCTAAGGTAAAGGGATTTCTTAATTAATTGTGGTCCTTCATTTAATCTAATCAAATAAGTTACAAAGCTATGGCACGCCGTTTTAGCATTTATTAGATAATAGTTTAAACATTAAAGTTTAACATTTTAAGTTATTTTAAGTTAATTTTTGGATTAAAAAATGTATCGACTATTATTTAAATGACACAATGACAAATTCAAACCAAAACTTTTTATTTTTAACAATTTTAAATTGACAAATTTTTAACGCAAAATTTATAACTTTACATTTAAATGTAAGTATAGTCGTCGCGGCGAATGTTTCATATTGCGTCATCAATGTCGAATGTCAAAAATCGATTTCTCGACATACGGTTAACCTAGCGGTTCCTTGGATTATATATCTAAAAGAAAACAACAATAATATAATAATAATGTCTGTGCTTGGTTCAGAATTTGATGACGCAATTTGAAACATTCGCCGCGACAACTATAATTTATAATTTATAATTTACAAAGTGTAAACGCAGCTTTAGCAGACGGCGTACGCTGTCTCTTTTTAGAGTGGCAACTTTAAGCATAGTCCATAGTCGGTGAAACCAAAGATAATACATTATTATTATCTTTGAGTGAAACGTACAAAGCGCGAAGTCTGCAGCATATGCAGTTAGCTAAAGTAGCGTTTAAACTTTGTGAATAAAAAATTCTCGACTTACATTTAAATGCAAAGTGAAAATGTTTGTGTTAAAATTGTTTCAATTTAATTTTGTTAAAAATAAAAGTTATTGGTTTAAATTACTCAAATGATAGTCGCTGAATTTTTAATCCAAAAGTTACCACTTTAAAATTTAATTTTTGTATTAAAGTTTAATACAAAAATTAATTAAACTATCATTTAAATGACTACAAATTTAAACCAATAATTTTGTAGAATAAAATATTAAAACTACAATTTTTAAAAACCAAAATTTTAAACTTTAAGATTTGCATTATATTCAAAATATTCTTTGATTATAATCAATAATTATCAATTGTTTTGAGATTAAAAAAATAAACTTTTTAAATTATTTTGGTTTTATAGGTATGTGTTTTTATTTTAAATGTCTTGAAACTAAATATTTTTAAATACTAAAAAAATTATTTAGGGTTTACAAAATTCTGCCCAAATAAATTATACTTATACTACTAGAAATATTTTTATAAAAAAACGATAGTTAGCAATTTTTGCAAAAATTGATTGAAAATAATATTGTTTAATACAGAAGTGAACTGTTTTTTCAATACATGATAGTGAAAAATATTTTAAATTTATAAATGTAACCTAAACTTTTTAGTTAGGAAAATTTTAAAACAAAAAAATATTTAATAAATGTTAAGTAAAACACTAGATTTCAGGGTATAACGAAGATTTAACCAAATTTTAACTTAACTCCATAAGTTTCGGTTTTGGATAGAGAAGCCGAATATTCGGTTTCGACTGAAAATCTTGGTCGGACACTAGTTTTTATTAGAGATGGGAAAATTCCCATTTGACGAAAATTCCCGGAAACTTTCCATTGAAAATTCCCGAAATTTTCCGAAAGTTTCAAAAAAAAATTTTTTATTGAGAAAATATTTCTTTTATGCCAGGGATTTGCAAAAATATATAACACATTAACTTTTTGTCAAATTTTATTAAGAAAAAAAATACAAAAAAATGTTTATAAGAATGTAACTGCAATACTATTTTTAGTATCTTTTACTTTGGAATATTCCTATTGTATACTGAAACCTACAAAATAAAAATAAAATGTTTACTATTAGAAATTCACTGCTAGTAAATCCTGTAAATCCTAGATATTACGTAAAAAAAATTAAAAGGGACAAAGTAACTAATATAATATATTAGTTATATATATATTATAGGAATATTGAAAAGTAAAACATACTAAAAATAGTATTGCAGTTCTGACTGATAAAATATGAAAGAAAAAACTACAGGCAAAATAAAATTAACATTTCTGACTAGTAGTAACTACCATTGCACATAAAAAAATAGCAAAAGTAAAAAACACAAAATAGGATTTTTTTTAAACCAAACAGGTAAATAAAAGTGTTATTGCTGTATTTTAAATTTATCTAAGATTAATATCTTTCTTCCATTCTGAATGATTTTAACTTTGTTTATTGTTTTTATTTTTTTTACCTTTTTTTAAAAAAGTTTTTTGTGATGATGCTGAATAATCCGGCTTCATTGAGGTTATGTAACATAACTTACATTATTTATACATCTTCTTCTGCTTTAAATTAACACACATTAAATTCTTATTCAAAGTTTCTTGGCCTTGTGTCATGGCCTTAACGAAAATCAGCGGTTAAATAATTGACATTTAAATGAAAAAAACAAGAAAAGTTTCAAGGAATGTTTCCGGTAGCTTAAAAGAAACTTTCAAAATGAAAATAAATTCCCAATTGGAAACTTTCCAAAACGGAAAGTTTCCTTAAAATGGAAACTTTCCGATTCCCATCTCTAGTTTTTATTCTTACAGCTCCTTAACACCGAACGACTATCAGTCTTCGCAGCCGACCTTCAAGTCTCATTTCTCATGTTCGAATCGCTACGAACTCACCTGAAATTCCAACTGGAAAGGTACCTCACAAAACTGATGGAAATAGTGATGAGCGACTCGCCCAAAGTCACCTACGAACACAAGGAGATCGCCTTGGACAACATCTTGCAGCTGTGGCGCGTGCCCGGCTTCGTGAACGAGTTGTACTTGAACTACGACTGCGACATGTACTGCACGAACTTGTACGAGGACTTGACGAAGCTGCTGGCGAAAAACGTCCTGTCGGCCACCGCGGGGGTCTATCAGACGCACCTGTTGTCCCTGGACGCCCTGCTCACGGTCGTCGACGGTATAGAGTTGCATTGCAGACACAAGCAGGACGACTCGAGCAACGGTAGCGACCTTTTCAACAGCAGCGACGGCAGTTTGGCGGCTAAGAGAGGTAGAATCAGGGTTTCGGATCGCGTGCCCACTATAGAGGAGCTGCATGCGAAAAAGAACATCAAAAAGGTAAGAAAGCGCGCCATTTTGACATTATTATTATTTTTTTATTTCATTAAGGTGTGTCGACTGCTGCGGTCATTGGCATCATTGACATTATTAAATTGTGTAAAGACAAACCATTTTTTTATTTAATTGTTTCATCTGGAACAAATATCATAACAAATAAAGAGCAGTGGCGTGTAATCAGAGCTGGGTTTATCTGGAAAAAAAGATACTTAAAAGTAACTTAAATATTTAAAGTATCTAAGATACTTTATCTTTGATACTTTTAATATTGTCCAGAAAGTATCTTTAACTTAATTATTTTGGAAAAGCATCTTGTAACTTGTATCTAAAAAACTCTCGGTAAAGTAACTAAGATACATTCAGGTAACTTAGATACTTTAAAGTAACTAAGATCAGAGCTGCAACAAGTCAGTTTTAAAAAGACTTAAATCTTAAGTCTTAAGTCAATTCTAAAATCAAAATGATTTAAATCTTAAGTCAATTCTAAGATAAAGTTCAAATGATTTAAGTATTAAGTCTTTGAATTAAATCATTTTCTTTCAAGTCAAGTCATTTTCGCAAATTCTTAAATCAATATTAAGTGATTTAAGTCATTTTATGACTTAATTCCTTTAGTAAGTCGTTTTTATGACTTAAGTCTATATTTTTTATTTAAATCGTGATCTAAGAGTTAAGTCAATAAAATGACTTAAATCAAAAATTGTGATTTAAATCAAAATAATTACCCTTAAGTCAATACAACGATTTTTTAAATGTTAATAATAATTTTATGGTATTAATAATACTGATATTATTAATCTATTGTAGATACAGATGATAATAAACCATTATGTTAAGAATTTAAAACGATTTATTTTCAGAACACTTACAAATAAAATAAAAACTTAAAACACATTTTTTGAGTATATATGTAGTAGACAATAAAAATAAAAACTTAAACCACCTTTTTTATTAGAGTAGACATACAGGGAGGCTACTTTTTTATATACATAAATGGGTAACTTCTAAAGAGTAATAGATTCAAACTCTGGTAAAATAGATAAAAGTTGAAGTATTTCAAAAACTGATAACTTGTTGTTTTGTTAACTTTTGTTAGCTGGTTCAACATCCAACTAGAAAAAAAATATTCCTCCCTTAAGGGAGTAATGATGGGAAGTTCCAAACTCTCGATTCACGACCGCTCAAGATGTACGACTGCTCACGACTGATTGTTTCCACTTTGCACTAATATTCACAAATTAGACCTAACTACGCACGAACACGACGAATGTTGGCAAACAAAATAACAAAATTATAAATCCCCACTTTTTTTAATTCATTTTAGACAGGACATTTTTTAATGTAGCCGTCAAACGGTTCCGAAAAGCTAACTTTACCGCGGCGGTTTTTTTATCCACTAGCGGTAGCAATTGTAGGTAGGAAATTAAAGGAGTTTTTGATCTGCTGCCGCGTGAACCCATGGCAGTTCAAAATAAAATGCTGCTGTTAAAAATTTATAAAAAAATATATGAAAAATCTGACTTAAATATTTTCTAAAAAGACTTAAATCTTTTTTAAAAAGACTTAAATCTTTTTTTGACTTAAATCGTTTCTATCTGACTGAAATCGTATGTACTGATTTAAGCCTTTTATTAATGACTTAAGTTTTTTCTATTTTGAAAAAATATTTAAGTCACAAATCATTTTGAAAATTACTTAAATTTTAAGTCTTAAGTCAGTTTTAGAGAAATGACTTATTACCAAATGACTTAAGTCATTAAAACGATTTAAATCAAAAAAACGATTTAAGTTTTCTGAGAGCTTGCAGCTCTGACTAAGATACTTTTTAAAGTAACTAAGAAACTTTAAAGTATCTAAGTTACTTTTCAGTGTAACTTAGATACTCTATTAGAGAAAATTGGGGGAATTCCAGAATGATTCAAAGTAATTACCTAACCTACAACTTGTTGAATTTTTATAATGTCTTGTAACTAAAGATACTTTTAACTCAAAGTATCTAGTTACCAGAGGTAACTAAGTTATTTTGTTTAAAGTATCTTGGAAAAGTAACTACATACTTTTCAGAAGTAACTTTCCCAGCTCTGCGTGTCATATTTCTTTCTAAAAAGAACAACTGACAGGACGCCGCACATAGGGGTATTTTGCTGATCTAGCCGGTCAAAATTATTTATTAATTTAATTTTATTTTTAACAACTCGCTGGTTAACTTTAGGGGATCGTAAGTGTTTTTCAATAATAAAATATTGAAAAAAAATATACAGGGTGGCTTTTTTAACTTAAAACTTTCAGATAGGTATTTCCTGTAAAAAGCATTGGAAAAAAATAAACATATTTAAAATTTGATCATAACGGAGGGTTAATTTATTAGTGCTAAAAGCAGTCCCCCTCCCCACTTCTTGTAGGTGGGGTGGGGGGTAACTTCAAAATATTAACTGGAAACCCCTACTTTTTTGACGGATTCTGATTTTAGTGCTAATAATACGTATGATCTGCCTAATTCCTAGTAAAATTCTAAGTTCTTATTGTTAATGGTCAAATTTATTTTTTAAACCAAGTTACTTCCCGCCCCAACTACAGGGAGTGGGGGGATAGAAAAAAAAATAAGAAAATCGTACGTAAGCAAAAAAATCAGAATACTCTGAAAAAATAGGGGTTTCCATTTAAGATTTAAAAGTGACCCCCCTCCAGCCCCACAAGGAGAGGGGAGGGGGACTAATTTTAGCACCAATAAATTAACCCCTGAAATGATTAAATTTTGATTATGTGTATTTTTTGCAGTGCTTTTTACATGAAATGTCTGTTTTAAGTTAAAAAAGCCACCCTTTGTAAAATAAAACCATTTTGCATTAAACATTAACTTATTTTTTTCTCAAACAAAATTTCTGTAATTTATATCGCAAGATGATAATTAATGCCATGATTCTTCCTCGTCCTGATCAATTTCTGTTTCTCCAGAAACCTCCTTTAAATCGGAATCCGAGTCATTTTCCATGTCAGGTACAGCAGGAATCATCAAAGAAATTGCTTCCCTTGTAAATGACAATGTATTTTTTGGGGGGATTGGTCTCATGTCAGTAATCAGTGGGTCAGAACTGAGTAATAATCTATTTATAATATCAGCGTTACACTTGGCCCTTGAAAATTTTCTAGCGAAATTCTGCCTGTACAGCCGGAAATGCTTATTCCGTGCCTCAGCGGCTTCTTCCGAGAGCAACCCAATTGGCAACAATGCCTTATCTATGACAGTAGCACCATGCACAAGAATTTTGTGCATCGTATGTGTCATAGGATGCCACCGATATAAACTTACATAAATTCAATCGTTGGTTAAGTTTATCTGACGGTTAATTTCCTTAGATACTATTGTCAACACAATAGTATCTAAGAAAGTTAACCGTAAGATAAACTTAACCAACGATTGAAAAACCGGCCCTAAATAAAACAAATTTGTGTATTATTAATATTAATATATTGAAAAAATACTTAATAATTTTTATTGATTTTAAATATCGTATTTAAAATAATTTTATTATATATAAATAATTATTATTAGGTTGGGGTAGGTAGATTATTGCCATTTAAGAAAAAATCCATGATTGTGAACTAAGGTATCGAATTTCAGAGGTCAGTAGAGGCGGCAAAAGTTGAATAGCCTACAGGCGTCAAATCTGTAAATCCGCCACTGATGCGCGGTAATATATTACCGACACATTCCTATAGTAATGCGCAAGACCCCACTCCACTAACGCTCTGCTGAATAGTTGCCGAATATTCGGTATTCGGTCATCTATTGTGCCGAATGTTCGGTATTCGGCCAAATCGGTATTCGGCGCATCACTAATAAATACGTGACACGGCAGTGCCATGCACAAAAACCAGTTCCTAATTTTATAACAATTTTGAATTTTAAAAATATTGTGAGGAAATTTTGCAACCGCGCAGACCCTGCCTGGCTAAAATTTTCTTATTTTACTAACATTAAATGAAGTATACACAAAATTTTAGCCTTTCAGATTAGTCAAAGTAGCTACGAGCTCTCCTATTATAATTTAAAATTCAAATTTGAATCCTATTTTTTACACTGTCTTGGTTTGTCACCCCTAGCAACAAAGCGGGCGGGTATGGGCGGCTATTTTTATTATAATTATATTGTATAAACTATTAACTCTTATAATCAATTAACATAATAACCGGGAAGAACCCGGAAATACAACAAAAAACCTTTCAAACGTAAAATTAGGTTAGAAATTTTAAAAATTTTAAACTATTTTTCAAACGTCAAAAAATAAATGTCCTATTAAAAAAACTACAGCAAAATGATTTTAATATATGTGTTATTACCTCTTTGATCCATATCCACAATAATATTTTTTAAAAAATCAGTTGTCAATAAAATATTTACTTTTTGTTAATAACTATCGCACTAAGGAACCGCGTAATAAACGTATAGTTGAAATAATGAAAGTTTCAACTTTGACAAGCGCGCGGGTGCAGCCAATGAGAGACCGGGACTGGTTGCTTGATGTTTTCTGATTATTTAACAGCAATAAGAACCAGGTTTTCATTACATTTGACAATTTCTTCGAAATTGATTTTTGACCGGCTAGATTGACAAAATACCCCTATGTGCGCCGTTGAAATAAAAAAAATTGAATTACTTTTATCAACAAAACAACAAATCGGAATAAGGTTTTTAGATGTTGGGAAAAAGCATATCTTTTTAAAAATTGCCACACTGTGTATCTCTGAAACAAAAAGTTTTCAGAAAATAATTAATCATTTTTTTTATTTTTTTGCAAGGAATTTTATTCTGTTTTATTGGCATTAATAAAGAATCATAAATTTAGCTTTCGTTTATTAATCGTAATCGTACGATTGTAAATAGAATCGCAATAATAACTAAATATAATAAAAATTATAAAAAGCAATGTTACAGTATTTTAGTAATTTAATTATTTTATTCTTCTAATTTTTTTATATAAAATAGAAAATACTTTCAAAAATATGAAAATAGTTCAAAAGTACAATCGCAACCATATTTTCGTATTGCGCATGTCACTTACTTGTCCGTACTCCAAATGCCCGGTAGGCTATTTGTTCAATTTTACTAAAAAAGTGCCAACGGCTACGCCCACATGCGCACTGTAGGTATTTTAACTTGCCACCATTTAGCTTGTCAAAATTTTAATTTTGTCTTTTGAACTTCATTATTTTAAATACTTATTTATTTTTGTGTTCTTTTAGATTGTCTTTTTAACGGGTCATTTATTTATTTCATAAAACAAAATACTTAAAAAAACGTATCCCTATGGGGCACTGTTCTATTTTTAATTCAGAAATTATTCTTAAGTACATGTTAAAACTAAAGTGATATTTTCAATTAGATAAAAAATATCATATAAGAATTTTTATTCTGCAAATTAAAAATATCATAGAAGATATTTAAAAATTAAACTTAATTTTTATGTTAAACTGATATTCTTAAGTTGGTAAATTTAAAATATCTGTTTGTTATATTTGTATTTTTTAGTTAAACACCTAATTTTAATTTGCTAAATTAAAAATATTATTAAAGAAATTGTTAAATGCATTAAAAATATCATAGTAAATTTAAATGCATTCAAAATATCATATATTTTAAACTATTTTTTATTAAAAATATCTGCATTAAAAAAAATAAAATTTAAATCGAATTAAAAATTTCTCCTATGATATTTTTAATTCATTTAAAATTTTTACCTATGATATTTTTAATTTAGCGAATTAAAAATATGTGTTTAACTAAAAAATACAAATACAAGAAGCAGATATTTTAAATTTACTAAATTAAAATTATCTGTTTGGCATAAAAATTAAATCTAATTTGAATTAAGCGAATAAAAAATATGTGTTTAACAAAAAAAAACAATGAAAAGTAGTAAATATTTTAAATAAAATAAAATATCAGTTTAAACATTAGATCTAATAAATAAAAAATATTACATGAACATGTTTAATCTGCGAATTAAAAATATAAAAGCAGATATTTAAAAATTAGATTTAATTTTCATGCCAAACTGATATTTTTAATGTAGTGAATTTAAAATATCTTTCTTATATTTGTGTATTTTTGTTATAGACATGTTTTTATTTCACTTAATTAAAAATTATATTTAATTTTATGACAAACTGATTTTTTATTTAGTTAATTTAAAATATTTACTATTTATATTTGTATTTTTTTGCTAAACACATATTTTTAATTCGCTAAATTAAAAATATTATAGGAGAAATTTTTAAATGCATTAAAAATATCAAAGGAGATATTTTTAATTCGATAATTGATATTAACAATTTTTGCTTGTTCCAATAATAAAGAGGAATTAAGTCCACTTAGTTTAAAAAAACTGTTTCGATTACAATGGCGATAACGATTTACCTGCTATTATGTTTTTGCCGATTATCGTAATCGCCGATTATCAATTACGATTATTTAAGTAATTTTTTTATATATGTATATTTAGTTTTCCTTTATTAATCGTAATCGTATATCAATAATCGTTGCCTCACTAGGTTAGGTGTACTTATATTTATTAGATTTGTAATTTATTTTACCAATTCTGTTTTGCCTCGTTTTTTGTTAATGATTATATTTTACAGTAATGTTTAATTATAATTAAAAAAATATATAATTTATATTAAATACAAAAATATTTCATTTTATAAGCATTTTTTAAATTTTTAGTGGCTTCCGCAAGGCACAGAATACTTTAATTCCAAACCGAAAAAAGGCATCCAATTCCTTCAAGAACACAACGTCCTAAAACACGATCTAGACATCAACGAAATCGCGATGTTTCTTCGCGAAAACCCTGCTTTGGACAAAAAAACAATCGGCGAGTACATCAGCAATAGAAACAACCTCAACATTCTCGAAGCCTTCGTGAACACTTTCGATTTCACCGACACTAGAATCGACGAGGCCTTGAGAAGTTATCTGGAGACCTTTAGGCTACCCGGGGAAGCACCGACTATCTCCCTGATTTTGGAGCAATTTTCTGAACATTGGCATGTAAGTTGGCATAACTTTAATATATTTTTGTGTTGTTTTGAAATAGGTGTAATTAGGGTTGGGAAAATTTCACTTTATGCTTGTACTTGAAATTTCACTTAAAAGTTTCACGACATTTATTAAATTTAATAAAATTTCCTAAATGTCTAAAATTTCATGAAATTTATGAAATTTATTGAAACTTTCAATAAATTTCGATCACTTTAAGTGTAATATATTAATATTGAAATAAGCCCACTCGGTGACCATGGCAAATTGCCTCTCTTACCTCCTACCCCTCTCCTACCCCTCCTGCCCCTGAACCAATAATATAAATAGTAAATTCCTATGTTTACCACAAATTTCTTGAGATTTCCTTTTAAAATATTTTTAAAATTACTAAAACTAAGAGAGATATAGCACTTTTTGGTAAGCTAATGAGATTGTGCCACTTTCATTGTTTTATATTTATATATATTTATTATTTTTATCTACGCCAGTGAGATAAGAACTTCTTATCGCACTCATTTTGAGTGAGATAAGAAGTTCATTAACGCACGCGTTTTTCTCTGCTTTTAACCAATCAAATAAAAAAGTCAAAATGGCAAAATAACCCTAAATTAAAGACAAAAATAATTACCGTTTATTTTTACATTTAGAGGCGTAGATAAAAATTTGTACAATATACGTGTGATAACGCTTTATTAACGTACTTTTGCGATTGCCCATCTCTTGCTACGCACTCGTTGGGCAAATTTCGCATGCTGAAATTTTACAAAAATTGAAGAAACTTCATCAAAATTTAATGAGCCAAAGGCTTTTTTATCCGTTTTCCGATACAATTATAGCAAAAGTGAAAGTTTAAATTAATCATGACTTTTAAAAAAAATTTAAAGTTTGATTTAATTTACAAATTAAATTGGTAACTGAATTAAATTATTTAAATTAATGTATGCATATAAGTAACAATAATTACTTATAGTGTATTCAAATCCAAGCCGAACTAAACAAAAACGCCCAGACGCTTGATAACTCGTTCTTATTGGTCGATTCGGAATCTGTTGTAAATTATTATTAAAGGTCCCAGGGGAGGTCGCATGTGAAATTTATGCGAAATTTTCAGTAAATTGCGAAACTTTCAATGAAATTTCTGAAAGTTTCACAGGCAATGTTGAAATTTTCGAATTGAAAATTTCATTTGAAATTTTAAAAAAATTCACTTTTCCAACTAAATGAAATATTTCAAGTTTGAAACTTTCAAAGTTGAAATTTTCATTTGAAATTTTCAACTGTCCAACCCTAGGTGTAATCAAAAAATAGACTTGACTGAAAATGCTGAATTGCTTTACAGAAAAGCAATGGGGAGCCGTTTGCGGACGTGGATTCCGCATTCACTTTGGCGTACGCGGTGATAATGTTAAACGTCGACCAGCACAATCAAAACGCCAAGAAACAAAGTCTACCGATGAGTGCTGCCGCCTTTAAGAAGAACCTGAAAGGTGTCAATGGTGGAAACGATTTCGACGGCGATATGCTCGACGAAATATACAACACTATTAAGTAAGTTAAATACTGTTACATGTACATTGTATGTTTTTTTTTTCAAACAGTGATTTAAGTCGCAGTAATGTTTTTGACATTTTAAGTGTGTTTTTACATTCTAAAAATTGCCCTGAACATTCGAAAATTTGTTCTTAACATTTTAATGTGTTTAGAAAGTGGTATTGACGTTTTAAAACATTCTAAACTGAGTGTGACATTCTACAATTTGTTTGAGACATAGTCCCAGTAATGTTTTTGATATTTTTAGGTCTGTTAAATATGACCTTTTATTATAATATTTGCGATTTGAAAATATTTTTATATTTTTGACAAAAGTCAAAACGAGGTTTTGATTTGATTATTAAATTTTGTTAAATGGTAACTGCTGGGTAACAATGTACGTACTTTAGGAACCAAAACCTTTGTTGCCAAATGCCTTTTACTGCATCTTAATAAAGAAAAAAATATTTTCTTATTAAGTTTACTGAGCCAGTAATACATTTTTTAAATTGATATCCATTAAAGTACTTTTTTATGCCTATAAAATCATCTAGTTTTTGCAAATCTAAACTTTGCCATTTTTTATCTCAATTTTTTTATTGTTTTTCCTGTCCCCTACTTTTTTCCGTAATTTTTTTTATACCCTGTATAAACAACTATTTTTTCTTTTTACCGTGTTTCTTCTTAAATATTTTCAAAACAATTCATTTTAACGAATTTTGTACAAATACGCAGAAAAACTTGACTGGTTTACAATCCGTTGTCATAGCAACGTGGTATTTCCACTCTTAAATTTTGAAATTTCCACTTATTAATTCAGCAACAATATTAGTGAAATATTCATATATTATATCACGAGAACTATGAATTTAATCGGTTAAACTAGGCTCAGTAGTTTTTTGTTTGGATTTTCTTGGAAAATGTTGAATGCAAAATAATTTAATAAAATCACGAGACCGCGTAGCGGTCGAGGGGTTTTCTTTTTAATTATTTTGCATGAAACTATTTTCCAAAAAGAAAAATCAAATAAAAAACTTACTGAGCATAGTTTGACAGATTAAATTTATAGGTTGAGTGATATACGTCTAGATTTTTTCTTGAATTAAAGGAAACTATTTGACAATTCATAAAATCTGACGTAAGTGTCAAAATTTATAAATATTTTTTTAAAGAAAATTCCATTAATTTAAGGTATGTAATAAGTAATAATTGATATTTCGTAAACTAGATAACTTATTTTTTATTGTTTTTTAAAAAATGTTTGTTAAAACTTGTAAATAACACCATAAAATCGTAAACAAAAATCTAATATGGAGGCTAAAATTTAATCGCTGTTAAATAGTTTTAGTGATTTAATCGCTTATTTAAACGAAATTTATTCGAAAATTCAAGGCTTTTGATTGGTTCATATTATAATGAGGGAAATAATCGTATTCAATACCACTAGTGGTAAAATTTTACCGATAAAATTTTTGATTTTTATACGAATGTTTTTTTTCTTGGAAATGTCGCCTAGCGGCTCGTGGTCTTAAAAATTAATGCCACCAGCGAAATTTACAGGGAAAATTCTTATTGTCGTAAAATAAAAATCAAAATTTTTTTCAGGGAAAATTTTATCACGAGTGGTATTCGGCAAGACTATTTCACGAATATTTTTTTTTAATTGAAATTAACTGCCGATTCAATTTCTGTATGATTTTTCTTACCAAAACGCATATTTTTTGACATTTTTATTTACAAATTAGAAACGTCAACATTGACAATTATTTTTCGCATAACAACCATTTGGTTAGTATAGTAGTTTAGTAGTTTTATCGCTGCAAAACTGAAAAAACACCCGTTTTCTGAAATCTGATTGGTCCATAAAGTAGGTAATAAGTGGAATACACTGTTAAACTGATAAAACCCCTTATTTTTTAAACGTTCTAAAAAGTTTTAGTTTTATCAGTTTTACAGCGAATATTAGCTACCCAGTTGGTCTAAAAAGTAATGAGTGAAATAGTCATTCTAATAGTTATTTTTTTATATGACGTTCTAAAATGTGCTTTTGGTATTTTCAAATATGTTCTTGCCATTCTACAATTTGTTTTTGACATTCTAATATGTTTGTCATTCAACACTAAATAGCATTTTTATGTGCAAAAATTGATTAAAAAAAGTAATGTTTTTTATATTTTTAAGTGTGTTTTGACGTTCAAAAATTTTCCTTTGACATTCTAAAATTCTTTTTTAACATTATAAAATTCGTACGTTCTTTTCTATTGGCCCTTTTCACAATCAATAACCCATTAATTGTTGTGATAATCAATTGTCGCACATAATGTTGCCAAACGCATGCGTATTCTTAAAGTAAAAATCCTAAAATGCTTTTTTTCATAAGATAAAACATAGTTTTTAATGAAACCATCTTTTAAACATTCCGTACATTAGACCTAATGTATATAATATGACTTAAAAGAATATAATTAAGGTTTTATTTATTATGTCTTTTGAAATAACGAAGGTAGAATTTCTGGGATTCCTGGGGATCTACCAAATGGTTAAGCTTTTTTTCATATTAAACCTTGCACCACACCAAAACGTCAAATTAACCATACATTTTCCTCCAGAAACGACGAAATAGTGATGCCGGCCGAGCAAACCGGCCTGGTGAAAGAAAACTACCTATGGAAAGTTCTATTAAAAAAAGGCCAAACGAAAGACGGCGTCTACATCCACGTGAACAGCGGCACCTACGATTCCGAACTCTTTCAATTGCTGTACGGACCCATAGTGGCCGCTCTATCGTTCGTTTTCGAAAAGTCCGAAATACCCGGGTCGTACAAGAGGATCCTGCAAGGTTTCGAGAAGTGTTCCTTTATATCGGCGCATTATAATTTGACGAGGAATTTGGACATGTTGTTGCTGAGCTTGAGTAAATTCACGATGTTCCATAATCAGCAGAGGTTGAATAATATCACGTTGCAATTCGGTATCAATAATAAGGCGCAGTTGGCACTGAAGAGCGTGTTTTCTTTGACGCATCAACACGGCGATGGTATTAGGCAGGGATGGAAGAATGTTTTCGACTTGATTTTGTCTTTGTATTGCAACAATTTGCTGCCCAAAACGTACGTGGAAGCCGAGGATTTCATAGAGCCGAGCGGGAAGATCAACTTAACTTTCGAGGAGGTGGAAAGTTTGCAGAAGCAGGATACCGGGTTGCTGAGTTCTTTGTACTCGTACATGGTGTCTGCGGAGAATTTATCGAAAATTCCTTCACCGGAAGAACAGCAATGCATCGATCTGGCTAAAGAGTGCATCAAAGATTGCAACTTGGAACAGTTGGTGACGGATTCGAAGTTTTTGCACGAAGAGGCTCTGCTGGAGTTGGTCGGAGCTCTGATGGAGCAATCCAGAGGCCCCGACGTGCAAAAATCCTTGTACAACAACTACAACGAGAACGTCACGGTGTTCTTCCTGGAACTGCTGGTCAAGATCGTGATTCAGAACCGCGACCGCGTCGTCTCGATATGGCGAACGGTGCACGACCACCTCTACACCATCGTCATGAACGCCTCGGTCTTCGACTACCAGTATCTGCTCGAGCGCGCCGTGATCGGGCTGCTTCGCGTCGCCATCCGGCTCATGCGCAACGAGGAGATGTCGCCGGTAGTGCTGCAGTCGCTGCGCATGCTGCTGCTGCTCAAGAGCACCACGATCTGCCGGATCTCTCGGCAGATTTCCTTCGGCCTCTACGAGCTGCTGAAGACGTCCGCGCAGAACATCCACACCAATGCGGATTGGACGATCGTTTTCACGTTGCTGGAGTGCGTGGGGGCGGGCGCGCAGCCGCCCAAGCCCATAGCCGAAGACAATCAAGTCGATCAAGGTAAGATCTTAAAGCAAATAATGTTTAGTTTATGTGCAGTTAAGGAAGATTGTAATGTCTATTTGAATGCTACATTTTTTGGAGACATTCGGGTTTTGATAATAAAATTAAGGAATTTATTTTTAAACTCAATAATTCTACCTACCTGCTATTTATCATTCTTTCATCGCACATTTCATTTGACTTTTAAGCTTTTATGCAATAATTTAAATACATTTATAATATATGTTCTATACTTTATTTAATAAACTACTATTTAATTAGTTGTTATTAATAAAATAATATTAATATATGAATAAAAACAACACTGTTTTAAACTTTCACTAATTTATATTTGTTTTTAATGATTAACAATTGTTTCGCAGAATTCTGAAGAAGCTACTGTGTAGCGAAACAATTGTTAATAATTAAAAACATAAATAAATTAGTGAAACTTTAAAACAGTGTTGTTTTTATTCATATATTAATAATATGGAGTTTCATCAAGTAAAGGTAGAAACAATCAACAAAATATAATAATATATTTTAATGAAATATATACCCATTTAATACTAAAATAATTATAAACTTTTGCATAATTTTGCAAATAAAATTGTTAATAACCCTCTTTAATGTATTTACATTTTTATGTGATTTTTTGTAACCTGGGCAATTTGAATTAAAATATTTATTCTTACTATGTAAATTAATATGTTTATCAACATTTTAGTTTTCATTATTTGTAGAGCAAACATGCAAAAACCGATAAATCTATTTTTACATTTTAAGAGGATAGAACCGATTCTTACTAATTTTGGTAAACTTTTTTAACTTAACACAGCATTTTAAGTAAAAACCGAAACAGACAACCCAACAGGAGCAACATTCCCTTTTAATAGTTTTTAAACATTTGGGGCAATCTGCTGAACACATTTTTGGCCAATATTTCATAATAAGTTAAAATGGATTTATAGGCTTTTGCATGTTTGCTCCATATTTGTTTTATGAAATAACTGCCCAATACCAACTTATTTCAATTTATAAAAATCCAATAAAATATGAAAACGGCATAAACTTATAATAATTGAAGCTTGGTCTTCCCAAAGGGTCTAAGTGCCAATAATAAAATTGTGAGTAATCAATAAAAATAGTAGATAAAATAATATGGAGTTGGAGTCGTTTTGCATGGCACATAAACTATTTTTAAATAATAATTTAATATTTGACCAAATTGGGTCCAAACCCTTTGGGAATACCATGCTTCAATTATAATTTTTTCACTTATACAATTTTAAAGTCTTTTAAAAAATAAGGAATCTGCAAATTATTATAATTGAGGCCTGTCAAAGCAAAGTCAACAATCTCCCGTCAGACTAAAACTGAGTAAATTAAGATAATTTATTTTGGTACCTATTTTAAATTCTAGATTTGTAATTTTTTTTATATTTATTATATTGAAATATTCTTGTTGTTAGTCTAGTAGCCAACTACAAGGTCTCCAGGATGCATATTATAGGTGAAATATGTAATTATAAATTGGAGATTGCTGACTTTCATATGAATTGCTGGAGATTGCTCATTTTGTTGTAAACGTTTAAGGAGATTTAGAAAAATAAACAAAAAAATAACTATACAATCAATGTGGGAAAATTGATGATGAACTGGACCACATAAATCTGGAGTTTCTTGTAAATTTGGGACCAGGTTGCCTCGTGCAAAAAAGTTTTTATAGACAACTCATCATCTTCTTCCCACTTTGCTCCGTAATGTTTTACTTACAATGTTTTGACATTATCAGCCTTTTCTTGCTTTACCTTTATGTCTTATTATGGTATAATATTACTGCTGAATATGTGACTTAAACCTATAACAATTGTTATTCTTATTATTGTATTTTATGGTTTTCTTTTACCGTTAATAAAGTTTATTATTAAAGTTTATTATTATTATTATTATTATTATTAATAGCACAAAATAAACAAGATAACTTTTTTTTATAATTCTTAAAACAATAAAACGTATAGGTATATACCTATTTGAAATATATTTTTAAGTGCAATTTACTGCAATAGAACTTAACAGTATGTACCAGTAAAAAACACAAAATTAAATCTCTAAAATACGTTACAACATCAAATGTTAGGATATCAGGTGACACAAATTACTAATTTCTAATGGTGGAATTGGAGATTGTATACTTTGCTGCAAATCTATCAGTGGAGATTGTCGACTTTGCACTAAATGTCATTTTTAAAATAGGATTTTAGGCAGGATTTAGCTCCTTTTGCAGCACATAAACTTTATCATCTTATAGATAATTAGTTGAAGTACAGTCTTCGCCAAAATCTAATTTTTTACCAAAAGTGGAGATTGTCGGTTTTGCTATGACAGGCCTCAATTAAGTCCGAGCCTTATAACGCCCTATGCTCAGTTCAGTTTATCACAAAGCAGTCGCGCGTATTCAATATTTACTTTTAATTTTTTTGCCTATTTGTTAAATTTTAGTAAACAAGTGCCAACGGCTACGCCCAGATGCGTCTAGCTTCGCCAAGTTATAACGCGCGGCCTGTTCTTGAAATGGTTTAAAGATTTATTAATTAAGTTGTGAATAAACTCGGAAACTTTTGAGAGTAGTTGGTTAAATCAGTTATCAATTCTACCCCCATAATTGCGACATGTACTAGATGTACTAGAATGCTTTAAGGATAGATATTCGCACGTAAGAAAAACTGTCGGTATTTTTAAGTTAATATATTTTAGGAACGAAATCCGACGGCGAAAACCAACTAGCAAGCGATGAAGAAGCAGCGGCAACGTCGACAGACCGAGGCTACACCTCGGATTCCGAGCTGGCAAAAAGCCCGAAACACGCCGCGGCCCAAAGGTCCCATAGCCCACCCGGCGTAATTGCCGCGTCGCCAGTGGGAACTCCCAACACAGGCGGATGGATTTTGGTGGCAAAAAAAAATACCCAACAAAATTATAAAAATAACTTTCCTTTTCCTTAGGTTGGCAACGAGGGGGAGATTCAGCCGGTGGTCGGCCGAACTGTGCCTCCGACGCAGTACGGCCTGTCGTTGGAGAGGAACTTGGGTCCCCACGACCCGAGCAGCTTGATCAAATGTTGCGAAAGTTTGGCGTTTTTGGTCAGAGATGTCGCTCACATCACGCCGTATAATTTTGACGTTTGCGTCCATTGCATCAGGACGTTCGTCGAAGCTAGTCTACACGGATGTGAGTATAACGAGTTTTTTTATGTAAAAAAACATCATTTTTTGTAATTATTTAGGTTTTTTTAAGTTTTTTTTAAAACTACCCACCATATCGTCACCCTAATATAACAAGGTTGTATGTTAAAAAACCGAAAAATTTGAGTTTATGCTTCTACAAGGTTTTATGTAATCCACCCTTGACATACAACTTAAAAATAACTCTAAATATATGTATACATAGCATATACATTCTATAGAATTATTTTTAAGTGGTATGTGAAGCGTATGCCACGTATAATCCTGTAGAAACATAGACTTAAATTTTTCGTTTTTTTTAACATACAACCTTGTTATATTAGGGTGACGATATGTCTATTTGACGTTTTTTGTCAATGGAAACCTTACTTATTTTTATTTCTATTAAAACAATGAAGCAAAAAGTAAAATTTAGAAAAATTCGTACATTTTTTCATAAAATTTTTAAAAAAATTTAATAAAAAACCCAATAACCTAAATAATTTAACCTCCGTTTTTTGTCCTTTTTCAGTTTTTTTCACATAATATTTTTTTAACTTTGTACCATATGCCTATTTACGTTTTTGCTAGTGTAAACTTTAAAACTTAAAATTTGAGAATATTTTAGTAAAACATTCCATGATTTATTTCATGAAAATTTGCACATAATGTAATAAAAAAGTAAATACGTGTTGTTTTTATTGTTCTTTTTCAGTTTTTTTGGCCGTTTTATTTCTTCACATTTTATGTTTTTTTTAACTTTGCATCATATGCCTGGGCTGTCCAACTTACGTTTCTTTGAACTAGTTGTTTTTACGTTTTTTGCCCCTATTTTTATTTTTATGAATCCAATCAAACAAAAAAATTTGAAATTTTGGAAGATAAAAATTTGAGAATATTTTTAGTAAAAAATTCGTGCATTTATTTTATCAAAATTTGCAAATAACTTAATAAAAATACAAATAGGAGATTTTAACGAAAAAGCTACAATACATTTATTTAGAATTCGTTGCTACATTAAATAAATAATGCAATATTAAGAAATTTGCATTGAACATCACAATTTTAATTACAATATCCATTACACATTACATTCTTATGTTAAAACTCCCGAATAAAAAGAAATCAATTTTTTTCAGTCAAAATTTTCAATTATGAAAAATGACATACGATATATTATTATATTTCATTTTATTATTAATAAACAATCTTTTCAAAATTTCATATTAAATCTAGTTTCACAAGTGATTGATATGGCGGCTCCTTAAAATACTCTATTTTATAATCATCCATGTTAATTATTAACAAAATATACTGGAAATTGTTTGGTTTTGTTATCCATTTTGCGTTCATAATGACTTCATTATAACACTGTAATGAGATACTTTATCCCACCCAAAATTTTGATTTTATAAGTTGGCTATACTTTAAACAGCATAATATTTTGCATATTGGTTATAATATTTTTATGATTTTTGGCAATAAATTTTGTTTAACACTAAAGAAAATCCTTTTTTTCTTCTTTAACATTAACAGCCGCTTATTGTAAATATGTAAATTAAGGACGGCATGGCGAATCGATTTTGACATTAACTGTCAAACCAATGACTGTGATACCAACTATCTAAAGTAAAATTCGACCAAATTAAATTTTAGGAATAAAATAAATTTTAAAAGAATTTTTGCAAAATAGTTAAAATAGCACAAAGAACTCATGTCATAAGACCTTTTGTCGCACTCGTCCATTACATAAATTGTTCGCGTGCGACAAAATGACGTCTTATGACATTAGTCCTTTAATATACTATTTTCATAGGTTTTTAAACTCAAGAAAGTGTTTAACATAAATATCGGTTCTAACTTCCAAATTCATTCAAATCCGCTGTTTAGAAAATCTCAAAAAAGGGTATCCTGAGGCCATTATTCTTTGTAAAAGTGAAATAAAATAACAGTAGGTATTGACTAAATTCTTACGAATTAAACGGTGCAGATGAGCCTCTTGTACTCGCTAACAGTTTTGTGGGGTTCCGATGGTCTTATGAGGACCTCTTTCCCGTTACCCTGTTTTCACTGATGGAGCACGAATAATGGTTGTAAGCCATAGTCAGCCAAAGAATTGTAGTTTTTGTAGCTCAGTCTCATTTCGAGTTATTTTAGGCGGCACAATTGAGGAGCATCCGTGCAAAACCGGCTAAATCCATTTTATTCAAGTTTTGTTTTTTTTTCTGATTTCGCATCTTTGGGTTCATTTCTATCGACAACCAAGATAATTCTGTTTAAATATTACTATATCCATGTTAAAATCACATTTAAAATCCTCGTTTTTATAGCAAACCCGGCTATATCCAATAAATAATAATGATGATGAGCATGTGGCTTGGATATGTTGATACTACTACTTAAATTTGTTCTGTTTTTTCATGTTTGCACTAAATTTATTTTGTTAATATTTTTGAATAATAAAGGTTTTTTTCACATTTTATTCGGTTTTTGAGCAAAACCGGCTATTTACAAAACATTTTTTGAAAATTTGGCCTTAATATAAAGTTTTTGAAAACGAAAGTATGTCTTATAAATCAAGTACCACAAAGCCCACAAAACTCAAGTTTGCTTTTTCTTTTATCTGTAAAGGGCAGGAAACCGAGAGTTTTTGCCATTTTCCCAACATTTTATTAAAGTGGATGTAGCCGGTTTTGCACGGATGCTCCTCAATTGACCTTGCATTACATTTGAGAAATTGTAGGCAAACACAACAAAAAAAGTCGCGAGGGAAGACCGCGACGGAAGAACCCGAACAGAAAACGGCAGGACCTGTACAAATCCCGGAAAAGCCCGACCAGCAGTCCGGAGGAGGAGGAAGAAGAGGCGAGCGACGACGACGCCCTACCCACCGGCTACCATCAAATATCCATCCAGCTGCTGGACCTGATGCACACGTTGCACACGAGGACCGCGCAGATTTTCAAGTGGTGGGCCGAGGAGGGCGGCGAGATCGCCCAGGAGACGTCGCTGTGGACGCAGGGCTGGTGCCCCTTGCTGCAAGGCATCGCGCGGTTGTGCTGCGACGTCCGGAAGCCGGTCAGGATGAGCGCCATCACGTATCTGCAGAGGGCGCTGCTGGTGCACGATTTGCAGACGCTGAGCGGGCCGGAGTGGGAGGCGTGCTTCCACAGGGTGCTGTTTCCACTACTGAGGTATGTGTTTTTTTAAGTGAGAACGTTATTTGTTCCCTATGTAGTAAATTACGTGCAGTATGAGGTGTGGAAGTAGTAAATTGCACTTCAAGGGATAAAACAGTGATCACAGGGGTTGCGAATCCGCTGACACTCACTGTCGTCCTCTATTCAAATTAGCTCCAAATTATTACTCTACCCCCATTTTTATTTTCCATAGTTTGGTTCAGGCTCACATAAATAAGCATTAATTTTTAACCCAATTAAATATTCATTTGCACAAAACCAGAACAGCAAACCTAAACATACCCTAAAAAATGTAAGTTTTATATTTTATCTTAAGAGTGATTGAACGTTTTTTTCTCAAATTTCGCATAATTGCGCCATCTGAAATTTTTTAAATTAATTTTGGGAAGAAATCGTTAATTTATAAGTTTGAAAAAACCCTTTGGTCATCCTAAAGTTTTTAATGTCAATGCTGTATAAAATAACTAAATTTTAAAATATAGTGATAACTATACCCAAAAATGTGTTACAGAGCTGCTCTGCCAAAAAGGACTATTGGGTTGATTTAATATTTTCATAGAATATTTCTAAAATATTGTACCCTTAATGATGATTAAATTTTTGTTTAACCATCATGTAGGGCATCTTTAAAACTATTTATAAGGTTGATTGAAAATTTTCAAAACTTAACTTTTAAAAAAATGCAAAAAAATATAACTGCACATAACCCCTTAATGAAAAGGTTAAAGTTTCATTGTAATACTACACGGAAACCCTTAATGAAAAGGTTAAAGTTTCATTGAAATAGGGTCCGACAGTTATTGTAGGGTTTCAAAGGATCCATTTAAATTTTTTATATAGTCTTAAAATATTGTACTTAAAAAAATGACAAAAAACGATTAAACAAATAGTAACGTCTAAATGAAAAGGTTAAATTTTCATTAAAAATGGCGAAATACAGTTATTGAAGGGGCAACTTTAAAATTATTTATCGGATCGATTTGATATTTTCACAGAATATTTGAATATTTGAAAAATTTTACTTAAATCGATTTAAATTTTTTTAACTATACGTGACTCCTACAGTTATTGTATTTATTTGATTGATTTGAAATTTTTACAGAATACCATTGAAATATTTTTCTTTAAGAAAATGACAAAAAATAACTGCATAAAACCCCTTAATGAAAATGTTACATTTTCATTGAAAAAAGGGTCCCACAGTTATTTTGGGGTCTTTAAATCTATTAAAATTTTTACAAAATACTCTTAATATGTTGTACTTACAAACGGCAAAAAAAAGATTTAAAAAATCGGATCGATTTTAAATTTTCACAAGATACTCTTAAAATATTGCACTTACAAAAAATTTACAACAAAACGATTTTAAAATAATTCTAACTGCATTTAACCTTGATGAAAAGGATAAATTTTCATTGAAAATTATTTATCAGATCGATTTGAAAGTTTCACAGAATACTCTTAAAACATTTTACTTTAAGAAAATGACAAATAACAATTTAAAAAAAAAAATCTAATCACAAGTAACCCCTTAAATCTATTTATCGAATCGATTTAAAATTTCCACAGAATACTCTTAAATTATTGTACTTTAAGAAAATGCAAAAAAAAGATTGGTACTGCACATAGTTCCTTAATGAAGGTTACATTTTCATTGGAAATAGGGTCCTACAGTTATTTTAGGGTATAGGAGGAACGATTTTATATTTTCAAAAGATAGGTAATAAAATTGTACTTAAAAAATTACAAAAAAACGATTTTAAAATAATTCCAACTGCATGTAACCACTTAATAAAAATGTTAAATTTGTATTAAAAAAAAATAAGAAGTTTGGATTTTCTTAAGTTTAAAAACTTTACTAGGAATTGTGTTTGTTTTTAAGATATCTATTGCAACCACTCACTCCTAAAGAGCCAATGGCTATGGAGGAGACCAGGATGAGAGCAGCGACTGTTTTATCCAAAGTTTTCCTGCACCACCTAACACCACTGCTATCCCTTCCAACATTCTTCAATCTTTGGCTGGTAATCTTGGACTTTATGGAGAGATACATGCACGCGGACAAGAGCGATCTGCTCTACGAAGCCATACCGGAATCCTTGAAGAACATGCTGCTGGTAATGGACTCCGCGAAAGTTTTCGACGCGCCGGACGGCAACAAGAGTCACCTTTGGGCGGCCACTTGGGAGAAGATCAACACCTTCTTGCCGCGCATGAAGGACGATTTGTTCAGGGAGATCAATCAGGGACTGGCCCAGGAGCAAATGCAGCTGCAGGTAAATGAGCATATTTGAGGCCTGTCATAGCAAAACCGACAATCTCCACTTTTGGTCAAAAATTAGATTTTTGGCGGAGACTGTACTTCAACTAATTATCTATAAGATGATAAGGTTTATGTGCTGCAAAAGGAGCTAAATCCTGCCTAAAATCCTATTTTAAAAATGACATTTAGTGCAAAGTCGACAATCTCCACTGATGGATTTGCAGCAAAGTATACAATCTCCAATTCCACCATTAGAAATTAGTAATTTGTGTCACCTGATATCCTAACATTTGATGTTATAACGTATTTTAGAGATTTAATTTTGTGTTTTTTTAATGTTACATACTGTTAAGTTATATTGCAGTAAATGGCACAAATATATTTAAAATCGGTATACAGGGTGTTATGTAATTAATGTTATATATTAAAATGGGTTGTTCCTTAGGGTCCATAAAGAAGCACCTGAAACTTTTTTTTTCTAAATTCCAAAGTCTAAAAATAATTTATAATAACCTTTATCCTACCAAAAAGTACGCCACTGATCGACTAGGAACTTTAGGTTAATCTGGTGGATTTATTATGTTATGGTTGGTAACAGTGTTTCCAAAATCTCTCAAAAAAGTTGACAAACATTGTTTAAATTTAATTTAATTACAAAAATGACAAAATTAACAATGCAAATTGTCAATTTGGCGTTTTTATTAATTGTTGGTTATTTCATTTTTGTACTGAAGGTAAATTCAAACAAAATCTGCCAACTTTTATGACAGAATCTAGTGCATTTCTTTTAAATTTTAGGTTATGTTTTCAAATTGTAAATATCTTAACTAAGGAAAGTGCTTTTGGATTTATTTACACAAATTAAATGTTTAAAGTTTAACCTGTGAACTGGTCCCAATTTCATCTGAGTAAACAGAGAAAAAAACTGATGAAAAAATTAATTTTGTGGTTATGGATTTCAAATTTCAAAGGTACTAAATTTTCTAATCATTGCTTAAGCTAATAGCTGGATCAGTAAATAAATACAGAAGGGTATTAGAGCTTTAAGGGCATAAAACTTTTGTATTTATTATGTTTTTATTTATTTTTTGCAAGAAAAATTTTTAGTAACAATTTTTTACATCTGGCAACGCATAGCTCCTTTGTTGGTTGGTTGGATTTGTTATCTATGGTACCTATGTACTCACAAAATACAGGTGTGCAGAGATAAACAAGTGTGTAACCAGTGGCGTATCACAAAAAATATAAAAAACTTCTAATGCATATTTTTTCTTTATCTTTGGAAAAATGTTTTTTTAAATATTTTTCCTTTATTCCTTATGTCAAAAGGTATTCAGTATTTTTAAATATAACATTAATTACATAACACCCTGTATATACGTTTTATTGTTTTAAGAATTATAAAAAAAGTTATCTTGTTTATTTTGTGCTATTATACCATAATAAGACGAAAAGGTAAAGCAAGAAAAGGCTGATAATGTCAAAACATTGCAAGTAAAACATTACGGGGCAAAGTGGGAAGAAGATGATGAGTTGTTGTACTATAAACACTTTTTTGCACGAGGCAACCTGGTCCCATATTTAAAAGAAACTCCAGATTTATGTGGTCCAGTCAGTTTTCCCACATTGATTGTATAGTTAAATTTTATACCCATTAAAGGAATAAAAAAACAATTATTTTTTTGTTTATTTTTCTAAATCTCCTTAAACGTTTACAACAAAATGAGCAATCTCCAGCAATTCATATCAAAGTCAGCAATCTCCAATTTATAATTATAGATTTCACCTATACTATGCATCCTGGAGACCTTGTAGTTGGCTACTAGACTAAGAACAACAATATTTCAATATAATATATAAAAAAAATACAAATCTAGAATTTAAAATACCAAAATCAATTATCTCAATTTACTCAGTTTTAGTCTGATAGGAGATTGTTGACTGCTCTGACAGGCCTCATTTAAAAGTAACTTTAAATCTTAACTTTTTTATGCAGCAGGAAATCCCCACAGAAACCATAGAGATTACGAAACCTGTGCAATACAACATAGAAAATGCGACCAGAACCAGTATAATTTTACAGCCGCCCACCACGGGCCAACAGCAAGTTTCATCGCATTTATTCGCTCACTTAGGACAGGTAAGCTTCCAAAAAAACCTAACGAATGTACCTTAGCTTTTAAAAATATACTTAATTTAGATGAAAACCTGTGTCTAACTATGGCCTAACTTAAAACAAAATTATTTATATACGTTTTAATATCAATTTAGAATTTCAATTGCGTTTATTGTTCTAAAAATATTAAGAAAATATAAACAATAAGAAAAACCATTTACTTCTTGTCTTTTGTCTTATTGTGTTATTTGTAATGATGTATTATGAGATTGGGTAAAGACATCTTTAAAATTTATCAAGAGTTACTTTATTAGAAAAAATATATGTATAAACTGCGCGTCAAAATTAACGCATAACAAGTTATAAAAATCTAAAACGCCTTTACCAATCTTTATAAAATTTTGGATAAAAATAATTTAACTCATATCTCAGTTTACGTGTTCAAGGGTTTTTCGAGAAAATATCCTTAAAGCCCTTTTATTTAATATTAAAAAACGCTTTTATAGGGAAATTTTTTTTTAAGTAAATAAAAACTATGCTGTGAAAGACCGTATTTTTGTTAGCATACCCTGAAAGTTTTGTACAAACCAAACAAACAGTAACAAAGATACAGCGCTTCAAAGTCGTCAAAAATGACCATTTTCAGCAAAATAATCAAAAAGGGGTCATTTTGACCGACTTTGAAGCGATGTATCTTCGTTACTGTTCGTTTGATTTGTACGAAATTTTCAGGGTATACCAAAAAGGTAACAAATATGTCACTAGCTATAAACCCTGCTACTATTTGGAACGTAGCTGCTACGTTACTAGATCGTTTCAATATCGTTGCTAGAGCGTTATAATTACTTTTATTTATTTGTTTTTACTTCTATATTAACTGTCTTTGTCAAACTTATATTACATTATACTATCCCTCCTTTTTTAAGTGGAACCACTACGGACTTGGCTTTTTAATGTCGTCGTTTATTTAATATGGTAGTTTATAACTTCCAGAATAACAATATAATGTTTAATTAGGCAGGTAAATTTATAAACCCTTTAAATTTTACTGTTGAACTTATGAATTTGGTTTTGTAAAATAAATGCGCTTCATTAAAATTTAAGTATAAACAAATTATTTATTTAATAATGTTTATAAATAAAAAATCTTAATATTTATTATTATTTTTTTATTTAATTATTAATACAGTCTATTATAAACAAAATTACTATTTATTAAAAAGTAAACAACCATTTACAAACAACTAAATAATTTATTATTTACATTAAATGGCCGATAAGAAGCATTTTCCTTTGAAGTAGTTATCGCTACTTTAAAGTTTTTTTCACCTTAATTTACTTTACGGTAGTTTTGGTTAGTAACATAAACGTTCCAAATACTAAAATAATATCTTTTAAGTTATTAACTTTGTAGTTTTTAACTCATGTTCCAGTTTCGATATTTTAACTAGCAAAATAATAATTATTTTTACTAATTATTATAATGTAATCTTTAGGTAGCAACCAAAAGTATCTGCTACAAATTAAATTTACTTGAAAGTTTTTTTTGATGAAAATTTTTTTGTTTATTACTTTATAGTAACCATTTAAGGAAATAATGAAGTTTCTGTTACAAAATATTGCTATTTAAAAGTTAAAATTACTATTAAGTAAGCTGTTTAGTACTTAACTAATTTAAAGTTATCACCAGTTTGGTAATGGTTTTTGGAACCAAAAATGCTGCTTGGGTAATATCTAAAATTGTAAAAGTGGTTTCACCCAGATTTTTGACATTTCCCAACCCCATTGGTTTTTTATTTAATTAATTTTAAAATCATAGAACAAAGCAAGGCCAAACAAATTTTTGTTTTGTTTTCTGGTGACATTATCACGTTAAAGTTACATCGCTTATTTCCCTAATATCGTGTATGTATAACAGAACACAGTTTGGGATGATGAATTTTTAAATTGTAAAATATCCATTAGGATTAATTATTTATATTTTGTCGTTCAGATGGTCTCGACACCGATCGGTCCGTCGCACGGCGCGCCGGCAGCACCGTACCGCCCTCTACCGCCGCCGGTCAGCATCGCGCCGCTAGTGGCGCCCCCTCTGGTGTCGAACTCGCCTTTACTGCCGCCAAACCAAACGACGCCGATCATTCAGCCGCAGCCGTCTTACATGTCTTCGTTCTACGCCGGCGCCGCCAACTCGACGTCGACGGCGGGTCACACTTTCCCGGTGCTGTGCGGCAACGCGCCGATGCTGCCGCCGGCGGCGGCCACCGAGGTGCAACCCGTCTCGCTGTTCACCGACTACGTCGTCAATCCGTACAACGCGGCATCGACGGACCTCAACGAAAACGCCGCCGCCCAAATCGGCGGCGGCGGCGGCGGCGTTTCGAACAACAACGGGTCGACGCAGAACATTTTCCAGTCGGCGAATTACTTTCAGAGCGGAGGTAATAATATTATACCGGTCGGGTCGGAAATACTGTACGGCATTGATGCCACCGCCCCCACTAAGAATACCAATAACATTCCAGTTGTTACAGCTACAGATAACAGGGACACCAGTAGAAGTACTGAAGTTTAGTTGGCAACACTGTTTAGGTGGTTTAAAGGTGAGTTCCACTGTTGAACATAAAAAGTAAGGGTAAAAAGTTCTCCCATTTCATTTTAACAATTTTTTAGTTTAATTTTGGATGGTTCATAATGTCGCGTTTTTTAAAATTATATCAAAGTAAATATTTTTGATAAAAAATATGTTTTAACGCAAAATTTGCGAGTTTTAAGTCTAGTTTTGAAGAGTATTTGCAACGTGACGGTTCACATCTGTATAATGTTATTTGTATGAAATTGTTTACCGCTCGTGGAATCATAGCAATTACTCCCGATGATGAAAGTTTCCGAGCGAGCCGATAGGCGCTAATTATAATTATTAATTAATTTTTAGAAAAATAAAAAAAGTAAAGTTTAATTAAAAACTGACGTTTACATTCCTAAAGTCGTTCCAATTAAGTTAGTACGCTTACCTAATTCAAGTTATTTAAGATAAACCACAATCCACACAACAAGGTCTGTTCGATCTCCTACTAAAAATACTAAAAATCACTGCAACACTGCACATCATTTAATGGCGGCCATTTTTGTTGTTTACAATTCTTGTGCTTTGGGTTTGTACAGATTAATAATCGTTTTAAACTTTGTGTTTCTTACAGAGAGACTTGCAAGCCTTAAAAAAGACCTCAAAGTGGTAAGAACAATCATTTTACTCCTCTTTTGTTAGAAATAAACCTTATTCTATCAGGGCTGTCAAATGTCAATTTTAAGGTTATTGAACAGACCTTGTTGTGTGGATTGTGGGTCAAACTATAAATGCTCACTTTCGTAAAAATACACAATTTGGATACCGTAAACACGGGTGGATTTAGCTCACTTTCAAACAAATTTAAAATTTTTGTGGTTTTAACAATTATAAACATTAAATATTGTATACCAAAATTTAAGTCTTGAGTTCTTCTTTCATAATAACTATGTTTTAATATTACAAAGGGCTGAGTTTTAAAAATAAAAATTAAAAACTGGGTGTGCGGGTAACTTTGTATCACAGTATATTTTCCGTATAAAATTAACTCAATATTTTATTTTTATTACACACATGTTAGCAGCGACATATAGCTATTGCAAGGGATTACCTGTTACAGTAGTTAACCAAGGATCATCATTCCAAAGGATTGCGCATAATATAGAAATTGTAACGCCTGTAAGAGTTTTGCACTTATGCAATATATACAATTTTAAAGTGTAATAAATCCCATTTATTTCATTAAAACACTGATTTTCCTTTAATATAAACTCAATAGAATCGCTCAATTGACAGGTTTAGACTAACAAATTATAAATGTTAATTTTATCGAGCGCGAAAAGATTTTTCATAAATAGGTTAGTCACCCGTGTTTACGGTACTCGCAAAAAAATTTAATTTATATCGGAAGTTTACATTCAAAGTCAATCACACTGTAGCGTCGTCATGGTAGCGGGAACTCGGCTTATCCATATTGGGTGTTTGAGCAAAACATTTATATACCTTGATTAAAAAGGTAGCGCTCCAATTTAAAATAATTTAAAATTACATACGTATATGCCGAGTTCTGCATGATATAATATAACCAATAAATAAGGCAAGTTTTGAAACGACAGTCAATTTATAAATGAATTTTAAATGGAATAAGTTGAGTTTTAGAATATTATGAACTATTCAGGGTATAGGGGGATACAGACACCATTTTTATTAAAAATTGGAAAAGCAGAGTTTTGGAATGGAAATCCTCATTTAATACCTAATTAGCGAAAGGGAATGAAAATGTATACAGGAGAAGGAATAAAATTGTTCACAGCAAGAGAAATGTATGTCCTTAATTATTAAAAATTGCACTCGACAAAAAAAGTCACATTTCGTATCGCGTCGTTGCTTAGAAATTCAATATTTTCATTTGCTAGCCAAAACTCGAATGAAAAGTATGGTATGTGTGAAAAGAAAGTCAGATTGGTAAAAAGTGTTTACTTTAATGTAGACAATTGTCATCCTTAAGGATGAGCACTTTTCAAAATGCTCATAAATGCTTATAATTGCTCAAAAAGCGTTATTGTATTGACATCGACAAAATTGTTGAAATATGTAAAATGTAATGGGGAAAAATTTAAATGTCCTTGTTTTTTATGATTAGCAGCAGAATGCCCTTAAGGGATGATAGAAATATATTTATTATGTTTTTTGTGATCTTCTAAAATTGCAGTTTTTATTCATAAATTACAAGTAGTTTTTTTAAACCCAAAAATCATAACTTAGAAGAAATATATTTTAGACTGGAATAGCCTCTTTATAAAACCTACATATATTTTTTTTAAGTTAAAATATCTATTTTCTCACAAGGTGTTCTACACATTTGTTTTAATATGCAAGTATTTTTGATTCAATAAAAATACACCAGGGGTATTCATGTATAAAAACAAAAACTAATTAATGTGTTTTATAATAAAAATAATTATATTGTAATACAACTATCTACCTTTTATTATGTGTTTAATTAAATTTCTATGTATCAATTTTATTTTATTGTATAATACTTTATATTTATTTTATGTTGAATTAATATTTTTTATTCATCTATTGTTGTTATTAAATAAAAAGTGTACATATTTAATACGTATATTTTTATATTTTCACATTTATTATTTTCGTCACCGTATCTACGGGGGTATGATTTGTAAAAACGTACGGCACTGTTTCCGGTTTCTTTCTAAAAATATGGAATATATTATTAATCTTTGGTTTTGTTTCCGCGGTTTTGTTCATAACTACAATGTTTTGTTTTCGCGTGTAAAACAGCCACCTTGCCAAAAAAGTATTGCGCAGTGCTTTTCTATAGTTTTCGTTGGTCCAACTGTAGATTATTGGATTCAAGGCGGCGTTGAGAAATATCAGGTACTTTGATGCGAACCATATACTGTGATATGTACCCTCGACCTAAAAATTCCATTTTTAATATCAGCGCTACAAATAATAGTTAATGGCATTTTTTATATCCTGTATATTGTGTTTTTGACATCACCTTATTATTATTATTATACCTACCTGGTTTTTGTAGTTGACTGGATTATTTTTTGATAATCCCTTTGCTTTTAAAAGCTCACGCCTGTATATGACAAAAGCCATAAAAGGTATATGACAAACGAAAAATGTCAAAGTTACAATGAACATCATTTTGGCCGCTTTTTTCTTATACCCGACTTGACGGTGGTCGAGTTTTCGCAAGCATTTCCTCTCGTATTTTTTTAACTAAAAAATTACAGTGTAATAATTGATTGCCATTTTTTAAATCATGTATTACTTTGATGAATATTGATGAGTAGCAGATGATCTGTATTGTCAGCGGTATACCTATTAATACAGTTATTATGACATACCAGTAGATATTTATTATAACTGTTTTTTCATTGCAAAATTTTTCCAGAAAGTTTAGCCATTGTCTCTCCTAAAAGAAAAACGTTTTTGAGCTAAATAAAATTAAGAAGATGTAGTTAAAGTACTCTGTAATTTCTATATGCCCCTAGTGGTATAGATATTAATATTCCAAAAATCCAGGTTAAAGCCATAGCAATTTTGGCTCCTTTTTTGTTTAGTCTGGTTTCTTTTGGCAGTAATATGGCTGTCAGTCTATCATAGGTTACTGCGGACATGCTGAATACACTAGCCAGTAGTATGGCACCTACAGGTAAATAATTTTTATACCTATACAGGATGTCCCTTCATGACATGCTAATATTTAAGGGTGTGATTCCACAAGACATTGCTCAATATTTTGCTACAGGGTTTTATCAAAAAATATATTTAATATTAAAAAATAACACTCTGAAATAATATCACGTCATTAAGGAATATTACAAAATATAACTTAATTAATTAATAATATTGTTATACATTCCAAGGCTCCCTCTCCATAGCACCCAATCAAACCTAGCTGATAATTCTGAAAAACGTCGTACGTTATAAACACCCATGGATGAAATAGCAGCGAAAGTAAATCAGCTACGGCCATGTTGGCTATCAGCAGGTTTGTGGGAGTTTGAAGGTGCACATTTTTAGTGATTATGTAGATCACTTGGGTATTTCCAGCAATCCCCAGCACTACCAACGGCAAAAATAGCGCCACTTTTTCTATAATGAAGTCTGGTTCCCGTACAAGCCATAAGGTGTTGATGAAGGTTATATTGGAGGTGTCAAGCTTAAAAAAATGTACAGTCTGTAAATTTAAATTTACTAAACTTTTCAAGAGTATGTAAGTAAACACTATAAAAGCACAACGGAACATTTAAGTAGAATACTACTTCCATACAAAAAAAACGTTGATCCGTTGCTGCGTGAAAGAGAAACAACAATACAGGGTGTTAAATTATAATTATTATATAATATATATACTCTGTATATAATAATTATAATATATTATATTATAATTATTATATACAGAGTGTACCATAAATAAAAGCTACACAGTAAAACTGCAGATTACTTGGGTCAAAATATTACGATATGACCAAATTTCGCTTAGTTTAAAAGTTGATAGTAACCAAGATACAGGGTATCCCAGTGAACATTTAATTTTCGATTTAAAAAATAATGGTTTGTTTGCACAGACCTACAGGTCTGTGTTTGTTTGTTATTTTTAAGGGATGTGCTTTTTATTAATATATTTATTAAAATTATTTTTTTTTAAATTACTAGTAGTTACAAAATCAAAAAAAAAATTCTGCCTACCATATCCCATTATAATTTTCCCATGTATTTTGACCCACTAAACACGAAAATCAAACAATTTTTTTTTTATGGACGCGTTTTTAAATATGAATTTTCAATTGTTTTTTTTTTCAGACGTGTTTTGACGTTTTTGAGTATATATACAAGCTATAGCTTGAAATCTAATTGATCGATTTGGTCGAACAAGCCCTTAAATTAAAGGTATTAACTTTCTTTTACAGACTTTTGCTATCGGATAAGTATTTTGACGCTAGCAATTTTAATAACTTAAAAATATCGTTTTATGGCAAAAATTGAGTTCGAAAATTTACATATCGTCCTGGGAAAGGTTTAAATCAACCAGATAACTCCAGTTTGAACTTTTTTTGTCAAGCTGACATTTTTACAAAAAAAAAACAAGCTAATTTTTATAAAAATACCTGGAAAAATGTATGAATTTTTAGTGGAACATCAAAATTCAGCTTTTTGATGATTTTTATTTTATTTTGTAATATGTTTATTCTTTAATGAAAACCTAATTAAAGTGCATGATTGAAATTTTTTGGGGTTTTTACGTACTTTTTTCACTGAAAACATTATTCAAAATTTAAATTTAATTGACTCCGCAAACGTGAATTTTTTTGTTCCTCGGGTTGGCACAGTGACATTTTACTGCTATTTTTTGATATTTCAACAAGGTATCGTGGTTTTATTTACTTATTTAAAAGAAGTGTACAAAGAGTAAAAGAAGTAGAGTTCCAGTCCGTAAATAACCCGGACAATCTGGGCGACGTAAGTGATGAGCACGGAGAACGTTTTCACCAGCAAATAAAGTCTATGGAGCGGCGGTTCATTTGGTCCCTCATACGAGAAACGGAAAGCAACCAAAAAACAAAGGAGCCAGATTTTTTTTTAAACCTATGCTTATTACAATTGTTAACAAAATAAAACTTTCTATATCTTCTATATCTTCAATATCTTCACTATTCAATTTATAATTTAATTTCAATATTTAATGTTTAAAATAAAAATCAATGTTCAAAATTAAATTTTATATAATTCAATAAAATGAAGAAAAAACGTAAAAATTCTCGAAAAACTGAATTTTGGTCTTCCACTGAAAAATTCATAACTTCGCCATTTTTCCATGGATTTTTATCAACAGCAGCTAATTTTTTTCCTTTAAGTAAAATCTATACGTAAAATAAATCACTATACCAGAGAAAGTTGTAGAGGACTCAATTACCTTTGATTTAAGTGCTTGTTTGGTCAAATCGATCAATTAGAACGCGAAGTATACTCAACGTCAAAATTATAAAAAAAAACAATTGAAAATTCATATCTCGAAAACGCTTCCATAAAATTTTTTTTTGCGTTTAATGAGCCAAACTACACAAGAAAATCATAGTGAGATATGGTGGGCATAATGGCTGCCAACTAGTGTTATTGCTTTCGGTCCTTCATATTTAGCGTATAGCAATTATTAATGAAACACTGTATATGAGGATTTGCTTACCTGGTAGTAATCATCATCATCCATAACTGATTGACTACTGTTTTGTTCAAAGTGAATTTGCCCTGCTTTTTATAAAACATATGGTGTGAATTTTATCAGGCTTGCAAACAAAAATCAATTAATATAGGTACTTAATAAATATTTATTCACTGTCTATATACATAATTAAAAACACACAATTTAACCATCCTGCTCGACTTCCACTTCCATTTCCGTCTGGATCGCTTGCGTGCTGACCGCCGTTTCGAGTTCGATGAACAAATCCTCGTTGTTTTCGGGCATGCCGAGGATTTCGCTGTTGGCCTCGTCGCCGCCATGTTGCGCTTTCATGTGGTCCCTCAAAGCGAACGACCTCGCGTACGATGCGCCGCACAAATAACAGTCGTACTTCAAGTTGTTCTCCCGTTTGTGCGTCTCCATGTGGGCCCTTACGGCGTACAGAGACGCGAACGGCCGGTTGCACTCCTTGCACGCGAACGGTTTGGTGTGGCTGTTTTTGTGCCCCGCCAGCTGCACGCTAGTTTTGAACGCCTTGGGGCAATACGGACAAGGGTACCCTCGGAAATCCGAGTGCGTCAGCAGGTGGTGGTTGTAGACGCTGTGCGACTTGAACCGCTTGTCGCAGTGCGCGCAGTGGTACGGCCGCTGGCCGGAGTGAGTGCGCATGTGCAGCGTCAGGCAGTACGACACCCTGAAGCATTTGCCGCACAGCTGGCACACGTGCGGTTTTTCCCCCGTGTGGATGCGCTCGTGCTTGACCTTCTCGTGCGGCCTCGCGAACCTTCGGCCGCAATACTGGCACTCGTAGCGACGTTTTTGGCACTGATTTTTCACGTGTTCCTGGAGGGAGTCGAAGGAGATGAAGCCCTTCTTGCAGTACGAGCAGGCGAATTTTTTTCCGTTGCTGTGCGCCTTCATGTGCATGTCCAGGTTTTCTTGCGTGTAGAATTTGCGGTTGCACACGTCGCAGTCGTAGTTGTTGTCGTTTGTGTGCGACTTCATGTGGATCTCCTCGTACTCTTTGTCGTAGGTGTTGTTGCAAACGTTGCACACGAACATGCTACGGATGTTTTCTTCTCTGTTGACGTCGATTGTCTCACCGGAAATCGTGTAATTCACCGGCGCCTCGGGTTCTTTGGTTTTTATGGGATCATGCATACGCTTGTGCAACCTTAACGACTTGAAACTGGGGAACATCGTGTTGCAAACTTCGCATAAGAACGGTCCCAGCGTGACTGTTTTACGCACTTCCCCGCTAGGGTCTCTATTAACGTGATATTTCATGTGATTATGCAACGACTTATAATTAGTGAATATAGCCTTACAGTGCGTGCACTTAAACTTCGTGTTCGACCACGAACATTTATGTTTGTAATAATTTTCAGTACTGGGAAACTGCAACGAGCATAGATCGCATTTAAAAACAGTCACAACTTTTTCCTTGCCCTCCATTTCGATTGCTTCGACCTCTTCCTCTGTTAAGACTTGTATTTTTCCATTATTTATAATGTATTTTTGCGATGTTGGTGGTTGCAATTCAACCGCGTTATCCTCCACTTCCCAGAATTTATCGATTTTCACCACCTTTCTCGTGTATAATCTTCCCTCTTTGTCCATGCATTGTGCTTCATCCAATACCATCTTATTTTTGTTGGGTTGCTGGGTGTTTTCTTCTTCTTCATCTTCTTCTTGGTCTTCAGCATCTTGTTGCATTTCGTACGTTGCCAGTTCATTTTTAAGATCGTCATTTTCTTCCACTGCTTCAGTTTCCTATGAAAAAAAATATTGTTTATTAATTTAAACTGTTTTATACAAAAGAAATGGTTTTGTTTTTTTATTTGAAAGTCTTTTGTTATTCATTTTTTTTTTTCAAGCAAAAGCGTATCTTTTTTAATACAGGGTGTACCAATAAGCGTTTCTCAAATTAATTCAAGAAAAGTAAAAAACATTTCAAATCCAAAAATCGTTATTCCGGAAATTTTGACCTGTAAACATACATTTTCATTCAATTTCTTCTTTACTTTATTTTGAGTTACCATCACTATCTTTTGATTTTATAATAGCCGCCATAACGTATGTAGTTTGAAACCATCTAAAATTCCAATATGGCGGCCATAGGAAAAGCAAAAAATATGGTGGTAACTCAAAATTTAGTAAGCGAAAAATATCATATTTTCAAATTATTTGAAACCGCCTATTTTTCCAATTTTTAAATGCCATTTTAATAGACTTGTAATTACTCAACTTCTCTAATAGATAATAGATAAGCATACATAGAAGGATACTTGGTGCACCCTGTATAAAAATAAATTGGCAAAAAACTTTATTTTACAAATTTGGATTAGAGATAAAATAATGATTACATTACATTAGAAGTTTCTGGGGAATAAAAAAAGACATTGATTTAAAATTTCAAAAGCGTTTATAATCCGTTTAAGTTTATTTTTATAAAATTATTGAAAAAAAAAGCCACAATTTTTTTCCTTAAAATTTGACAAATGCGCTGTGAAATTTTTGTAACCTTTAAACTTTGTTTAGAAGATTCCATGTTAATTATTTAACATTTTTTTACAAATAACATAATGGACCACGAATGTGATACACCCTGATGTAAATGTTAAATTTTCTATTTTAATAAAAAAAAATTAAAACAAGATTTCCTTGAAACACATCTTGCATGCAAACGTATTTGAATCATTCAAATTGAATGCACTAAATTTGTTCAAGGCAGTGTCCCTATTTACTCACAAAGTTTGTCACCATTGTACAATTGTCAATAACCGGCTAACGCCTAACGTCAAATCAACCAAAGTGCAGAACAAGCACTGTTTGCTTCATATACAATAGTCGACATCTGTTAATGATAGCAAATGTGAATGATAGAATCAACTAATTGTGTCATGTCAATATTTGGTTATAGGCTTTTACTATTGTTTCAATTAAATTGTATGATACTTTTTTAAAATTTTTTGATTATTATATAATTCTGGATAACTAAAAAAATGGGGAAGATGTTTTTCAAAAGCAGTAGAAGGGAAAAGTGTTTCAAAAAACGCTAGATCTATCGCTGAAACGGGAGACCTGGCAACACTGAGTCAACTGCGCACGGTTGTCCACATTCTATGATACAATTTTGATAGTTATATTAGTGCTATTTCGCAATATAACATTCTCACGTATTTATACGTATTTACAAATGTTTACCTATGTTATTGCATTCAGTTGATGGTAGTACTTTGGAAAAGCAGTCTTGGTGTCTTTTGTTTACAATTTAACAGATTTGTGTTTTAAAGCTAATTCTTCATATCAAAATATCACATTAATTAAATTTAGTAAAAGAAATAATAAAAATTATAAATGGTATAAAACCTGTAATTCTTGAATTTTTTTAATAAAATTTGAAATTTGTCGATAAACTTCAGTGAATTAAATATTGCACCACTTTAATTTGAATGATCTTAATTTGGAGGGGCAGGAGGCTGGGGGTTGCACTTAAAAACTAACTTTTTTTCGCAAACTTTAATTTAAATTCTGCTTGCGCAGAACTTGTCTATATAATGTCATTATAAACTCATATAAATTTGATGTGGGTCTCATGTCTAATAACTGAGATATGGGTCACCCATAATGGGTGTGCCCAAAATCCACCAGCCGCCACTGGGCCTGAGCATATAAAAAAAGTTCATATGCACTCATATTGCCAGAAATTATATTCAACTTACCAATACTACTTCTTCTCCCTCATGATAATTCTGTAAATGTTCTTCAATATTATTAAAATTCATATCGCACATTTGGCAATTATAAAGAGTTTCTTCTGGGTTATCTTCACTTTCATCCACATTCTCACTATTTGACATTAAAGCTTGCGCTAGAATACTTTGGTTTACACTGTTTGACCCCTCTTCAATATGCAACTGAATATTTTCAATTGTCTCTTCTACTTCATGATTTTCTTCAGTTCTATCTTGTGCCTCAAATGCATCATTTGTTACCTCCTCATTTTCTATTTTTATAACTATGGGGGTCTCAGGCTCGTCCTTGCATTCTCTGCCTACATGCTCTGCTAATTCTATAAGACTTTCAAACCTGCTATTGCAAGCAGGGCACAACAAATTGTCCACAATACTCAGTATATGGTACTTTAGTGCGGAATGCGACGAGAATTTCTCGTTGCAACAAAAAGGGCAGCTCAACAACGTCATCCTTGTATTTAATTAATAGAATTAAAGTCCACAATATTTTCAAATTTGCAAACGTTGCTACATTCTTCTTGTACCGGACAAAATAAATAACTTCATAGCATTGCACCAAACACTCCCGAGAAGTTAGATAAAATGGCGCATTTTGACAACCAGTGAAGCAAGAATTTTTCGTTGAAAATTAGTTTATTAAAACAATATTTATTAATTATTATTAATGAATACAATATATAACATGTTTTTGATTCCTTATATAAAAATTTGCTTATTTTTAACAAGAAATAAGAACAAAAATAGTTGCGCCATCTTTGAAGCAATAGCCTAAGTTTAAGTAAAATCAGAAATAAAGTAAATAACAAACTATAAATAAAGTTTTAGTGCGAGGAATCGTGCTTAAAGACCGCCTGAGCTTTTATAATCTGTGGACTGAGCTAAAACCACAGACCTACCTTGTTTGTAGGTCTGTGGCTAAAACTATTAATAAACTTTAATTAACTTAACTTAAGAAACCTACATCTGTTAAGTTGTCTGTTTACATTAACGCAAAGAACGTAATATAAAAGCACGCGCAATGTATACATCGATGTAGAATTGGTTGCCTATCTATGTAAAAAAGTGAAACAAGATATCGTTTTACTGGGCATGTGATTGGTTCCACAGATTATAAAGGTTCACGTAAGAAACGTATTCCCGTAAGTTGAGCCGGACCCAACTTTTGAATACGTTAACTTACGTGTGATAAGTTTTCTACGAATATAAGGGTATCATTTTTTTGCATTGGCCAATTTTTTATAATTTAATAAATAATATATTTATACATGGGGCTTTGTATCATTGATACGGCTGATACCGAGGTAGCTACGCAGCGTAGCCTACGCCCCTGATTATAGGGTTAAAGTCTAAGTTTTAATTTTTTGAAGTTTCTTTGATCATAATAAAATATTCATAATTTACTTGATTTAAAAAAAAAATCAAATTTTTCATATACATACCAGAAACTCTAAAATTACTTTGGCGAATTTTTTTTTGTTTCAAATTATTTGAACAGTGACTGGAATAAAAAATGGATTATAATACCAAAAACCCCATTTATAAAAATAAAATAAAACGGTTGTTTTTAATTTTTATTTATATTTTGGTGATGAAAATATGTTCAGCACCTAATTTGATCATATTATGAGTTCCGCCACATTGTTTTTATTTTTTAGGCATTGCATTTTTAAATACTGAAATTAAAAATTATTTAATAATTTATTAAGTCAGATCAAAAAACGCCAACGGACTTTTCGTCTTCTTTTTGGCTCTACCATATGTCCTAGAAATATTTTACCCTTTTTTTAAACAACCTGTATTCATAAAACATAGCTGTTATTGTATGAAGCGCTTCAATTTTTTTTATCGTTAACTAAAACTACTAAAATAATGCTATATACATATTTATTCTAGATTGTTAACATTAACTTTAAGCTTAATAATAAATAAAAAACAACAAATAAAAAAATATATGTATATGATCAATAATAAATACTTAACAATTGCTATAAAAACCGTTAATATCCAACATATCCAACAGCTGTAGAAGATGGGGCTGATATCCACATTTGCCTACTTTTTTGCACACTTTTAAGAAGTAACGAATAAATTCTTCAAAGTTGTTGAAAATGCTTTCCAATTTATCGAAATTTGGGTGCACGTAGGTACCATCAACGCATTTCCAACTTCTCGATCTCAAATAATCATAGAATTTCAATATAACAACAAATATTTTGTGTACAACAGTTTTTAAAACCAACATTTTCTGGTTCAAAAAACACATAGATAGAATATTTTTTATGTATGCCGTGTGTAGGTTATAAAGATCGTCGAGATTTTTCGCTTCAAGTAGGCGTTTTTCAAAAATCGCCCAGTTTGATTGAAGAACTTCGCCGACTATGTAATTTTGAAAGGTTTGTACAAAATGAGTCATGATATGTCTGCTTTGGTGCAGTTTTCTGTACTGCGGAGATGCCATTAGGTATATTTCTTTGTTTCCAGTCTCTTTTGCTAACACTTTGAGCTCCTATAAGAGAATTTTTAAATGTAAGTGTTAATTGAACTGGCAATTATTTTTGTACAGCTTCTGATGATGTTGGGGTCTATAAACTCAGTTAAACCTAATGACTTAATATAAAATTAACCACTCATCCTGATAAAATGTGGAAAAAGTCTGAAACCGTTATTTATAGTTTTCTAGGGTCTCTAATCTAAAGGTATATTTAAAATTCCACAAAAATATAAATTGGTCATCCCAGAAAACATGGAACTGCTTTGCATTAAAATTCCTGTATATATTTTTAAATAAACATTGCTATTTTGAGGATGTTTGGGTCTATAGGCTAAAGAAGTATCGTTTTCGCAACGCGCGCGCCATCTGATGGACAAAAGCATTGCGTGAATTGTCAAGAATTGAAAACAATACATTTAAAGCATACGAACTATACATCATTCTTAAATAAGTAGGTAGTTTTTTCACAAAAGAGAGGAAGGCAGAAGTCTTACTCGACAAATTTTGTTCAATTACACCCTTGTGGAAATTTTTTCTCTGAGAAAGTCTTACTTTCTCTGAAAAAGTCTGAATAATACTTATTAAGTCGGAAAAAGTCAGAATAAGACTTATTAAGTCGGAAAAAGTCTGAATAAGTCTTATTAAGTCAGACTAATAGCAAGATTTGGGAGTCTTCTGGAAGAGTTAATAAGACTTTTTAAGACTTAATAAGACTTTTAGTAGAGAAATGGTAGGTTCCTATGGCGATAAAAATAAATATCCGAAATAATTCATAGAGATTGTAAGTATTTGGTTATCGTAAAATAAAACACATAGACAAGTATTTATTAACATTTTTGCTGTTGTTATAAGCCAAGTTTATTGCATAATTACCTATATACTAACATAGGTAAGAATCTTACCGTAAGATGTAATAATTTTAACAATTATAATTTTATACATACGATGCGCTTAACATGCTTTCATTGTTTCCAACATAGAAAAAGGAGTTAATATCAAGTCTATAGACATGATATTTTCGATAGACTCATAAGACAAATATGGTTGATCTTCGTGTTTCATTCATCTTTGTATCATGGTTGATCTTCGTGTTTACGTACAGTGTTGCCATAAAAGTTCCTGACCATAAATTACAAAATACTAAAATAATAATAAAAATGTAACAAGATAGAATAAAATAATTGTGCATATTTAGTAAATATACAATATTATTTACTGAAAATTTCTTTTGTTATTATTTTGATAGAAATTTGCAAATCACCCGCAAATATTATGAAAATACCCGATTTTCGAGTAAAATACTTGCAAACGGCAACACTGTGTCCCACTGACAGGTCAGCTGTGCTCTAATTGGTCAGCTAGCTAAGCTGGTCTCTCGATATTACGTCTTACGTCTATTGTTTGTGACAATGTTTAGATAGGTAAATATTTGCGTGTATCAAAAGAAACTATTAAAATAAAACGTACAGTGTCAAACCCTTTTTCTATTGTGGAAGCATGCATGTCAAGCGCATCGTATGTATAAAATTATAATTGTTATACCTAATTATTACATCACAGCAAACGGAAAATTATAGAGGTGTATAGGATGACGCCACGTTTGAATATCGTTTTCTAAATCTCCCTACGGTATAGAGTTGTATTCGTCAGTCGAGCGTTTCAATACTCTCCACAGTATAGAGGTCGTAATTTCACTTTTGAACTAGTATTAATATAAAAATTATTTTATGCTTAAAAAAAACTATATACGACATGATTGTGATTTTTTTCATTTTATTAATTAATTAAGCTGTGTTGAATATTTTTCCTAAAGGAATAATTGCCAATGGGCCATTAATTCATTTGTTCGTAGATGCTACAATAACCTGCACTGGTGTGTACTTTTTCATCAACCAGATTTAAATATTACAAAACTAACATACCAGTGGAGATAGTGCAGGGTCTACCAACAGACCTAATTACTAAATTATTAAAGTTTAATAGCATATCGATCATTTTTTTAACATAACCTCTGAAATTTTTAATACAAATATAGGTACTTTATATAATACATAAATATACTTAACATCATATCATCTGTGCTTTACATACCTGAGTTGTTACGGTAACTAAAAATCAGACAAAGGAACCAAAGAAAGGAACTATTTTCAACAAAATCATATGCAGAAAGGAGAAAATTCAAACTACTTGCATCCATCAAAAGATCAAAACTTCTTGCAATATTACACCCTCTTTTTATACTCTCAGAAATATTGACTAGAACAGTATTAGAGAGACTCCAGTTTCTATAACTTGGTAGAGTAAAGAGAAGTCGAAACCGTTGCGATATTGCATTGCGCTGTTTTTGTATAATTCTCGGGGACATTAACGAAAATCATTGCCAGTAAAATTCGAAAAGCTTGAGTTTCTATGTCTCTGAGGAGAATAGGAATCCGAAGTTGCTGCACCATTGGACTGAACCCTTTTTTAATAATTTCTAGAGACATAAATGACTGCACCATTCGACAGGGTCGAGTTTCTACTCCTCTGTTGAATATAGAAAATCAAAATAATGTATCTTGTAAGACACCATTGAGTTTGACTTTAAATATAGTCGTGCATAGGTATAGAGCCGAAAAATATAAAAACAAAGCACGATTCAATACAGTCATGATAAAACTTTAAGATTTGATATTCAAACGCGGAGTCATCCTATACACTTCTATAATTTTCCGTTTGCTGTGATCTTACCTATGTTATTATATAGGTAATTATGCAATAAACTTGGCTTATAACAACAGCAAAAATGTTAATAAATACTTTTCTATGTGTTTTATTTTACGATAACCAAATACAACCTCTATGAATTATTTCGGATATTTATTTTTATCTCCGTAGGTACCTACCATTTCTCTACTAAAAGTCTTATTAAGTCTTAAAAAGTCTTATTAACTCTTCCAGAAGACTCCCAAATCTTGCTATTAGTCTGACTTAATAAGACTTATTCAGACTTTTTCCGACTTAATAAGTCTTATTCTGACTTTTTCCGACTTAATAAGTATTATTCAGACTTTTTCAGAGAAAGTAAGACTTTCTCAGAGAAAAAATTTCCACAAGGGCACAGCTATATCGCGCACGTTATTTGTGTTTTACGTTGCAAGGAAAAAACTAATTATTCTTTATATCATTGATTGAGAAACTCAACGCTTAAATGCTTATATAGTTACGTTACTGTGTGTATTTTATCTAAGGGATGATGGTGAATTATTGTGTTTTTAATTGCAAATAAAATTCAAGAACTAAATCGTTGCATTTTCGTGTTTTGCCAAAGGATCCAATTCGGTAAGTACATTTGTTGGTGCAGAATTAACTAATTTGTTGAGTGAAGAGTTATTAATCAACGCTTTTAATAATGCTAAATGCTGTTTGAATTTATTTCTTCATTCGGATTAACACTGTTTATTGGAAAACCGATAAAAATTCAACCCAGGATTTCCTCTCGAAATACACCCAAAAGCAAAACAAATCGTGCCACGGTTTTTCTTTTCGATATTTTTTAACATTTTCGGGCTTTATTCTCAAATACACTAGTTTGCAAGACACGCGTTTGACAGCTGCATGATTATCAAAAGTTGTACTTTTGATAGGATGATAACAGCCGAGTGGTGGCGCTACTAGCGATACTTCTTTAGCGTATACCTACGTCTAGATTATTTCTCGAATTAAAGGAAAGTATTTGACAATTAATAAAATCTGACGTATAGGTCAAATCTTATGAACAATTTTTTAAACAAAATTCCATTAATTTAAAGGTATGTAATAATTAATAATTGATATTTCGTTAAATAGATAACTTATTTTTTATTGTTAAAAAAAAAATATGTTAAAACTTGTAAATAAAAAAATAAAAAATTTAATCGCTCATCTAAACAAAATTTATTCGAAAATTCAAGACTTTTGATTGATTCATTTTATAATGAGGGAAATAGTCATTAATAAAGTATACTCACCAAAAATATTTTCTTAAGAACCCAATGAATCCTGTTCAACTTCACCAAGAACCTAAAAACTTCGTCGTACTTTCCGATGGTATCGACGGGCAGCAAAATGTTCATGGGCCACGCAACAGTATAAGTCAGCGATAAACAATCCAAAACGTCAGGATCTCCCAGATCGAAGCATTTCGGCAAACAATTGATCTTGAAGGACAACTTTCCGGCGTTCTCCTGCGACTTGCAGGAATTGTCCAGCGCTCCGAACATGAGGTAGTGCAGAGTTCTGCCGTTGATCAGCTGGATCGGCACGGTCGCGTCGTAGAGCTTCTCGAATAGGTTTTCCGTTATGTTTCGACCGAATTCGCCGTCTTGCAGAAAGAAATAGTTGCGCAGGTTGTTCAGGTGGTCCATGTAGTTCAGGGTCTCGACGAAGAAACGTAGGAGCTCGTTGTTGACGAGTTTAGTTTGGGTGATTAGTGGAACCATTATGCTCTCATTTAGGAATAGTTTTAGGCAATTTGTGGAAATTCCTAAAAACAAATATATGTATGTATGTATTCATGCTTCATGCTATAAACTATCTACAATTTCCTGTAACAGCTAATACTGAAACCGTTATTCATAGTATTTTGGGTTCCATTATATAAAGGTACATTTAAGGTTTCATCTCAAAGCTATTTTTGCCATCCCTTTAAAACATGGTCTAAATTAAAGTTCCATTTTATTTATTAACTGTTAATATTTTTATTTAAAGGAGATAATCTCAGAGTGGGTTAAAAGTGATGTATTAATACTAAATTACAAACTCCTCATACTAACTATCTATAATTTCGTGTTTGGTGTTCAAAGTTGGAAAAAGCTAATACTTAGGTACTGCAATCGTTATTCATAATAATCTTTAATCTAAATGTATATTTAACGTTCCATTTTAAAGCTAAATTTGTCATCCTTTCAAAAACAGTTTTTTTTAAACTTGAATACAGACGAAACTATACAAAAAAACTGACACTTTGGGGATAAGTTGGAGGCAGATGGGTTGAATTAAAAATTTAAGAAAAAAACTTTAATAATAGCGTATTTTAAAATGTAGAGCTTATGAATTTCATTTTTTTTCCACCACCCTATGTTGGGGTCTATAACCTCAGAGTGGGTTAAATGTGATGTATTAATAGTATATTAAAGAACTAATGTCATAAGACGTCATTTTGTCGCACGCGGACAATTTATAAAACGAGGGACAAAGATGTGAAAAAAACATGAAAAAAACCTAGAAAAAGCGGTTTTTTTTGTTTTTTTCAAATCCGCTACAATAAAGCATATTCTGTTAATAAATAACATCAATCTTAAAAAATGGAGTAATTTTTCAAAATGAAATTTTGAGTAAAATGTATATTAATAATAAAGTGAAATGTAGATTAATAATAAAGTGAAATGTAGATCAATCAATCAATCCTAACGAATACTAACGAATAGTAATAAAAGAAATCAATTTTTTTTTGCTTTCTTTTTTGGTCCACGGAATGTTCTGACCACCAATGAATAAATGTTCTACAGGAATTTGCTATTGTTTTTTTATTATAGGTAGTAAATTTTTTTGGGACCAAATTAAAACAAGCGCGGCCCTTATTTGTCAATTCGGTGGTGGTGGCGAGTGCATAGCGCGAGACTGTATTTACATTTACTAAATGTCATTTAGGGGCTAATTTTAGTCCATAAACTGGACTGGAAAATAAAATAAATAATTAGGCAAATGGGACTAATGAAAAAAAACGTAAAATATGAAAAAAACATTTGAAAAAAAAAAACAATGAAAAAAAACCTAACAAAAAAAGACGAACCGTTTTTTTCAAGTCGCATCTGTAGACATGAGTTCTTTATGCTATTTTATCTATTTTGCAAAAATTCTATAAAAAAAAATTAATTTTATACCTTAAATTTAATTTGGTCGAATTTTACTTTAGATAGTTGGTTTGACAGTTAATGTCAAAATCGATTCGCCATGCCGTCCTTAATTTACTTATTTACAATAATGTTAAAGAAGAAACAAAGGATTTTCTTTGGTGTTAAACAAAATTTATTGCCAGAAAAGTTTCGTAAGTACTAGAAAATCATAAAAATATTATAACCAATACGCAAAATATTATAGCCAACCTATAAAATCTAAATTTTGGGTGGGATAAAGTATCTCATTACAGCACCGAAAGCGGTGTTATAATGAAGTCATTATGAACGCAAAATAGATAAAACTAAATTAACCACTCCTCCTACTAAACTATCTATAATTTCCTGTTTGGTGATCAAATTTGGAAAAAGCTCATACTGAAATAGTTATTCATTATATCTTAGGGTCTAAATTAAAATGTATATTTAACGTTCCATTTTAAAGCTGAATTTGTCATCCCTCCAAAAACAGTTTTTTTAAACTTGAACCCAGACAAAATTTTATAAAAAAACTGAAAATTTAAGAAAAAAACGTTAATTAGCAAGCCTGTTGGCGTATTTTAAAATGCAGAGCTTTTAAATCTTAATTTATTTTTATTTTTCCCCACCCTATTGTAAATTTTATATAATAAAGATTGTTATTTAGAAGATGTTGGGATCCATAATCTCAGAGTGAGTTAAATGTTAAATTGATGAAATCAATATTCATAATATCTTGGAATCTATAATCTAAATGTATATTCAACGTTCCATCTAAAAGCTAAATTTGTTATCCCTCCAAAAACAGGGTGTTCATAATCTTGAATCCAAAAGTTGGGATAAGTTGGAGGTAGAGGGGGTTGAATAAAAAATGTAAAAAAAAGAATTGGCGTATTTTAAAATCGAGTGTTTAACTTTTCCATTTTTCGACCACCCTTTTGTATATTTCATAAAATAAACATTGTTATTTGGAAGATGTTGGGGTCCATAATCTCAGAGTGGGTTAAATGTGATTTATTAGCTTTGTCAGCTTTGGTGTATTTTAAAATGTTGACCTTTTGAATTTCAAAACATTTAGTTTTTTAGACCACCCTATTGGATTTCATAAAAAAAAAAACGTTATTTTGGAGGTTGGGGTCTATAATCTCAGAGTGGCTTAAATCTGATGGATTAATAACAAATTAACCACTCATTCTACTAAACTACACTGCGCGTCAAAATTAACGCATAGCAAGTAAAAAAAATCCAACTTTTAAACGCCTTTACCAATCTTTATAAAATTTTGGATAAAAATATTTTAACTATCTCAGTTTACGTGTTCAATGGTTTTTCGAGAAATTATCCTTAAAGTCCTTTTATTTAATAATAAAAAACGGTCGAAAAAAACTAAATCTCTAAAAGGTATTTTTCGAACGTTTTTTTATTATTAAATAAAAGGGCTTTAAAAATATTTTCTCGAAAAACCCTCGAACACGTAAAATTAGATATATTTTGAAGTATTTTTATACAAAATTTCATAAAGATTGGTAAAGGCGTTTTTTTTTACTTATTATGCGTAAATTTTGACGCGCAGTGTATGTATAATTTCGTGTTTGGTGATCAAAATTCGAAAAAGCTAACACTAAAATCGTTATTTATAGTATTTTTGGGTCTAAATCTATTATATTAAACATTTCATCTAAAAGCTACATTTGTCATCCATCTGAAAACAAAACCGGTCTAAATTGGAATGTTTTTGGAAATAAATATTGTGATTTAGAGGATAACTATCTATAATTGCGTGTGACATGATGAAATGTAGAAAAAGCATTATTAATAGTGTCTTGGTAACATTCACTAACCTTTTGCTTCTTGTGGTGTAACCCTCTTGGAAAAATTCTTGGTGGGCAGCAAAGACATTGTAGAATTCCTGACATGAATTCTTTTACCAGTAAAATCGAATCCTGCATCGGTCATATGCGTATCTGCTGTAGTGGGTAAACTGCCGATAAAAGTACTAGTTGGAGTGGTAACACCGCTCAGGGGAAAATCGCTTTGAGGTGTTGAGTCAACCGACATGGGTGTGGGTTTTTCTGGGGTGTCGGATTTCTGGCGGTTTAGTTCGAGTATGAGGGATTTAGATTTTTTTATTGTTGCGGTGTTCGAATTTAGGTTTCTGTTGATGAAATTGTCGTTGTCGTTTTGATACATTAATCCGTAAAAGTTGGGCCCTGTGGACATCATCTTATTTCTGTTTATTTGCAGGCTTGTCAGGGATGTTTTGGTTTTTGATATGTTATCCAATGGGGATGATTCTTCTATGGTGACATTGTTCATCATCTTGTTCCTATTTATTTGGAGATTGGTTAAAGTGGGGCTGGGTTTTTCTATCTCCTTTATGGGTGTACTATTCATATTTTTATTCCGGTTGATTTGCAAACTTGTTAAAGTTGGTTTGGGCCCCTCAATTACATCGAAAAACGGTTTTTCTTCTATTCCCGTATTGTGCATCATTTTATCTCTATTAATTTGTACTGGCGTAGAAGTTTTTGTATTAACATCATCAGTGCTGACCTGTATACCAAACTCTGAGTTCAAAACCTTCATTTTATTTCTTTGGAACTCAGTCAGATTTTGGCAGGGCATAACCGGTTTTTTAATTTGCATTGTGTCGACAATTTCGATACCCATTTCCTGCGACATAACTTTCTGTTTTATTTTTCGAGCCGTTTCGAAGTTGATAATGGCTTGGCGGGTGTTTTCATCGTATTTCGTTTTGTCCGTTTGGATCGACATATCCACGTTTCCGTTTTGTACGCTATGTATAACTTGTATATCTTTGTTGGCGTTTAGAAGATCCAAATCGTTTTCCTTGTTAGTTTCTTCATCCTTGTTGATGTCTTCAGTTTTTTCCTTTTTATCGTCCACCGAGTAATAGGTAGAGTCCGAACTTCCGGATTTCAAGGAGATGTTCGATACGAAATTGTCGACTTTAATATCGTCTTCACTAACGCAAGAATGAACTTCTGTTAAATTATTATTACTGTGTGCGTTGTTCATATTTTTGATTGCCACTAGGTTTTTCTCGATTTTGTTTTTGCGTTCGTCAGATTGGGCGCAAAGTTCCGAATAGTACGCAATAAGTTTACCCCTAAAAATTGACATTAATAAAGAGATTATCTCTCCTATCGAATTACTTACGCTTCTTGCTCAACAAGCTCCTGTCTCATAGCTTCAAGAGCAAAATTTTCTTGCGAAACTTTTATTTCCCTTTCGATCTCCGCAGCCATTCTAATTTGTTTCAATTCAACAGCTGAATCGTACTGTTCTTTAAGCATTAATAGTTCTTCATTACGTTTCTCCTTGTACTCTTGTACAGCCTTTTTTCTTTCCACTAAAATAATAATTATTATTATTATAAAGGTGTTTTTTAGTGATTTTACTAACTTACACTCAATTCTTTGAAGTGTTATGCTCCGTTTTTTGGAAATTAAATTAAAAAGTACCGGATCTAATTCTTTGTTTTTCAGCAAAAATTCACTGATGTCGAATTTTAAACCTACTTCTGAACACACTTCTAAATAATAGTTTGTAGTACTTTGTTTCAATTCAGACAATTGTTCAGCAGTTAAACAACATGATACTATAGGTGGTTTTTTACCCATTAAGTACAAACATAATTTACACTAAAAATAGTTACCTTTTATAATATTCCTTTATTTTCAATGGTCATGGTTATAATAGTACCAATGTTAATAATAAAGGGTGAAATTACATTAAAATGTCATTTTATACCTACTAAAAATAACCACGTATTTTTTACAATATTTACCTCTGGAACACATAATTTAAGCAGATTCATAACTTTCCCACAACATAAAATGTCGTTTTTTAAATCCATCAAAAATTCCGGAACAATATCTTCCCTCACAAAATAACTTCTAGTCCAGTAGATTCTCCCTCTCATAGAAATATATTTGTAGTTTGGTTTTATGAAAAATTCACCATATGGGTCATTAATTACACCTTCTAATATCCATTGCTTTAAAAAACGACTGCAAAAAATATTTAGAATAAAAATTAATCAATATTAAGCATTAGGGACATATATGAAATAGCACTCCAACTTACCTAAAATACACTTGGCAACATGGATAAAGTATGGAATACAAAACCATAAGAACATTTTTGTCAGTTAAAGTGGATACTTTTTGGTATAAATAACTCAAAAGTGCAACACCATGTGGGATGTGTTCAGCTCTAGTGTAAGGCCCAATTTGACAAATAGAAGTCAAAGTAAGAATTTGTAATCTAAGGGGATATGTTTTTCCGTGTAGACTGAGGCAAGGGGTCGAATCAGGTATGCTTAAAGTTGCGGTGCGGTAAAATTGCAAATATCTGCTTATACTTTTGCATAATTCCTAAAAAAATATTTCAATTTTTTTTTTAACAGAATTCGACAGACATTCTGAAATCCTATACTTACAGAAAATATGTAACCTTGGTATTCATAGTTCCCAGTTTGTGCATTGGGTGTGCTTAATTTTTCCAAAGCTTTAAAGCAGGTCCCGCAAAATAATAAATCAGTGCAGTACTGTTTCAAAGATGCAGGTGTTATACCGTCTATGGTTATTGAAGGAGTAAGGTAAAACTCTCCATTATTATTGTATCCAAAAGAATCAGACACCATACCAACTAAAAAAACATTTCTAGTATAGAACCAAGTCATTTTGCAAAAAACACAAAATTATATAAACGGTGATAATAACGGTAATTTTAAAACATTGATAAAAAATAGCAACAATGCGGCTACATTTTGCATGAAATTTCAATTTTCCACAATATACATTGGACTGGGCCAAAAAAATCGACTATTTTTTTTTTAAAGTATATTGAAAATATTTTTTGAGGTGACAACAAAAATTATGGTATTAAGTTTGAGTCTATAATATTAATATTAAGAGGTCTATCATCGCAATTTTTTTTTCACGAACTAGATTTTGCCTCAGAACTCCCAAACCATTGAGTTTAACAAAATTTGAAGAAAATTGAATGTTCTAAAAAAAGGTTTAATTGGAATTTTCCGTCAGATGAACCGTTTTCTTACAATCATGCCTTAAAAATTGGTATAGTTTTACAATTTGATCTTTTAAGTTTTGAATTTTGTAATTCATGTAAAAATCAGTAACCGGAAAAAAACCGATAGATATTCTTATGGAAAATCAAATGCTCTACAAAAAAAGTCTTCTAACATTTTTGGCTAAATTCACTCCATCAAAAGTTATTCAAGGTTAAATTTGAAGTCAAAACGAAATTCTTGTTTTTTTCGCTCTAGATTTTTTTTGGGTCATTTAAAATCTTGGATTCTTTTATCGATGATAATCTTTATGTTATTGATAAAATTACTGAAAATTAAATTGAAGCTATTTTCTTTAGAAAATATTATTTTCACTGTTACCTATTTAGTTGTTTAAATAATAACAATCATGTTGTTTTTTATAGGAAATTGTTAATTATCAAATTATCATCCATAAAAAAATAAAACTACAGAGGAAAAAACAAGAATTTCGTTTTGACTTCAACTTTAACCTTGAATAACTTTTGATTGAGTAAATTTAGCCAAAAAATGTTAAGAGGCTTTTTTTGTAAAGCATTTGATTTCCCATAAGAATATTTATCGGATATTTTATGGGTACTGATTTTTACATGAATTACAAAATTCCAAAGTTAAAAGATCAAAATGTAAAACTATACCAATTTTTAAGGCATGATTTTAAGGAAACGGTTGATCTGACGGAAAATTTTATTTTAACCTTTTTTGTAGAGCATTTAATCTTCTTAAAAAAATATTACTAATTTAATTTTGTTAAACTTAATTGTTTGGGAGTTCTGAGACAAAAACTTGCCGAGGAAAAAAAATTTAAAATTGCGATGATAGACCTCTTAATATAAATATTATGGACTCAAACTTTCACAATAATTTTTTTTGTCACCCCAAACCATATTTTAGATATACTTTTCTAAACAAAAATTAGTTGATTTTTTTGGCCCAGTCTAGTATACATAGGAAAATATATTTTTGATAAAATTTGAAAATTGAAGATAAAATGTCATTTGGCCAAGAAGCAAGTCTTTTTGTGCTTTGTTTTGCGTCGGTCTTCAACCACAAAAATACTTACTTTTTGACTTAATACATTTAATATTAATATATATTAAAAATTAAAAAAATTAAATAAAATTATTTTTCTACTATTTCATATTTCATAATTATCGTACAAAAGGCGTACGATAACTAGTCATTATCGTTTATCGTATGAAGGTTCAAATTATCTGACAACATTGCCCCCTGGTCTATAATATAGACTCTATAATATATTATATTATGTACCATTTAAGTCTACCGTAAAAATGTACATTTTTATCTATAGATGCGTTTTTTTCAAATTCGTCGTGGTTTTTATTTTTTAACAAAATTATGAACAAAAGGCGTAAAATAAATCTAAAAACTATTTACTTAAATATCTGAAAATGTATTTTTATTTTGCAATGATTATTATTATTATTAAACTATAAAAGCTGGATGTTTTTGTCTGTTTCAATAATAAATTAAAATGTTTTAGTTGTTGCCCCCTATTTTAACATTTTAGTAATCTGAATAAACAATTGTTTTTTTGTTTAAACAACTGACAGCTCTTTTGTCATCTAAGTTTTAAAAAAGCATTTTTTATTTTTGTGATAAATCATATATAAAACTAATAATATACTAATGCTTAGTATTATATATCAGTGATATCACTGATGTGTAATACAAAGCATTATTAGGTTTTTGCAACTCATAAAATAGCATCTACTTACCCAATAAGTACTTTACATCTTTAATAAATGCTCTTCTAGACTTGATGTTGCTTTTAATAACATTCCCATCTTTAAACATTTCAATAAAATATAAGGATGGTAAATTTTCAACCCATAAAGATTGCAAATCCCCAAGTTCCGATAAAAATGGTAATTCCTTTTCCGGCTCTGGGTGGCCATATTCTTCCCATGTTCGTCTATTACTGTATTCCAAAGTTGATGCCAAATGCCAAATATCATCTAAATAAAATACATGTTTAATAAATATTTTATTTAATTCAGATAAAAGAAATACCATCTTCTCCTTTAGTTGGTGAAAAATAGCCTTCATCTTTAAAATAATCACTTAATTTGGTTTTGCAAGTTAAATTTGTGTTTGATTCCAAACGTTTATCAAAATTGTAAGGATTTAAGTTAGCGTTTTCTTTTAAACAGTTAATTTGTTCATTTCCCTCCCACTCATCAGTTAAAGATTTAGGCAAATTAAAAATACTTGCATAATTTTTCTGCTGTGTTATATTTGGCAAAGTTGAGAGATCCTACAATAAAAAATGTATTTATTAATGTTTAAAAACACCCTGTTTAATAATCTCTTACAAGAATTTTATCATCATCAGCAGGTACATTCCTTAAACTTAACAAAAACTGTAAAACATTCCTAAAATCATCCTTTTTATCCCCATAACAATACTCAACCACTTCTGCTGTTTCTTGTAACTCTATTGAGTGTTCTTTTAAGTCATAATCATTCAAAAGTTGATATTCCCATGCTATTAAGTTACAAACGGGATCTAAAGACCCCGTTAAATCCTTATGAGCTGAAATAGGTACATAAACAACAACATATTTACATTTATTCAGTTAATTACCTTTAATTTGTGCTGGATATGTTTTTCCCAAAAGAATTTCATAGCATTTAGACCTGGACTTGGATATTTTGCTGCGGTCTTTGACGAATTTTTCACATAGTTGAGATACCAATTGAAATATACTTTCTTCTTTGTTATCCATTATTTTTAAAGTAATTTAAATTCATGATTTTTAAAAACGAACTACGACTGACAGTTCGGCGTGAAGTTATCCGAAAAAATCAATCAAAAGTGACCGTTTTATTTTTCTTCATATTCTTTTTAAATTATTAAGTTTTTATATTGCCTTTGTTTAATTTATATAAACTGTATTTATTTATATTGATTTAATGATTAAACAAACATATTACATACAAAAATTACGGTGATAGTTATTTTGAAACGACCTTGAATTATTGTTTGGGAGTAGTTCAAATGTTCCATAACCTAACCTATTTTTTTGTATCCTTGGCAATTTTCCAACAAATTTTAGTGTTTTCCATAGTGTTTTCTAAAAGAAATGGGAAATCATGACGATATGCTGTTCACAATGTTGACAGAATGTAAAACATTACCAAGATTTTTAGACGAAATATTCGGGTTCTTACTTAGAAGGTAATTACCTTTAAAAATAGATAGATATAGGGTTAGTTAACCAGTAATTGACCAGTTAAGCAAATTTTCGTGAATAAATTATTATATTTTCCTCTATTTTTAGTTTAAAATAAAATAAAAAATATCATTGAGTTTAATTTTTTTTTAAGATTTGATAACAGCTGACTAAAAAAGAAAAAGAGTTTCTATGCTGACGAAAAAAAATTTAATGCACGAAAATTCATGATTTTCCAGTGGTTGACCAATGCCTTGTAAGCAGATATCATTAATAAAACTGTGCCATCTAGAACTTAAGGGGTAAAACACTATGCAAATAATATAAGTTTTTAATTAGGTAATACAGGGACCTTGCTTTTATCATTTAATCGGTAAATTGGTCAATAACTGGTTGATGGTCAATTACTGGTTAACTGACCCTACTATGGTTGTTTAAATTATTGCTATGGTTCTCCTTATAGGACAGATTTTTACCACATACAAGAAGAAGAAAATTCGCCTGTAGGTTTACCGGAAGGTTTAGCTGAAAGGATAGTGAGGCATTCTTTGTTTAAATGGAAACCTCAAAATGTTTATTCAGAGGATGAAATACCTGTTGCTTGTGAAGAAACTATTGTAGAAGATGTTGTAGAATGTCAAACTGAAGAAATTGGATGTGTTGAAGATATGGAGAAGTTGGATATAAATAAGAAAAACAAAGAAAAGAGTTTTTCAACGTCAGATTGCTATAATGGGGCTGTTTGTGAAAATTACAGTTGGTCACAAACTATTGGGGATGTCGATATTGTGGTAAAAATACCTGAAGGTATTAAAGCAAAAGAGTTAATTGTAAAAATAGAATCGAACTTATTGTTAATTAAAACAAAGGATGGAGATGTTTTATTGGATGGTGAATTTTGTCAAAAATGCAAAAATAATGACGCGATTTGGTCGTTAGTAAACCAAAACTTGGAAATACATTTGGATAAAACTCTGGATATGTGGTGGGACTGTCTTTTAAGAAATGAAGAAAAACTTGATATTTCCAAAATAGATTGCAGCAGACCTTATGAAGAATTACCTGAAGAAGCCCAGGCTAAAATTGAAGAATTGCAATGGAATCAAGAAAGAAAAATTATGGGGTTACCCACATCAGATGAAATGGCTTTACAAGAAAAGCTTAAAAAGGCTTGGAATGTTGAGGGTTCACCTTTTACTGGGCCATTTGACCCTAGTAAAGTGAAATTTAGCTAGAATATAAATTTTGGTTGCTTAAACAAAGTTGCAGATTCCTAAAAACTATTATACAAAAACAAAAAAGTCAAATATTTTTCTTTTAAAAAATTAAGTACATTTATAATTTCATGGGAATGTTTGCCAGTGTTGCCAAATGATACAATACTTTTGGCCTACCAAAACTTGACTATTTCTGCATACAGCATGGGTGATATTGTTTTATTTATTATATTTTTACATTGAATTTTTATAACAATTATTTTAAAAATTACTGAATTTACAATTAGATAACTGATTTTAACAGTTTTTTATTTCTTGATTTTTAACCGTAAATTTAAAAATCCGAAAACAATGTAAAAAATTTGATGTTCGTTTTTTGGTATTTTTTTAAATTTCCATCCCACAAAAATATGTTTTGTAGTAAATCCAAAAGGCTATTGACCACCTTAAACTAAAACTTTTAGGATTTTTTTTTCTAAATTTAATAGAAACTATGAACATAATTACATAATCTTATACAGCAAGATATTTTTTTAAATCAATTTTAACCAATAAAATAAATAAAAAAACATTGAATAAACTTTACATTTAGTAGGCTTTCACAGCAAAGTAACACACCGTATTTTTATTTTTGGTGTAAACAGCTGACGAATTAGGTTTTTAAGAGTAGGTACATCTCTATGAGGGGGGTTAGTGCTTTAACTCCAATGACAACATTTTTTTCTATATTATTAAATATGAATATATTTTGAATAGGATGGATGAAATTCCCAAATTATAAACACCCTAATACACTGCCCGTCAAAATTAACGCATAATAAGTAAAAAAGTTCTAACTCTAAAACGCCTTTACCAATCTTTATAAAATTTTGGATAAAAATACTTAACTTATGTCTCAGTTTACGTGTTCAAGGGTTTTTCGAAAAAATATCCTTAAAGCCCTTTTATTTAATATTAACAAAAATCGCTCGAAAAAAAACTTTTATAGGGATTTTTTTATGTAAATAAAAAAATGCTGTTAAAGGCCGTATTTTTGTTAGTATACCCTGAAAATTTTGTACAAATCAAACGAACAGTAATGAAGATACAGCGCTTCAAAGTCGGTAAAAATGACCACTTTTCAGCAAAATAATCAAAAAGGGGTCATTTTTACCGACTTTGAAGCGGTGTATTCATTACTGTTCGTTTATTTTGTACAAAATTTTCAGGGTATACTAACAAAAATACGTTCTTTAACAGCATATTTTTATTTACTTAAAAAAATTCTCTATAAAAGTTTTTTTTTGAGCGTACTTTTAATATTAAATAAAAGGGCTTTAAAAATATTTTCTCGAAAAACCCTTGAACACGTAAACTGAGATATAAGTTGAAGTGTTCTTATACAAAATTTCATAAAGATTGTTAAAGGCGTTAGAATTTTTTTACTTATTATGCTTTAATTTTAACGCGCAGTGTATTAACCAATTTTTTTAATGCCTATAATTAGTTGATGCTGGTGGATTTTATACACTGATATGTCAGGTATTAGACATGGGACCCACACCAAATTTATATTAGTTTATAATGACATTATATGGACAAGTTCTGCGCAAACAGAATTTAAATTGAAGTTTGCAAAAAAAGTTACTTTTTTAGTTTGTTTTCCCAGCTTCCTGTCTCCTCCAAATTAAGATAATTCAAATTAAAGTGATGCAAGTGGTTATTAAATGTTTTGACTTGTCCTATACATATGTAAATATGCCCTTTGGATCAATAAACTATCTATCTATCTATTAGAGACTAGGTTGTAAAATGTAAAATTAGATTAGTTTTTTATTGATAAATTCATTCATAGAAACTTTTATAGATATACCTAATATGTTTACATTGCACCATTGTTCTAATGATATGTTTAGATTAATCCCACAATAATCTTATTTATTTAATGGATTTAAAGTTTATATAAGATTTAACGATATCATAATCTCATATAGGTACCTATATTATAAAATATATTATCATATTAAAATTAATATTTGTCGCAAAAATAAAAATAATTTTAAATTAAATAAGTTTTAAGGTTTTTAAAATTAAATATTATTTTTGTTTTAAACATGTTTTGAGACCATTTAATTTTGTAAAAGGATAGAAAACCATTATCTAATGACGTTTCAATAGTGAAAAGTCAAAATTTGTTAACAACAGGCTTATGATGATTTAAAGTTATGTTCAGCTCACTGCAGATGCCTTGTATATTTTGATGCAATAACAACCAGAGACAAGGGTCTCTTATAACAAAGGATTTGTAAAATCCTTGCCTGAACAACCTTTTTATATTTCTGTTTATGTTTAGTAATAGGAAATACACAGAATTGCCAACGTGTAGGTACAGTAAAAAAATAGTAATTTTATTTTTATAAATATAATTTTAAAACTTGTGGGACTTTTTTTGCACTTAAGCCTTAACAAAAATGGATAAAGTGCATTACTATTTTCTACGTACATACGTACACAAAAGACTCCTATAGTCTAGAGTCTAGACTTTTACCTAGGTTTGGTATAGGCATTGTTTAACAATTTACTCTCAAAAGTTTCTGGGTTTAAAGTATACTCGTAACTTCAAGAATAGAGTCGTTAACCCACTCCAAATAACCTAGAAGTTTCAGACTAGAACCCAAAAAAATATCATAAATGAAATGTCCAGTTTCCGAATTTAGCATTATAGCAAAATAAACGTTATGTTCTGATTACTTCAATTTTTCTCACAATTTTACTTTATTCGCAAAATTCCTTACATACCATGAAATTCCTAACAAATTTTAGGGATTACTCACACAATTAAAGATCCTAAAGGGGTCTCATATATTTCATATATCTGAAACCACCATGTACCTGTAATTTACAGGCTATAAATATTTTAAAATAATATTTTACTTATTGCAGTTAGTATTAAAATAACTGAATTTAAATTTAAACAAAAAAATCTGGATCAATGGTTAAAACGGTTTACAATGTATTTTTCTTGCGTATCATTGCCAATTAAAGTTTGTCAAAGCGTAAAGATTTTGATTCATTTTCACCGAGTTGAAATGATGCGTAAAACTGCGTTGTTCTTTCACAGTGTTTGAGGTAATGCATTAAACTATTAAGAAATTGGTGTGGATTTTTTTGTCGGTTCGAGAAATTTAGACTTCTAGAACGGTCGTAGGCACCGGCAAGTTCCAAACAATTTCTTTCGTTTCACTATAAAAGACAAAGTTTGCAAAACCGGCTGTCAGTTTGGTAACCAGTGTTCAACAAGTGCAACACCATGTGCTTCAAGGTATTGTGTTTTGTGTATTATTGCTATATACCAACGTTACATAATATTTGTTAACCTACATCCTGGTTGGCGGATAATTGTGCTCTTATAATTTATTAACCATTTAAAAAATCTAATGCGGAATTAGAAACTAGTTGAATTTCCCATTAAATTTAAATTTCCCATTAAACTTAAATGCATATTATAGGGCTGGGAATTAATTGTTCGTTTATAAATAATTCCCGGTTATTAAAAAAAAATATAACCAAAATTTACACGATTCTTATATTTTGTCTTTATTTTTATATAAAATTTGGCATCGATTTTACATATATTATATTTGTTAAATTTAATCTCAATAAATATTATAAATGCAACAAAATTAATTAATTATTTATTTCTCTGACATTGCATGATTTATTTAATATATTAATTTTACAAAAAATCAATAAAAAGAGAGAAGAAATAATCTATACAATTTAATTTATTTGGAATTAACAATTTTTTTTAAATATTTGCATAAACTTATACTATATAAGTTATACAGCCGCAAGAATGTTTTGTATGCAAAAATTTTTTAAATAAAACTTCACTTACTTATTAAATAATAGTTACTAATATATACATTATTATACGAGAGATAATGCAGGCTATTATTCAAGAGGATGAGGTTTGCGTATCCAGTCGCCAGGCGAGAGACTCAAATCATTCGAGTAAATAATGAGCATAATCTTGAGTGTAATGTTATGCATTATTTACTCCAATAAGTAGATAATTAAATGATCCTAAAAAATAAATAAATCTAATCCGACATCTGTACCAATTTTAAATATTATTATATTCTCCTTATCGCAATTAAAAACTCAAATAACAGTGAATATTGAAATGGGCCAATCACTAATGCCTAACAAGTTGAATAATGAGTTCATTATTCCCGTTGTTATGCAGGGAATTTATAATGTTTATCATTATGTACGCAAAAACTCAATTATATGCAATAGGGGTAGATAAAATATATTATGTAAAATTTTATAAAGAGATCTAAAAATGTATTTTTTTTAAACCAGTATTATTGATCTAAATTCAGGTTTAAGTAAAATGCGTTTAAAGTTATTTTAACTAAAAAAATTCCATGAACCTAATGTACAAATATTGTTTCTTTCATATCTTCTAAGGTATGAATTAATATTTAATGGAAATATATTATTTAAAATATTTTTGTTTTATACCTGGTGATTTATTTTTGTTGTACTGGAATTTTTATTTCGTTGGTTAAACTTGATCATTAAATTAGATTTCTTGGACTGGGGTTTTAAAGTGTCGAAAAAAAAAACCGGAAAAATTGAGGGGAAAAACTGTTTTTTCGTTTTTCCCATGCATTAAAAAAATTGTATTTTGTTTTGGTAAATATACACATTAAAAAAACGAGGCAATCAACAACTTAACCTTATTATAATTTAAAAAAATATCCTTACAGAAAAAAAAATAAAACTAAACTTTTTTCAAAAAGAAGTCCATTGAAAATATCCAATTACCAAATAATGAATGATTTATAAAGTTAAATTACAAAATAATAATTTTATAAATCGTGTCATATAAAACAAATGTTATGTTAAAACAACACCGAACATGTTTTTTTTTTTGCGACCCGGTAGAATATTCTTACTGAATTAAAATAAAAGGAATAATTATTATAATCATAATATTAATATAATAATATATAATATAATATATTATGATTATATTCAACGTCGAAAATTCGTTAGGTATCTGTGTATTTGTGAAATTGTAAATTTTTAGTAATATTTTCTTTGAATAAAATGAAACAAATGCAAAAGTAATTTTTTTTTTAAATTTCACAATTTTTCCGTTTTTTTTTCGTTGGCTCAATTTTTCCGGAAATTCTTGGACTATTTACACATTTTTTCCTTCCGGATTTTTTGTGCTGTGCTTTTTTAATTCAGTATTTAAGTATTTACCGAAACTATAAAATTGGCACAATGCCAATGACCACCGTAGAGGCAAAAATTAAATGTTTTTAAGAAGTAGGTACTTTGTCATAAGATCAAGTTTATCAATACAGCAAAATCTTATTCGGTGTCTACCTAACTTTAAAGAAAGGGTGATTGAAAAGTTTGCCTTGACTTGGTCTTTTACAAATACTAATAAATATATTTATATATATATATGTTTAGTAGTAAAAACACAACATATAAAAGCGCAGGTTTTTTTTAATTTTTAGTTCTTATACCTAGGCCTACGCTTCGCAGCACTACCTCTTTAACAGGTTATGAGCCGCCACTGAAGAACAGGCAATTAAAATTAATATAAAAAATTTTTTCCACCTTATTGTACAGATAACCATGGCCATTTTTTCAATGTAAAAATAAAACAAAGTGCATTTTTTTTGGTTGAATTCTTATTTATGTAGCTTAATTTTTAGTTAAATTAATTACGCATGAATCCGCCTACGCATCTTTTAATTAATTATTCTCTGGATAAATCTTCATATGTATATCGGCTTGATGACTGTCAAAACATCTTCGGGCGGATACTTTTAAGAGTGGACGAACCCAGGAACTTTGTTCGTTGTCGCGGATAAAGCTTTCTGCCACTCACACCATATACTGTGTTTATTATAATAATGTATTTTTATTTATTATATGAGGTATACCTCCTTATTGTTGTTGTACATTTGCACTTTTTTAATCCAAGTACATTTTTTCAGATAGGTTATTGAAAAGTGGGATAAAGAAGTGTAAAAAATAGGATAACTTGTTTACAGAAAATAACACAATTGTGACGTACACAAAACCAGAAAGGGTTTTTATTAAAACATTTATTTTGTGAAAGCTTAAAAACAATTAAGTGTTTCGGAATTTCAATCTAGAAAATTATTCAAGCTAAATGATGAAATAATAGTTGCACTATAAATGTGGAGCATATTATTTTCAAAAAAATATTTTCTCTTAACTAAATAGCATTTTTATTAAGGGAAAATGCTGCAAATATCCTGCATTTATATTAATAATGTTATAATGCCATTGCATATATTTATGACATAATTATTATGTCATAAATATGTGCAATGGTATTATTAGAAAACTCGTGCATATGAAACGTGGAATAATGTAAATTAAAGTAAAATGCTATTGTGTAATTATGTTTATAATATCCACCATTATTAAATAATTTGTTTTATAAAACAATTAATTTCTCAATGTTGCAGATATTTAAATTTATTTCCACCATTGTTCTTTATTTTTAACTTTACTAAGTAAATATAATTCCACCATATATATAACGTACTTCATTTTATTTATTTAATAAAAGGACTATAAACAATTCCATAATTCTATCACAAAATATAATTTTTTGTAAAATTATATAAATTGCAAAAATGGCGAATGCGCCGGGATTTATTTATTTAATATTAAAGTTAACTAAATGTGCTTCTAAAAAAGTTTATTAACGAGTTGCATACTATACCTTTGTTATGACAAATACTTATTATTATCTAAAAATTATTTAAATGAAATGTTTGTATAGAGCGACATCTTTAAAAAGTAGAGTAACTCGCGTAGGAATTTATAGCGCGCCAGTCAAATGTCGAATTTATATGTGTAAATCGAAATTTATTCCTTGAAAATGGACTAACAACCGTTTAAATGATGATAAAAGCAGTTTTTCACAAAGTGAAGAGAATGTTTTATGGGCACTTCACAGTGGAATCTCCACCTAAATTTTTAATGCTTTCAGTTAAATCTAGTTTACTGCCGGCAAAACCAAAAGTTTAGTATTAACTTGCATAAAAACTTTTCAAATAGGTATTGGCGTTGAGAAACTATTTAATGCTTTTTATTTTAGTATTAAGATAATAAAATAATTTCCACATTATTATTTCACAAGAAGGATAATTTATTTTAACGATTGTTTGACATTTGACAACTGTCAACTAACTTAATACTAACTTCAGCCCGTGCCTAAAACGCCATAAAGCCAAAACTTGTCAATGTGTATTTAAATGGTCATGGAAACATGTACGATAATGGGCGTTTTAAAGATGGGAGTATAAAAAATAATAAAACACTGGAATTTCCCACCAATTTCCAATTTTTCCGATATTTTCAAAATTATCTGTTTAGATTAATTTATTTATTAGTAAATAGGTAAATATTTATTATTTGTATAAAATCAAAGATATGATATGGATGCTGGCTATAAATAAACGGAATTCATAACAAATGTTGGGCAACTAATTTTATTTTATCAAAAAATATGAATTTTACTTTAAATACTGTCTGGAAAATAATTATATAAAATAAAATTTTAACAATATTCGTGTGTTGCCAGTAAGACTGTTTGGTATCATTAAAATGTTATATTTAGGCTAAATAAACATTATAAATGCAATAAAATAATTGATCTGGTTCTTCTGACATTTGCTGTTTTTGACACCGTTTATTAACTAAATTTTAAAATGTAGGTTGTGGTCGTTTTATTTATTTCTGAAATAAATTAAAAATTATGGAGTAAAATGTTAAATGATACATACTGCCCTGCTAAGTCAAACCCCCGTATGTACTATGCTCCACACCTCAAAGTCCCACCACGTGACCACGTACGGAACGCAGTCTTTTAAAAATTTGGCATTTAAGGCTTTTCAGATTATGTATCTGTCAAAGTATAGTCAACTAAAGAAATAATATTATGTTTAGGCAAAAATATATAAATCTTTATAACATTACAAGAACAATGGATGGTTTAAGAATTTAAGAATATAAATACTGCATTTAATGAAATTCTAAAGTGTATGATGCCAAATAGGTAATATTTTTGTGCATTTGGTCCAAATATGTGGTTTTCTCCATAAAATAATTTTTACTAAACAGCATTTATTTAAAAAAATCTAGCTTCTCTATTATGGAATAAGAATATCTGTATTAAAGGTAGGTTAATATATTATAACAAAAATATCATCTAATTTTGTAATTTTAAGGTTAGAAAAATTTATTTTGACCAAAATAAATAAGTATTTTGGATTTTTTAAAAGACTGTATAATATGGTATTTAAAAATGTGGTAGTTTTTCTTATTCAGCTTAAAGTGTACCTACATAAAGTTTTGTCAATACAAATAGTTAAAAAGCTTCGACTGAATTTGATCTACATCAAAAAATCATTATAACTTTAAAAATTTTAATAAATCACATGTCATGGGAGTATTAAATATTTTCACGTTGCAAGTTTCTCTAAAAATTGTTTGTTTTCATATAATCTAACTTAAAGTTAGTTTGCACAAGTTTTTTCGTTAAAGTATAAAAGCTTCAATTTAATTTGAACTATATTCAACAATTATTTAGTATACCTATATTTATTTATGACCATATTAACACACTCTTTCAAATAATCCACTTATTTATTTTGGTCAAAATAGATTTTTCTAACCTTAAAATTAGATTATATTTTTAAAATTAGATGATATTTTTTGTTCTAATACATTAACCTACCTTTGATACAGATATTCTTATTTCATAATAGAGAAGTTAGATTTTTTTTAATAAATGCTGTTTAGTTAGCTGTTAAAAACAATAAAAATGATCTTTTGTAATTTATTACTTAATATTGCACTTAGCATAGTCGTAAAGGACTATAACAAGTCACTTTCTGACCTTGAACAGTAATTACTTTTTTCTACTCCCACCTTTAAAACGCCCTTTATCGTACATGTTTCCATGACATAAGTGACCTTTTAAATACACCTTGACAAGTTGTGGCTTTATGGCGCTATATAAACATTGTACTGACCTTTTAATTTCGCCGGCAGTAAACTATAGCTTAAATTCGGGCACGGACATTTTCTTTACTTTCACTGTGAAAAACTGTCAATTTTCAAGAAATACATTTCGATTGATAACCTTTATAATCAGTGTTTATAAACTATCAAAATGTGACATTTGACGGTGACTCACAGATTCCCCTATTGTTTCATAGATGGCGCTCTCTACAAATTTTTGATTTAAATAATTTTAAGATTATAATAAGTATTTGTCGTAAAAAAAGTATAGTATGCACCTCGTTTATAAACTTTTCTATACACTCATTAATTTAAGCACTCGCTCGCAAGCTCGCTCGTGCCTAAATTAAATTCGTGTATAAAATGGCGTTGATACATAATATACTATTATTATCTCAATACAAAAATACAAAAGTATTAAATAGTTTCTCAACGCCAATATTTGAAAAGTTTATATGAACATTGTACTGACCTTTAAATCGCCGGCAGTAAACTATAACTTAAATTTGGGCACGGACTCCACTGTAAAGTGCTCATAATACATTTTCTTTACTTTCACTGTGAAAAACTGTCAATTTTCAAGAAATACATTTTGATTTATAACTTATAAAATATAAAAATTTGACATTTGACCGTGACACACAGATTCCCCTATTGTTTCATAGATGGCGCTCTATACAAATTTTTGATTTAAATCATTTTAAGATAATAATAAGTATTTTTCGTAGAAAAAGTATAGTATGCACCTGGTTTATAAACTTTTCTATACACTCATTAATTTAAGCACTCGCTCGCAAGCTCGCTCGTGCCTAAATTAAATTCGTGTTTAAAATGGCGTTTATCAAACTTGAACAGAAAAATTAAATACAAAAATATCAATAAACCCAAGTTCTTTTTAATAGGTTATTAACTTGATTAATATTAAAACAAATTTGTATACATTGTTATATTTTTGCTTCAGTTTGCAGCTGTAGCTTTGCTTTGCCTTTCCGGTATGACAGCCTCACAGCGCGTACCAATAAAGGATAAGAGACAAGTTTCCACTGTCACTGATCAGCAGGACAATGATCCTGCTGCAACAGGATTCAACGAAGCAATCCACGCAGGAAGCAAACATTTTCAGTAAGTTTTAATACAAATATTGTTATTTAAACTCAATGATTATAATTGTTTTAATCTATAGCTTTTTCGATAATTAATTATATAATATAATTACGATAACTTGTTATACGTACTAAAATGTCTACTTTTTTGCTAAAACAGTACATCTTACTAATTATACAATACATTTCCTATTAAAGCTCTCAAACTTTTTGTCATTTTTTCACTGTTGAAATATACGCAATATAAGATTTGCAATCAGTTTTTAAAAATATTTGCGTTATCTTGGGCAAATATACCTTGAATTAAAATTCATTTAGGTTATCTGGTATTTTCGAATTTAAATACATTATTTAATATCAATATTATTACTCTGAGCGTAGACGATAAATCAATAAAAAATAATTTTTTATCCTATTTTATTTATATTATTTTCTCCTACCACTAAAAATTTTCCCAAAGAAAATCTTAACTGTTACCACAAAACCATTAATTACTAAAATAAACATCAATTAAGTTCTGCATACTTATGAAAATTAGGTTTGTAATTTTAATAATAAAATTCCATCTTCAATTTTTTACATGAAATAAGCAGTTTGTTTCTTCTGCAACAACTACACTGCTATCAGCAAGCTCCCTTTTTCTCTGTGGCGCTAGTTCTGGGACACACTGTATAAAACACGTCGGCGAAAGTTTATTAGTTGTTTGGTTATAATATGAGCTTTATCCGCCTGGTCTATAATCTACGTTAGATTAAAGACCAGGCGTAGAAAGCTCACATTTCTACTTACTATTTATTAAATATTAGGGATTTTTACGTGGCAAAAATGGTTCCTGACGAATTAGAGTTTGGACACGTTTGTGAGAATGCAAATGATTGGGAGCAACGATTTGAGAAAATTAATTTCAAAGACAATACAAGAAAAGGAAAGGTTATAATTTTATGTATATTTTGATTTACTTGGCTATGGATCTTTTTATCAGTTGATTAAAAAATACCCTGTATAATAAAAACAGTTTCTGCAAATTACAGCAACTTTCATTGTTAACCTTAATTGCATTACATTCGAAGTATTTGTGTCTGTAATTTCAAAATTTATTACTTTTTTTTAACTTAAACTTTCTTATAACCAGTTCAATTGTTTTATAAAATGTGTCTAGTTTTTGTTTTTTTATATGTTGACATTCTCTATTCGGTGAAGCGTAAACCACAATAATTTAATATTTTAATGTCGAAATTAATTTTGCACTACTAAGTATACTGCCCTACTATGGAGAAAGGCAGTAACTGCGAAACAAGAAATTTGTGAAAAATTAGCATAAACTACATTTTTATAAAAAGCAGTAGGTGTTTAATTGATTTTTTTTACTTATAAGATATTTGACTGCATTTCTGTGTTGAATTCGGTTACAAAATGTCCATAGCTTTACCATAGCACAAGAAAACGCATTTTGCATTTTTTGCAGTTACTGCCTTTCTCCATAGTAGGGCAGTATAATATATTATAGTAACATTAATTATAGTAGTTTACAAATTTTGGTCATTTGATACGCTGAATCCGAATCTTTAATCTGTTTGGCAAGTTTGGTTCTAGTTTTTATGCACTTAACCATGAAGTACCGGAAGTACTTAATCATATTGTTTCCTAAATTGTCACAGGCAAATAAAAAAAAAGAGATATCAAATCAAATTTTGTCGGACCTGATACCTATTCGAAAATCATTGATTTTATTTTTTTAAATTTTATTGTTAAAAATTGTCCAAGCACTCAATGCTATAAAAACACCAGTTATTAGAAGTTAACGCCCTTATTGGATCTTTATTTAGCATAAGTTAAAAATTTTAAGACAGCAGAAATTATCTTGATTTTTGAATTGGTAAAATCTGCTTTTTTACATATACGAGGTGTGTTCAGAAAATAACGGGAATTATTAAATTTCGCGGGTTCGGAGGGTCCGGTTGTCATAAAAAAATTTTTATTATGTTGTTATACATGCCCCCGAAGTATGATAAAAACTTTAGCTGTTTTCATTGTTTACTTTGTCTGTGGCAGCCGCTAAGGTTAGACGTGTTTTATGAGCTCGGCGATTTTCGATCCTTAAAAGAAATTTTGCTTAAAAAATGAAATAAATTCTGTGAAATGTTAACAAAGGCCTATAGTGAGTCTGCTATAAGTAAACCAAGAGTTTACAAGTGGTATAAGAGTTTTCCAAGATGGCCGTGAAGATGTTGAAGATGACGAACGCCCCGAACGCACAAGCACATTAACAACCGATAAAAACATGGAAAAAGTGGAAGAAATGGTTATAAACCATCAGAGAAGTCGCTGATGATGTTGGTATATTAATTGGCTCATCCCATGAAATTTTTTCGAATGTTTTGGGTATGAAACGCGTGGCAGCAAAATTTGTTCCAAAATTTTTAAATTTTGAACAAAATTTTTGGCCAAAAACAATACTGTAATGATTCCCCAGCCTTCTTATTCTCCAGACATGCCTCTGTCTGACTTTTTCCTATTCCCAAAAATAAAGAGAACCTTAAAGGGCCGTTGTTTTGCAAGCATAGATGACATTAAAAGCGCATCGCTAAAAGAACTAAAGGCTATCCCAAAGATTGAGTTTAGAAGTGTTTCGAGTATTGGAAGAAGAGCTGGCACATGTGCATTAAATCCAATGGGGACTATTTTGAAGGCGACAACATTAATGTAGACGAATAAATAAATATTTGTTTCAAAAAACGAAAATTCCCGATATTTTCTGAACACACCTCGTATTTCCTATAAACATCGATAGTAACCTAACTTGAATGTTGTGTATTTAGTATTACTAATTTTCCTTTTTTCTTTTACTAACAGATACATTCACGTTCCACAAAAAGACCATTACGAACACGGGCACAAAAGAGGCAATGAACATCATTTTATCGAGAGGCATGAAAAGGCCCATCCACATGCTGGAGAATTTAAAACCAAAGTAAATATTCAATTTTCTATATTTTCTATAAAATATAATTTTTGGTGGGTGTAAAAATAGTCTATGCTTGCTCACAAGATAAATTTCTAATGTTATTTAAAGAGAAATAGTCCCAAAATAATACTTTGTGGAACCCCAGTGTAATAATATTGCTTCCTTCTTCTCTACAAAAATAAAGGAACTTTTAGATCAGTAAAAACTAAAAATTTCTTTATTTTCTCTTATTTAACCAATTTTAAACATAATTTTTTTAGGTGAGGTGGGGCGACAAACATGGAGGCTACGGCGAGCACTATTATGACTATAATCATGCAGGTCACGGTCATGATGGTGAGGGGGACGAAAGTCAGCAAAACGAAGAGTATGCCGCGTATGAAGAGGAAAGTCAACATGTTCCTGTGGTAGTTGAGCAAAACCAAAGACAAAAAAGAGCAAAGGAGGATGTGGAATTTATAAATGAAGAAGCCAAGAACTTGTACTTGGAAGGTAACATCCAAAAACACGGTGGGAACTACAGAAGAGCCGGAAAAGAGTACAGGGGAAAGAGGGAGAGGAATCCAGAGGCAGTTTTTCTGTATAATCCAGAAAATGGAAAATACTACAAAAAGAATGCCAAGCCAGAAGCCGAGTTTGCGGAATTCGATAAATTTTTTTAAATTGTATTATGATTAAGTTGTTTTTTATTATTTTAATTTGTAAAGTTTCGATGACTGCATTTTAATTTTAATATTGTTATTTAGTTTTTACGTATTTTCATATTTAATACACTTTGGATAATAAAACATGTTTTTTTTTAAATACAAAATGACTTTTTATCTAGCACATATTTATGTTTATTAAATAAGGGAATTATGAAATAAAAATGCGCTTTTATAACAAAATAAATAAATTATATATTTACTATATTATAGTTAATAAATAAAGAAACTTATTATTAAGGGAATACAAACAAATATGGATAGTTTTAAATTCGAAGCATTTCCACCTTGAGGTGTTGTTGTGGGTTTGTCTGTTGTTGTGGGTTTGTCTGTTGTTGTGGGTTTGTCTGTTGTTGTGGGTTTGTCTGTTGTTGTGGGTTTGTCTGTTGTTGTGGGTTCGTCTGTTGTTGTGGGTTCGTCTGTTGTTGTGGGTTCGTCTGTTGTTGTGGGTTCATCTGTTGTTGTGGGTTCGACTGTTGTTGTGGGTTCGTCTGTTGTTGTGGGTTCGTCTGTTGTTGTGGGTTCGTCTGTTGTTGTGGGTTCGTCTGTTGTTGTGGGTTCGTCTGTTGTTATGGTTTCTTCTGTTGTTGTGGGTACGTCTGTTGTTGTGGGTTCGTCTGTTGTTGTGGGTTCGTCTGTTGTTGTGGGTTCGTCTGTTGTTGTGGGTTCGTCTGTTGTTGTGGGTTCGTCTGTTGTTGTGGGTTCGTCTGTTGTTGTGGGTTCGTCTGTTGTTGTGGGTTCGTCTGTTGTTGTGGGTTCGTCTGTTGTTGTGGGTTCGTCTGTTGTTGTGGGTTCGTCTGTTGTTATGGTTTCTTCTGTTGTTGTGGGTACGTCTGTTGTTGTGGGTTCGTCTGTTGTTGTGGGTTCGTCTGTTGTTGTGGGTTCGTCTGTTGTTGTGGGTTCGTCTGTTGTTGTGGGTTCGTCTGTTGTTGTGGGTTCGTCTGTTGTTGATTCTTCTTCTGTAGTTGTTGGTTTTTCTGACGTTGTTGGATTTTCTGTTGTTGTTGTTGGTTTTTCTGTAGTAGTAGTAGTAGTAGTAGTAGTAGTTGTTGATGTTGTTATTGGTTCTCCTTCTAGTACTTTTAATATTTTCGATTTAACTTCTGCTGTTGATATTTTTGTTGTCCATGCTAATACAAAAAATATGTTTTTAATAAATAAATCTTAAAAAGTTTTATTCAAAAGTACTTTTCTAACAAACATATTTTGAAAGGTATTAAAGCACCTTCTAAACTAAGCTTCAATCAAACATTTTTCTTAAAAATTATTAAACCTTAAAATTTCACTATCCAAATATTTTATTTCAGCATCTTAGGATTCGCGCACCACCTTAAATATGTATAATCTAAGGGCCCCAGAAAATTGTTAAAAAATCTACCTTCGTTAGTTAAAAAAATACAGGGGATACATTTTTTTAATGGCAATATTGCGTACTAATAAGTTGGTAGATTCATTTTTAATTATGACAACAAACAACAATACAGACTTGAAAGTAGCGAATACTGGGAGTTAGGAGTTATTAAAACCATAGATTAAATCAATAAAAAAAACTAAACAAATTTTAACATTAAATTGACACACACACACAGGCTAAATGACTTGCATTTTTTAAGCATCCTCCAAACACAACATACATACTCGGTGAGTATTAATCATATATTATATCACGAGAACTATGAATTTAATCGGTTAAACTAGGCTCAGTAGTTTTTTGTTTGGTTTTTGTTGGAAAATGTTGAATGCAAAATAATTTAATAAAATCACGAGACCGCGTAGCGGTCGAGGTGTTTTATTTTTAATTATTTTGCATGAAACTATTTTCCAAAAAGAAAAATCAAATAAAAAACTTACTGAGCATAGTTTGACAGATTAAATTTATAGGTTGAGTGATATACGTCTAGATTATTTCTCGAATTAAAGGAAACTATTTAACAATTCATAAAATCTGACGTATGTGTCAAAATTTATAAATATTTTTTTAAAGAAAATTCCATTAATTTAAGGTTTTTTATTGTTTTTTAAAAAATGTTTGTTAAAACTTGTAAATAACACCATAAAATCGTAAACAAAAATCCAATATGGAGGCTAAAATTTAATCGCTGTTAAATAGTTCTAGTGATTTAATCGCTTATTTAAACGAAATTTATTCGAAAATTCAAGGCTTTTGATTGGTTCATATTATAATGAGGGAAATAATCACTAATATCAATATTTAACGGAAGTGCTAAAATAGAATCAATTTTTTTAATTTTAAGTGTCAATCATTGTCTATGGTGTGATGTCAACAGATAACAATAAACCAATTAATTCTTGTGATAATCAATTGTTGCACATCATGTTGATAAACGCATGCGCATTGTTAAAGTAAACATCCTAAAATGCTTTTTTTATAAGATAAAACATTAATTTTTTGAATAGTGTGCTTTAGGCCTAATATACAGGGTGTCCCAAAAGTCAACAATATCGTTTGAAGGACTAATAGGTCAGCTCACGACTAATCTGAACATCAAAACATGACCTTAGTAAAAAATCATTAGTTTTTAATATATTGGACTTTTTATGAATTTTGTGAAACTTGACAAATAAAATCAGTTTTTCGAGTGCCACAACTACAACATTCTATATTCTTAGATTATATTTTATTTTGCGTAGCCCTGAATAGGACTGCTATTAATTTTAATTCAAAATTATATTAATAGTAGATTTTGTAGCTGTGGCACTCGAAAAACTGAGTGTCAAGTTTTATAAAATTCATAAAAATAACTATATCTCAAAAAGTAACGATTTTTTACTATGGTCATATTTTGATTTTCTGCTTAGTCATGAGTTGGTCTATCAGTCCTCGAAAGGATATCGTTGACTTTTGGGACACCCTGTATATAATACGACCTAAAATAATATATTTAAGGTAAACATTTTATTTTTAAGTATAAAAAAATAATGTTTACGTACGTTTTTATATCTTTAAATAATAAAGCTAGAATTTTTTTCTAGGGACACCCTGTTCAAAATAATCAACTTTTTTATATTTTTCTTAAGGTAAATCGTCATCTAATTGAAATGCATAAAATTTTGAAATGGATTGCTACTTATTATTAAAAAATAAAAGCATTTTTTAAAAAACGAAGCGACACACAAAACTTAAAATTAGTTAAAGAAAATCCTTCATCCTTCATTCAATAATTTAAAACACTGTGTATAAACTAAAAAAAATGCTTACATTGGGCCAGTAGAGCAGTAAAAACAAATAGAGCCAATAGCTTCATTTTCAGGCAAGATATTTCAATAGCTAATATGGACTAACTAACTTTACTAATTGCTCGTCTTTTAATACATAAATACATCTGATTCGATGTGATAAGATTATATTTATCTGAATGCGTATAGGTACGCATAAATATTACAAATGAATAATCAACATTGATCTTTAATTAGACTATCTATATAATCTTTTTATTTAACTCACGGACCAAAATAATAGTATATTGTTTACCGATTATTACTCCCGATAATGAAAGTTTCCGAGCGAGCCGATAGGCGAGTGATGGAGTTCATTGAGGGAGTAATTGCGATTCCACGCGAGGTTAACACTATACTTTTTTGTCGAGTGGAATCGCAAGTACACAATTTGGGTACCCGCAAAAAAACTTGTGTCAAACCTAACGTTTAATTTAATTCTGATGTTTTCATTCAAAGTCAATCACACTGTATCGTCGTCATGATAACGGGAGGGAAGGAATCATTTCTTACCTGATAACAGGGAGGGAATGAAAATATAAACAGAGAAAGGAATAAGATCGTTTACAGCAGAAGAAATGAATGTCATTAATTAATAACAATTGAGAATACAATCGGCGCATTATACGCTAAAGTATCGCTAGTAGCGCCACCACTCGGCTGTTATCATCGTAACAAAAGTACCTATAACTTTTGATAATCAGGTGTTAAACGCGTGTGTAACAAACGAGTGTTTTTGAGAATAAAGCCGGAAAATATTAAAAAATATAGAAAAAAACCGTGGCAAGATTGGGTGTATTTCGAGAGGAAATCCTGGGTTGAGTTTTTTTGGGTTTTCCAATAAACAGTGTTAATCCGAATAAGGAAATAAATTTCATACAGTCCCTGTAAATATAAATTGTATCTATTAGATACAATAAAACAATAAATACACATTTTAGTAATGATTAACGTGAAAAGACGTCTAAATTTAAACAGCATTTAGCATTATTAAAAGCGTTGATTAAGAATTCTCCACTCAACGGTAAAATACCATTATATTATGTATTATATATGAATTATATAACATACAAAAATGGTTGATTTTAAGGTTATGTTTGTGCAAAAATTATATTTTACGATTTTCTTACAAATGTCCAAACTTAAATATAAATTATATTAGGTAAAGTTATCATTAGTTAATTTTGTACTTAAATGTACTAACCGAATTGGATCCTTTGGCAAAACATGAAAATGCAACGATTTAGTTCTTGAATTTTATTTACAATTAAAAACACAATAATTCACCATGATCCCTTAAGTAAAATACACACACTAACGTAACTATATAAGCATTTAAGCGTTGAGTTTCTTAATCAATGATATAAAAAATAATCAATCGAAATTGAGTACTAAACCAGTTTTTTAGTTTTTTCCTTGCAACGTAAAACACAAATAACGTGCGCGATTTAGCTGTGCAATTGAACAAAATTGTCGAGTAAGACTTCTGCCTTCCTCTCTTTTGTGAAAAAACTACTTATTTATTTAAAAATGATGTACAGTTCATGCTTTAAATACCAATTATGACGCGCGGTTGTTTGAAGTTCCATTTTGTCAATTTTTATTTAATTGCATTGACCCTGTATAATGGAATCTATTTTATAATAAAATAAAGGTTTTTATCAATATTTTCAATTACAGATTATACATGTCTATAATCTTAAATAAATACTGATCAATAAATTCTTTATATGCT